CCACAGGAGGTCTAATTATGTTAATACTTTAACTGCTACTTTAAAATAAGTTTAAATGTGAAAAATGGCTTGTGCTCATGATGGCTTAAGTAGAGAAGCCATTATATTTGAAAGCTTTGATACTTTATGACTTGTTTCTTTCAATAAGTTTTTAGTTGTGTGAGAAAGTGATATAATATAATGAGATAGCAAGAAAAGACCATAAATAAAATAAAAAGGTTTCCCATCTAGATGCACTTTTGTACCTGTAGAAACTTCAATGTGATAAAGAATGATTAGAGTTTCTTTGAACAGTTTTTTAGATTCACAGATTTATCTAGACTATTTGAGATTTGTGCATATTAAATTGTGTATACTGTTACTCCACTTTTCCTTAGTCCATCTGCTTACCATTGCTCAAATACAGAATTGAAACATTAGTTATTTACACAAAGTGCAGGAAAAGGTTTTCACTTCAAACACCATCTCAAGGCTGAGAATACATTAGAGGCTTCAACTAAAGGTCAGAGTTGTCTTAAACACCTCAGTGAGTGCAGAACTGTTAGTAACCCTACAACTGACAAGATGACTGACACGATTCTCAAATGGATTGCAGGGGACTGTAGCCTGATATATTTTTTGAGGAAAACAACACCAGCAAAAAATGAAAATGATTCATGTAATCACAAATAATTAAATGTAGTTGGGATTATACCACAGATACCCTGTGATCAATCACTAATCCCTAATTTTAAGGACAAGACCAGACTACACCAACATTAACACAATGTTTTGTCTTGTAACCTGAAAACACAATTCAGGAATTACTTTTCCAGACTTAAAACGAAAAGCATACTTTTTTTATGGAAGCCCAGCAATTAGCAGAAGCAGCATAGCATTGTAGCTTGTTAGCATGTTACATAATTTTAATGATTATCTGCCTATAATTTCGATCAGGCCCGCAAAATAGAAAGAAATTCCACAATCGCAGCATATGATGAATGTACAAAGCAGTTTATTTTTTAATTTATATTAAATTTTCTGAACGAATTCAGCACAAAGTATTTACCCACCAACAACCCTTGTGTACGAGGACAAACCCATTGATGGATGCTCTTATTAGACCCAATCTTAACACTCCAGTTACCAGTTAATGCACTAATAAATCCCACTAATAATGCCCCACAATATTAATTGTTACTTCTTGTTTGAATTTTAACAATTTAAGTTGAATTACCTTTTCTATCATACTCTTAAGTACCGGTAACTATTATTTTAATGCTTTGCATAGTTGAGCCACTGTTCAATTTCTGTTTAGTTTTTCTGGTGTCAACATGTGTGTGTCAACAAATGTGTATATAACAGGAAGGGAGAGAAAATGAAGTTCTGTTTCCTTTAAGAGAGAATCGTCATCAGAGTGGGAGTGGACATAAAGGTAATACATCAGTTATATGAGGAGATACTTTGGAGCATCCACAGTATCTCCTCCTGCAGTGATGGAGAACTCGGAGAACAGTGAACTGTGCTTCCCACATCTTCACAATGCCTCCTGCTGGAAGCCAAAGCAATCCGAGTCTGGCTCCATTCTGAATTACATTGTGCTTTCTGTAATTTCTCTGCTTACTGTGTTTCTCAACCTGTTGGTCATCATCTCTATCTCCCACTTCAAGTAGCTTATATATCATTTATTTAAATCTTGTTCTAATATATATATAAAAAAATTGTCATTGGAATTATTTTTCACAAAAAATATTTTTTATAACATCTTTTTGCTGGTCCTCCTTTTCCAGGCAGCTCCATACCTCCACCAATCTTCTGCTCCTCTCTCTGGCTGTGTCAGATTTCTTCGTGGGCCTCCTCATGTGCTTCCACATCATGTTTGCAGACGGCTGCTGGTTTCTGGGAGATATAGTCTGCCTTATCTACCAGTACTTGGCCTACATTATCACCTCTTCCTCCGTAGGCACGATGGTGCTCATATCTGTGGACCGTTATGTGGCAATTTGTGACCCTCTATTGTACTCCACTAAAATCACACTGAGAAGAGTGAGGATTTGCATTGTTCTCAGCTGGCTCTACTCTTCAGCTTTTCAAAGTATAAATCTCAGTGACAACCTGAAACAACCAGGGATGTTTAACTCCTGCGTTGGAGAGTGTATTGTCATCATCAACTACATAGCAGGCCTTGCTGACCTTGTTTTGACCTTCATTGTCCCCATCACTGTGATTGTTGTGTTGTATATGAGGGTTTTTGTTGTTGCTGTGTCTCACGCACGTGCCATGAGGTCCAGGTTTGCAGGTGTCACATCTGTGAAAGCTAAAAAGTCAGAGCTTAAAGCAGCCAGGACTCTTGGTGTGGTTGTGGTTGTGTTCCTCTTGTGTATCTGCCCATATTACTGCGTCACTCTTGTGGGTGTAGACACCTTGCTCAGCGTTTCTTCTTCTGCCATTGTGATATTTATGGTTTATCTGAACTCCTGTTTAAACCCAATGATCTATGCCTTTTTCTATCCCTGGTTCAGAAAATCTGTCAAACTCATTGTTACCCTGAAGCTGCTGCGCAGGAACTCCAGTGAGGCCAATGTCATGTGCAGAGGTGACTAACATGAGATCAGAAAAATGAATGTCCTCTGTTTCATAATGACGATCAAAACATTTAAATGCATTTTATGTGGTATTTTGTCTATTAAATTGTTGCTGTTGGTTGTATTATGTTCTGCTAGCACTGTGGATTAATAACTAGTACATACAATGTTTTCAGCATGAAAACACATAATAACAAAAAATAATTTCAAAATAATTTTCTGGATTATCATAATTTCTATATGGAAACGTTGCACAGCTTTATACAAATGGCGACAATGTTCAAAAGTAATTTTCGTTGTATTTTCATCTCTTTCAGGTCTTTTTTGTTAACTTCTAATATGTATACTGCTCACAGTGAAAATATATTTTAAATGACCAATACTTCTGTTTGATATTTGTTTTTTGTTAATTATTATTAAAAAATGCATACATCTCAGCAACCCTTTTTTAATTAACTTATTTTTGTCCAGTTACTATACTATACTACATCATTTATACTATACTATGAAGATAGTAAATTATATCTACCCTTTTGTGAAAAGACCAATTTTTAAATATTGTTAGTAAGAATATAAAATATAGCTTATAGCATATATAGTGCTTGTGGTCTAAATATCTGGTGGGTTGATCTATTTTAATACCTCTTCTATTTTTTTCAAAAGGAGAATTGACTCTTTAAATCATATAAACATACAATTACAAAGTTACATCTCTATTTCTCTAATCATCTCTAAGTCTGTTAGAATGGTCTGTGAAGACCTCTCTCTCAAGCAAAGGGCAACAGTTTGATCAGAACCAAAGAGGCACACAATACATGTGCTTCATCTCTGTACAAACAGTAGTATATTTAGCTGCTGGTCGGCAGCTGCAATTTCACTTTTACCTGGGATAAGGAAGACATCATTCCTTTGCCTATAAGTCTAGTCAGTTTATCACCCACATACCACGTATATTTATGTCCAAAATTTGAAGATGCATGAAATCCCTATTAGACATTTTTTAACAACACTTATGGACTGTAATAAGTTAAGGCAACAATTTAAGGTGGAAATATCATTTGTGATCATAGCAGTCACTTTGTTTATTCATATCTTCTAAGTTTTTTCATATCTTCTCTTTCCTCTTTCAATTTCACAAAGAGCTGAAAACATTTAATGGCATTACTGCAAACATGAGCATAGGGTTATTTTAAAGAAGAAGCCTAACTGGTCGTTGTACACATGCGGACAAATATGAACACAACAAAATATACATATATATATTTTGTTGTGTATATATGTATATATATATATATATATATATATATACACAAAAAAATATATATATATATATTTTTTTGTGTATATATATATATATATATATATATACACAAAAAAATATATATATATATATTTTTTTGTGTATATATATATATATATATATATATACACAAAAAAATATATATATATATATTTTTTTGTGTATATATATATATATATATATATATAAAATATAATATATATATATAATATATAATATATAAAACTTGACAGACATCTTCAAGGTACTGCTGACATCATATACACATACACACACACACACATATATATATGCTTCAATCATTTTTCTTCGCACACTATTCATGTATCACATTTGAACTATAGATAAGCTTGGTCAAGACAATGTGCACCGGGATTCAAAAGACAGCACTATGTTCATTAAATAGGCTTTAAAAAAAAGGATTTTTTTGTTTATGTCAATGTCCTGTTTTTCTATGGATTTCACTGTAATGTAAGGACACATACACTGAGCCTCAGGCCAAACTTGAGCCTGACCTAAATGTAGAATATTAGATATTATTTTGAGTTAATTTTAGTATAAACATTTTGTTCCTCTTCTATACAAAGGTCATCAAAAAACCTAAGACAGATGTCATGTTAAAAGGTCTCTGAATGTATTTAAAACATATTACACATCCCCATTAGTTTTGACATGTTTCCCTTTATCTTTGCCAAGGCCAGAGCTGTGCAACTTTTAATTTGGTCCTTGTGTTTCCTCACAAAACAATAAATAAATAAATATATAAATAAATACATCTTGAAACAGTAAACATCAAGTTTTTACCTAAAATTTTAAACTGAATTTGCAACAGGTTGTGATAAAGCTTTGTTTATTTGTTTTTCCATCACATAACTGAAAGAACACTTAATATAACTTGACTAAAATAGGAGCTATTTAGCAAAATAAAGCTGTTAATAGTTTTAGTACTTGTTTTAAGAACTTTACCTAACCCTTTATACTTAAAACATATGCTATCGCCTCTATGTAGGAAAACAGGGTTTAATGCATTTTTTCTCATATTTGGATTTGATTTGATACAAAATGAACACAATTAATGCATTTTTTCTCATATTTAGATTTGATTTGATACAAAATGAACACAAAAATAATATAAAGCACCTCACAGTGAAGAGAAGACAATGAACCCAGCTTCAATTTAAATTTATATTAATTCAAATTAATAAATGATGGAGGAAAAGTGCAATATCTCACATTGCATTCTGAATACATAAATAGGTAAATATTTGGGTAGTTTTCAATTATATTGCACTATAAAATTGGTCATGCAAAACGTGTGTATGATGTGTGGAAAAACAATAGAAGACAATTATAAATAACATAATGATGTCTTATTAGATGACTTGAAGAGATCATCGACATGGCATTGCATCTTTTCATGTTTTACATAAAATGCCAGATTCACTCCTTTAGCCAATATTTAAGTTGCAGGAGCCAGGCTTAAGTATTTGCAGTGTGAAAATCAGTTTTATACTCTTTCTGAACCAGGGATAGAAATAAGCATAAATTATAGGATTCAAACAGGAGTTAAAGTAGAAAAGACAATTGAAAAAGGCAGCAGACGTTATATTCAGGACACTGTCCTGACCTGTGAGAACAATGCAAAAATATGGAAATAAGCAAATTAAAAATACAACAACAACAATACCCAGTGTCTTGGCAGCTTTCAGTCCAGATTTCTTAGCCTTTACATTTAGTGAACACTGGACATGGACAGCTGCAGTAAACAAATGCATTGCTCTGGCCTGAGAGGCTGCTACGATAAACACTCTGACATACAGAACAACAATGATGGTGATGGGACAGATGAAGGACATGATCATATCCACCACTCCGGATGTTGAGTCATAGACCAGAACACACTCCCCATGACAGGACTTATACCTGCCGGGATGAATCAGGTTGTCCTTCAGCAGCAGTGAGTCATAGACAACGGCACAACCCCAACAAAGACAGACACACACCTTCACTCTCTTCTCGGTCACTCTGACAGAATAATGCAGAGGGTCACAAATAGCCACATAGCGATCAACTGATATTAACACCATTATTCCTATGGATGAAGACGTAATGACATATTCCAATAAACAGTACAGGCTACAGACAAGATCACTGAGCAACCAGCAGCCGCCTATGATCATGATTTGAAAGAAAAATAAGAATCCCACAAAGAAATCTGAGATGGCCAGAGAAAGGAGGAGGATGTTGGTAGGAGTGTGGAGCTGCCTGGGAACAAAGTAAAACAACAAACATATTATTGTTTGTGGATTTCGCACACTCTAGTTTAGAGTAGTTCTGAATGTCAGAAGGACGTATTGCAGAACCTGAAGTGGGAGATGGAGATGATGACAAGCAGGTTGAGGACCAATGTGAGCAGACCAATGCCGGACAGAGTGATGTCAGTGAGAATGGCCACAGACTGAGATCTGGCAGCCCTCTCACAAGAGGAGTTGAGGAGATTTGGGAAACAGAGTTCCAACCCATTAGAAAATGACATTATTGTGATGAGACAGATGTACTGAGCAGTGTGACAGAAATACTCACATAACTTATTTCACCCCAATCTCCTCCCACCCCCTTTATTTTCTCTAGTGCGTCTTCGGGGGGGGGGGGGGGGGGGTGTTCATGCAGGAATATCTGATGCTGTAGGGACCAAGGACCATGTACATATTCAAACTATATAGATTGTTATCATTTTGAGAACAAAAGCTTTTTTTTGTGAGTAGTGATTCACATGTTTCAACCAACAATCGTTCAAGATTTGTGGCGTCCTGGGTGAACTTCCCTCTTTGGCCAAGGCACTGAAAACAGACACACGTACACACACACACCCCATGTTTCTTTCCCTCCTGTTCAACAACTTCTACTCTTGTACCAATTCTCAATGGAAAAAATATTTGGCAGCAAACTGACATACTGTATATTTTAGATGATGAGAGAAGATGTTTTTATGACCATCTCTTCTTTAATAGCCCATTTAAATTGTTTTTTTTTTTTCATTTTAAAAATATTTCCTCACCTGTTAATGTTACATAAGCATTTTAAACATGTTATGATTGGGTGGCCACTGTTGAACACGAAATATGTCATAATTCTGGCCTGGAGCTCAGACTCATTAGAGACCTCAGTAACAATGGAGCTGTCAAACTCTTACCTGCCCTGTTACATTCCAGACAAGATTGTTCTTCTTCTAGGGTGAACATTTAAGGATTTGGGATTTTTTTGTTTATCTTGAGTTGAACAGCAGAACACATGTCTGACTAGCTGCACATGTCAAGTATGAAAGCTAAATATAGGTCCTGTAGCCTAGAGCTTGCAATTATGTGTTCCTATCTTTTATCGCTTATCAGACGCAGTTCAAGGGCCTAAACTGGTGTGTACTTGATTTTTATTGCAGGGCCTTGTCGGTTTTGAACAACTTTTTATATCTAGGGCTAAGAATTCTGTATAAATGCATATGCCTCACCATATACAGTATAAATGAGCAGTAAAATAGAGCAGTAACTGGCCAGACACCAGTATAATCTCTGCTGTAGCAAATGTGTTATTATCTTCAATCTCAGAAGTGATGAATTGACGTTTTATATTTTATAAGTTACATCATTGTTACCAGTTATCAATGGTCGACAGTATGCAAGAGTGTGTTTGTGGTGGCTGTGTCATACCCCTGTCACATGACATACTAATCTTCATTAGTTCGGCCAAGTGATGTTGCCTGACAACTGATATGCATATGGTTTGTCAGGTGGACACCTGAACTTCATTCTCGACTACTTTTCATTGGTCATGTGGGTCAGAATTGAGTGCCTTCTACTCTGTTTACCTCTGAAAGGGTTTATTATAACAAAGGTGTTCAGCTATAATATCCCAGACTTTAAGAATCCCAAACAATGTTGTTATATTTCATTTTTACAGGTGAGTAGGGGCATCCACAGTCCCATTTAGAACTACAATTCCAATAACGCTGTTGCTTCTGGAAATCCACATACGTCCCAACCAGTGACACCCACAACCCTTTAAATTTATTTTTAGCAACTTATTAGCTGTCTAATATACGTCTATGTAGGAACACATCTTACATGTTAGAATTATCTAATGTATCCGGACTGAGAGTGTCAACATTAAATAAATAAATACATCAAAAAATAATTAATTGTGTCATTAAGAAATAAAACACAATATTTCTATTTATTATTTATTTCATGGTTGGAGTGTTATAGTGCATCATGAATTAATTTTATCTGTCAAACTTGCTGATCAAAATCTGTGGGCAGGGCTAAGGCAAATCTGGTCTGATCAAAGGAAACAACGGTTGACCATCTGAGAACCCTTAATGAACTATAAGGCACAGAGCTGCACTCGGTAGTCGAACACCAAATGTGCTGTGCCTGTTGCACCCTGGTAGTCACCCTGCAATACATAACTTAGTCAAAGTCACAGTCACCCTGCAATACATAACTTAGTCAGGAAGTGCGGAAATAAGTCCTACAGCGTCAATAAAAAATAATTATTCCATCATTTCGCTGCAGGCATGTTTCTTCTGACTAATGGATAATGGATAAATTGGATTTAGCCCCGCCCACAGACTTTGATGGGTGAGTTGGACTGACACCACACCGACCATGAACTGATTAATTAACTAGTGAAACAATTATGTTTTTTCCATTAAATGTAAATGTGTGTTTGGTATTTTAATTAATTAATAACTAATTAATTAATAATTTATTTAAATTATTTAGTGATTTATTTTTAATGTTGGGACTTTCAGTCCTCTATATAGCTGTTCCCTTCATAGACAAACAATCCTAAAGGACCTATACATTTCGAAATACCATTGCTTGTACTTTCGAGTTTGTTATGAATTCCATAAAAACTAAAATAATCTGTATTTTTCACTGCAAAAGATGGCCTTAAGCTTGGGGCCTCTGGTAATTACCTGTTTTACCTAATGTATGTTACAACACCTGCATAAATACAGTAAGTCAAAAGTTGCTCTTTAAAGTCACTAACACACTTTCACCACTTTTACACCACAGACTCCATATTTGATGCCCCAACAGAATTCTGGTATTTCATCAAAAATGTGAATATATACAGGGGGTCCTCAATTTAGCTCCCAACCCCACTGGCACTTTCCTCCTAATTGAATTCACACACAAAAAATATGTTTTTAAAACCAATCCGGATTTTGGTCAAGCCAGAACGTATCAACCAGTAAATCGACCAGTTTTACCACTTAGTTTTAGACAAAAAACTGTCTAAAAACTAGGAGACAATTTCCAACAGAAATTGTATTAAGTTTGGATCCTATCATTAATATTAAAATATACTTAAACATTATTAATCAATAAAAAGGTTTTAGGTTGGTGGAAAAAAAACTCAAACTTGTTAAATGCTAGATGGAATGAACCGCTAAGCTTGTTCCTTAACAATGTCCCTGATAATGACAGTTCAGAAGCAAAGATGAGTTTGACAGAAGACATTGTCTGACTGTCAGTTTGTCATCTCCGTCTGCTTTAGAAAACATCAGCTAATCATTAAGTATTTGGCGGAAGGAATGTTTCGTGAGAAAAGCCTGTTAGTTTGGTCACAAAAATCTGTGAGAATGTCTTCACTGGGGTGAGGAGACAAAGGCAGGCAAAAGCCAATGTTGCTACCGCAATTAGGCATTTAGAGAGAGAGAGGGAGAGAAAGCACACAAAGCAGACCAAGAGCCGAAGCCTTCACAGAGATAAGCCAAGATCCATAGGTTTACTCCACTTCTTCTGAGGGTAAGAACACCTTAAAAAGGTACAACTAAAAGTAATGATTTCAGAATATGATGATTTTCAGATAAGAGTAATCAAAATAGGAGCATTTTTCTCCCATCTTTTGTCAGTGCTAATAGAGAAATGCAAGGTTTGCTAGATACAAAATCACTGACCTTTATTTGTCCTTATCAATTATTAATAAGAGCCTTGGGTCTTGCAAAAGGTGAAGAGAACAGGTTAAACTGCCTGACCCATATTTATAAAAATGCTTTTTGTACAGCTAATTTTCCACCTTTTTATTTAATATAGCAATAACCATGTTACAGTATGATATCTGGATACCTGGAAACTAACTATGGGTTTAATTATCACTGAAAATATAAAACAAACTCTTATGCTGTCAGATATTTGAATTATAATGATATATTTTGTTTGGGTTTTTTTGATTTTCTACAAATGTACAGACAAATAAAGATTAAATTTGAACTACGTTACAGATTACACTCCAGTGGACCATCAGTATGTTCTACTGCATCCTACCACTGGTTCTCAGCTTGTTTGCAGGTAAATTAACTAAAACATCATCAAGTTAAATAAAACAAAACTGAATTCATCTGTTGACCCTAGATAAAACTATGTGATTTTTTAAAAATGCGACAGGAAAGCAAATGAGCAGATGTAACAAAACATTTACCACTTTTTTAAAACTTGGACGGATTAGGTAAATAATGGCTGGGCAATGTAGTGCAAAAAGTAACCACAGTACTCTATGAAATATCAGAAATCCCATGCACAAATATCGAGAACATGCAAACTACATACAGAAAGACAGGGGTTCGAACCAGTGAGCTTGATGAAGAGTGTTTTTAATAAGATTTGCCTTGGTGTAGCCTAGAGGGTGACTTATTTCTAATGAAATTATTAGCTAGTCTACTTGATAAAGCCATGCGTTTGGGGAAATTGGCACTGTAACTACATACACAGTGACACTGTCTACAAAGGAAGTTTGGAAGTCAAAAATCTGATTCTGCACGACTACAGGGAACCTGAGTGGAGCATGTACCATAGCTTGAGAATCACTCCAAATCCAACAAGAGCCAAATAAAAAGTATCTTTTTGGGAAGCTTGCCAAAAACAATTCTCACTTATTATGCACACTATGTTATGTATAAGTGTTGTCTTTGCCATATTCTACTTTACTCTACTTCTTCTATTTTTAAATATTAAAGAAATATTAACAAAGTATATAATTTAATATAATTTTCTCCTTACCGTCAGGTGCTGCTGCAACAAACCAGGCTTTCACTAGTTATGGTGAGATGGACATCACTTCCTGTCCCATCACCTACTTTGGAAAGAAATATGACAAAGTCTACGTAAGTATTATATAGTAAGGCAAATATTAGGTGTACCTTTAAGAATTTAGAGAAACTAACAGCTTAATTAACAATGCCCAGAATTTTATTCTTGTAAAGTTCATTTAACACTTTGACTTCACCAACAAATGTTATTTTTCTTTAACTTATACATCTAGGATAATAAATACCTGACGTACATATCGTAAATGTTTTTTTTAAAAGAAAATTTAAAAAACAATTCTGTTTAATTTTGTTGTTTGTTGTTTCCAGATGCAAAACAGGTGATTTAAATAATTATGTGAGGGATATGTTGAATATTTGTTGGATATAATAAACATCAAGACTATATTTATTACTATAGGCGACCTTCAATGATAGCAAATTTGCAGTTTGCTTCAATGGCCACTACAATGCTGGAATCCAAAATGACTGTATCCTGATGTCTGGAGGAACAGCAGATAGAGGAGACCTGAAAATATTTACCAAAGAAATCCCAATAGGATCAGGGGTCCATGAACTTCTCCCAAGCCTTTCATCTCCTGGAAAATGTGTCAATGTCATCCCACTGAAAGATAGTCAACAAACCGATGTGAGTTCTTCATATCTGGAGGTTTTAGTTTCTGCTTAATCTTGTGTATTGTAGTAATAAAGTATTTCTGGATTTTTGGTTACAGATTGAACAAGTTGAACTTGGTAATTTTGGAAATCAAGCAATTCTGGCAATCAGGACTTACTCCGGATACACACCAGTTAATATGGTCAGTTTAATGGTTAAATTATCATTCAGTTGCTATAGTTGTAATGTTTTTGAATAAACACTGTAGCTTAACTGACAGAAAATCACCCAACAAAGTTATATATGTTCTATATATTTAAAGAAATTGTAACAGTAATTTGAAGCCTAGAAGGTGAATGTGACTTTTTTTTTGCATAACAGAGCAGTCAGGACACTGTGTAAAGCCCTATTTGCATGCCAATGTGTCCTTCAGAAATACGCAATAAAATACTAATCAACTGATTAGCCTCCCCAAATCGGTGGAATTTAGACATAAAATATTTGAAATATGAGATTTTCACTGTAATGAAACAGGATGGACGGAAATAAAATTAATAGAGAAAAGCTAACGATAGAGCTTTTTTCATCACTATTTCTCTTGACCCTTTCCAGGATGCTGACACACAAGTCAATGGCCTAACAATTTCTAAAAAGACATTTCAAACATCACAAACAATGTCAGGTGTCATCACAGATATTAGTGGTTGTAGACACTCAGGTTAGTACATATCAAAACAACACAAGTCCTCAAAGAGAAGACCATGACAATTCAGATGGCCTTTTTTTCAACCAAATTATCTTTCATTACATCTTCAGGTGTTGTGTACAAGCCAAACACATCACAGAAAATCCCAAGCATTTGCTCTACAGTTACCTGTGGTGCAAATGGAGTCGTCACTGCTGTCAGTGACTGTGATCCCACAGAGCACTGTGATGGCAATGGAGGGTAAATATTTCATACTGTATATTACTTCACAGTATTTGCATATTTCATACTGTAAATTATATCACAGTATCTGCATATATCAGTCTTAAAGTATCGCAAATTGTGTCATTTTCTGTCTCCACCAGTTGCGTCTTCAACAGCATCTGCACTGTGACTGGCTTTACAATCATCGATTTTCCCGGCCGTGTCCACTTTGTTCCTGACCGCTGTGGGTACATTCTCTTAAAGTCAACGCCTATCTCTGGCCTTCAAGTGCTGGGAGTTTTCCAGGAGAGACGGCGGAAAGATGTCAGCTTTTTAGAAAGAGTGATAATAAAGATGGAGAGCACAGGAGCTCAAATCTCTCTGGAACAAGGGGGGAGAGTCTTGGTACGTTTTTTGAAGAAGCTAAAAATGGTCAATACTGAATTAAATTAAAAGTAATTTATAGATATTATTCAGAAACAGAATAAAAAATACATTATTCGTCCCCAAGATTAAACTGTTGTTGTTACAGGTGGTCCTGCAAGTAGATTTGACAGGAGAAATGTACTTATAAGAAATAGAGACCAATATTTATTTTTAAATACAAATTAATATTAATAAATAAATAAGTACAGGCAATTGTTGAAAGGGATATTGTCAATGTTGCTCCCTTATAGTAAAGGTCATTACAAACAGAATTTTATGGAATGGGGGCAGAATCTTTCATTTTTACAAGTTTCTAACTCATCAGGCATCTGATACAGAACTGTATTAATGCCATTGTTGTGCAGCCCATCTCAGTTCTGATTGGGATGGGCTTATGGTAAATTCATCTTAAGCTAAATTGATAGATTGCTTACAAAGCTTCTATTTTACAGTTGAGTCTATAACCAAATGGTAAAACGTGAAATTAAACAACAATAAAAATAGATAATGCACCACCTTAGTACAGTTCATGTATGCAAATATTTAAGTTGTTTTACTGTAATAATGAGACCATGTGTTTAATCAAGCCTTGATTACTCTGTTTAAAGCTGAACAATAAAAACGTGCAGCAGCTGACACCTGTGGCCTCCATCGTCCAGGGTGTAGAACTTTCTAGGAACCAGAGTGGGATAACGGCAAAGATATCTGGGTCTTCTTATACTGTTTATGTCCATTTTGATGGGGAAATTGCCCTTATTCACATGACAGGTACGTCTAGATTTACGTACAAACATTTCTTATGAAATACATTGCTCAGTAGTGAGATAACACTTGAGTGCTACTTCTAAAAACAGCAGATATCCCTTGTAGAGAAAGTTTTATAACCAGTCACAGTCTCTCTTTGAATTCCCCAGGACCAAGTGGAACAGAGGTGCAGGGATTATGTGGCAGTGCCAACACTACTTTAGGGGTAGAAAAAGCAGCTGAGCACAGTGACAGTGGGTAAGAGCTTAAACACAATCTTTAACTTGATGCTGTTGCTGCACAGGTGAAATGAGACAAAATAATCATATCTTGTCTGTTGTCCACAGCTGTGATGTACAACAAAGCCAACCTGTCGACAGTTCAATTGACTGCCCATCCGCAACTGAATGGTAACTATAGCATGCAGATTGACCTATATATTCGTTGTACATTCATTTAACTACTTAAGGTTTAAAAGTAGGCTGATTCCTCACTACTTTGTTAGGTCAGTTACCATCCCATATATAATGTCTCAGTGGGTCAGAACTAGTAAAACCTGGTAGCCAACATTTAGAAAAAAGTTCAGTTGTGGACTGTACTTTTAACTACATCAAAATGTTTAACGATGTGTAGAAAACACATACAATACTTTTGGATGTACATTATTTGTCTAATAGATCTAATATTTATTTTGATCTTTTTCCTCCCCATATTTTTCCTTGCTCTTCTAAAACAGGTGTAATGTTTTGAAGGAGGCTCCCTTTTATGCTTGCAATGCTCACATTGACCCAGAGCCCTACATTAGCGCCTGCACAGAAATGCTTTGCAAGTACCCTCCAGTTGATGGTCTTCGATGCCAGTTTATGGAGGCATATGTCAAAAGCTGCAGCTACCACAGCAACGTCAATGTGGAGGGATGGGAGTCAGACGCCACCTGCTGTACGGCTATTTTGTGCCTGGTCTATAAAGTTCATGTTTTGCTTATTATTTTAGTTAATTCTATGTCTGCATCGTTATTTGCAGCTATTCACGACTTTTGTCAAGACATGTACTGCAGTGATCATGAGTTCTGTGGTAGGCACTACACTGGAGAAGCTGGCTGCCTCTGCCGCGCTCTTTTTGCCTCTCCATATAAAGCAACAGGAACCTTTGGTGAGTTACATAAAAAAAAAAAAAACTGTTCTGAAGTTTACTATAAAATTAAACCAATGGTTTCAATAGAGACTGGCAAGGGCTGTGTGTAAAAATGTTTATTATTATCAAAAGTAATTATGAAACATTTCCCACAAATATATATATATACAAAATAAATATATAAATATATATATATAGACATATATATATATATATATATATATCAACAGGTTCAAATATACCAGCTAAAATGACCTTTGTGTTGTGATATGGGGGTTTAGGAGAACCAACGGTCTGTGAGAAAGAGTCTGCTTCGATTAGTCTGGCCAAGTGTCTCTTGGAAGATCAAAGCATTAACTACCGTAACCTAAAACTTAATGACCAGACCTGCCAAGGTGAATTGGACAGTGAAACCCACATGGTGACTTTCTATTTTGACGGGAACAGATCTTGTGGGACTGTGATCACAGTGGGTATATCTTACACGTTACACAATGCACACAAACTGCTGTAATTCTTGTATACAGAGAACATTTGTTTGTTTACCTTCAGACAAATGGCAGCCGGATCGCCTACAAGAACACCATCATGACTCCAGGTGCCACCATCCCAGGCGTCATCAGTCGTAAGAGTCAAGTGCAGATAGACCTCACATGTTGTTATAGTCAGCCAGATATTAAAAGCCTGGGTATCACCCTGCAAGACAGGTTTGTAAAAATGATATGAAAAAGACATGGAATGGTTTTGGGTTAAAGAGTAAGACATGTTTTCATAAAGAATGCACATGGTTTTCCAGTTCTGTGACTCAACAGATAGTTTCTGGACAATGGAGTTATAATCTCACAATGGAAGCTTACACCAATACTGAAACAAAGAAAGCCCTTGGAAACAATGATAAAGTTCTTCTGAATCAGAAAATATGGGTGGATTTGAAGACAGAAGGATTGGATAAAGGGATGGTGGCTGTGGTGGTGGAGTCCTGCTGGGGAACCAATGAGCCCTTACCAAGTTCAAGCCTGAAATATGACATTATCATTGATGGGTGAGAATCACAGATCTACTGATTTGTTGATTTTGTTGTTGCTGCTAGTTTATCCATGTAATTTTTGCTTTTGGGTTACTTTTGTGTGCAGCTGCCCTAACCCAGCTGACAACACTGTCCAGGTTATGGGCAATGGAAGGGGAAGTTCTACAACCTTTTTTTTTAATGCATTCCAATTTACTGGCAAGAATCGCAACGTCTTCTTACACTGCAGAGTGAGACTGTGCGTCCAGCGGGACAATGATTGCATACCGGTAGGTGGTCCTGGTTTGTTAGCAACTAAGTTAGTCCAGAAACATGCATCTTTATGTTAATAAAAGTTACCATTTCGCTATTGCAGCATATGCAAACTTGAACATAATACTAAATTTCTTTGTTTTAATTAGACATGCGGTGGGCAAACCACAAGGAGGCGCAGATCTATTATGAAAAGATATGAGGACAAAAACCCAGGTCTCATCAACTTGGTCTGGACATACTGAGTAAGTGCAAATAAACATTTCTTTTTAAACAACTGTTTATATCTTCTTGTATATTTTTGTTTTGCAATTTAAAAATAATTAAATATAATGTCTTTACTGGTTTTAGACTGAACACAACCTAAATTCATCTTCAGTGGATTAAACTTTCATTATAAATCCAGCAATCCAGAGAGTTTTGACTAAACTTACATTTTTATTTTTGTGACCCTATTGCCACTCCAGAACTTTTGTTGGGGAGTTGGACTCTGGGGACTCAAAACAGATTTGGATATTATCAACTTACTATAGCATTAAATTTCCATCTTCTTAGGTCAACCCATGAAGACCAGCTCAAGCTCAAGACACAAGCTTCACACAAGTGGGCTGTTTTCTTTCAAATCTATTCTATAAATGTATATAAAAAAAATCAGTTTCTTTCTAGCCCTTAAGTATATCAGCTCTGAGGTGGAGGGTAAAAGTCAAGGTAAAGTGTTTAACAATTATTTAATTTGATGGTTAAGGCTGTGGTAACAATCAAACCAAATTATAAGTCCCCATGTTCTGTGGGGATCGGGTTTCCATGTATATTCAAATAAAATAAAAATTTGAATTGAATGGTTTCGGATCATTCTTTACTGAAAAAGTCAGGGAACTTTTCTTCTCTTCCTACACAAAGTATATTTTCAGGTCTAGGCTTTGTTGTTCTAAAAATATCCCTTTTCTTTTATTCACATAAGAAACAACAAGGTTAATTAGTAAAAAAAAACATTAGACACAAATCCAAGGCTTTTATCAATGCCCTTTGACACTGAACCTTGAATATAACTTAATTCAAAAGGTGATATTTGTTAACGTAGTGTGTTGAATTAAATTGGTCAAATATTAACACAAGTCACAAATAATGAAAAAAAACAATCGCTGTCTCATTTCAAATAATACTACACCAAACAAATGCACACATGTAAGTCCACATGCACACAGTACACACTAGTGTGCAGCTCATTAGCCAACTGCTGTTTACATCTGTGACCGTAAACACCGTAAACACCGTTTTCACACTTGCTTTCATTAGTGTGCTATAATGAAACCACTGTGACAACAGGTGTGTGGACTGCACACACATACTCAAGCATCAATAAAATGATGCAATCATGTCAGCAAATCAAGTAACTATGTAATGTTATTGTTTTTGCCCTCAAAATCTTTGTCCAGCTTCCTAATGAGGATATTAAATCATAAATAATTTAAGTTTAATTTACTAATTGACAGCTTCATTATTACTTTTGTTACATGGAACACTCTTCTAACAGTTCAGTAGAAGTACACATTTAAGATGAAAACTTCTGAGACCCTTCACCTCTAATTTGCCCCTGGACGTTTACTGACTCTTGTTGTGTCAGTTGTTGCTAATGGCAGCACCCCTCGGTGGCGGACACTGTTTTCACACCTGTCTGCACTGATGTCAAGAAACCACTTGCAATGCAATCAAAGGTGTTGCATCACAACAAAATATTGTCAAAGTTTTTTTTATTTATAATGAACAAGTGAGGACACCTTTCATTTAGCATAAAAAGTAGTGGTAACTTATTTTAAACAAGGATAGTCTATTTTTCATTTAATTTCAAGTAAATCCATATGTATACAGTATATGCCTCTGGAAAAATAAAGGAACTTTACACTAACTGTATAGTAAGATCTCAATCAATATGTTGCTTCAAGCTCTTTTTAACTAGAATTATTATCTAATTAAGAGAGACATAGAGCATATAAAGAAACGGCATGAACTGCTGCCCATGTGGCTGCTGCTACTAACTGGAAACAACATTTACAAAAATGATCTTACGGTCATTATTTTGTATGTTGAATTGTAAAGTGCAGTATTTAAGTATAATAGAGTCGCACTGTGAATAGACTGTACCCCATAGGTAAGTTCAATGGGTGTTTTCTAATGCATCATATAAAGTAAATTTGATATGCACATAATTATGGCTATCTGCTTCTTATTTAAAACAATAACATTTTACGTGCTAATATTAGTTAACAATTCATAATTTAGGATTATATTCTTAAACTAAAGTAGCTGGTCATAGTTTCCAACTGTGGCTAAGTAGTTCTCAACTTGCACCACCTTGCATACCTAGCTTGATTGGCTTTTGTTTATATCACCAAAGCAATTATTGTGAAACACTTTTAATTATTGTGAAAGACAAAAAGCTAATAATATCAATATTAAATTACTTCTATTTAAACTTTATTCAAACCAAAATTTTAAAGGACTAAGCCTTTGATTAGGATTGTTAAGAATGATTCTGTGGTTGACTGTTTGCGTAGCATATTAATACTCCTAAGTCTTGTTAAAAAAAAAAAAGGCAACCAAGAGAATATCAGTTCTTTGGCATATGTGTTTCTCTGCAGTCTGATGTCTAACTCTTATAGTGACCGATGTCTTCCAACATACATAAGGCACATAAAAACAGCCAAAAGCATTACAGTACAGTACAATCATAAAATCCCATCACTGACATTTATTAACCACAAATGTCTATATTTAATGAAGCTCTTACTATTATTAAATTTACTATACGATTTTTAATCTAACAACTTATTGCCATCTTCAAATCATCAGCATTTATTATTCTATGTAACACTATGGTCTCAAAAGATTAGAAAGAACTTCCATTGTGAAGTTATGACATTCATGTTAACTCCTATTTTTTGACACAACACAACCATAAACAGATTTTGCGTATGCTTATTATATACCTTTAAATGAAGTACTGTCTTCCTAGCCTGGAATTAGCCAGAGCCACAGTGAAAGCGGCCTCTTTAAGTTAGCATCTGGGTTATTAGCTTTCACTCATTCATAAACAACTGAGTTTTACATTTTCACATCCCATATTAGCAAAGGCTACCTTAAAATTTACCTCACCAATAACGTTTGTTTAACTGTGGTTCATTTCCCCTTTTGTAAATACAGTTATACTACTTATTACTTCTTTTAGAAGTAGTTTGTCCGCCATCTTGATTTACTAGATCTTCACAGAATCCGCGGGGACGCGGACCAAGCTGTCGTTACGTTTGTCTCTGTTCAAAGTTATGTAACAACTAACGACACGTCACAGTCATTGTCTAATACCTTGAAATTTGTCATATCACTTTCACTTGCCATCACGTTCATTACATTACTTTAGTACTTTACCTGAGACAACAGTAGCCAACACAACAGTCCTTAGGCATCTATCTTTCTGTGGGCCTCCGCCGCTGTCTGACGTAACTCTTAGAGACAGGCGCCATTCATCGATATTATTATTAACACAGCGCCCTCTGTTGACCACTTCGAATACCTTTTTAGACCTTATCAGATATGCTTAATAGAAATCAAAGCGATGGCATTCAAAATAATAACGTCAGCAACGAATAATTTAGACGTCTGTATTTATTTTATTATTAAGTATTATAAGTATATTTTCTGTCTTTCTCTAAAAGCATTTATAATATGTAAAAAACATATAATGCCTACATACAAAATATTGCCTAGACCCTCCCAGAAAAATAAGAACAGAAGCGAAGATAAGTCAAAATTAGTTTTTATATATATATATATATATATATATATCCCATTATATTATATATTCTTGGGTTGCAAACTTATCATGGTGGGGTTCATCTATCCCACTAATCCTAGGAGCTAAGTTGTCTGTCAGTAGACCCCCTAGGACCATAAATAACTATTAATTCAATTCTCCCTTGCACAAATGGGGTTACTGTGGTGTGCTGGGGGTGCAACACATCACCGACTGGAAAAGCTGAAGAAGTCTGGCTTTGCTATTGGAAGAAGAGAACTGCTCACTATCCTGGATAATGCCAATCATCCTCTGCACACTGTCATCAACAATTATCAACAATACGTGCAATAACCACAATTTCTATATACTGATGCTCTTCCTGGTATCCTGTATGTGTATATATATATATTTATATATAGTATACTGTATATACTGTATGTATATGTATATGTATATATATGCACACTGTATGCACACTGCTCCCCGGCCACTTGAGCTGCCCCCTGCTCACATTGGTGATGGGTAAAACGCAGAGGTCACATTTCGTTGACTCTGTCCCTCTTCTTATGGCCTTCCCACCTGTGAGTAGGACCAAAATGGCTCAGGTGAAGTGTGAACTGGATAGTGGCCAAAGCAGATGCCCTGATGTCCCAAAGTTAAGGAAAATGACAATGACAATAAACAGTTCAGCAGATAAAGTATGTTAACATTTGTGTGCAGTGCTTTATTATCTATTTTCCTCTAAACATGCACAAATGGTGTTCCAAAACTATAATTGTGTTTTTAGATGAGAAAGCGACCGATGTAAATCTTAGGAGTTGTATTATTCTGCATCACAGAAAGAGGCTTTGATTGGATGAATGAAAAGGAGGAGGAGCAGGGAGAACACCATATAACAGTTTGACGCGTTTCAGTATTGCTCCAAAATAAGCTGCCATTGCTCTTCATCCGTTTCTTCTTCTCTTTGGCAATGGAGATGCTGGAATCTGAATTCTGCATTCAAGACTTCAACAACTCCTGCAAGAGGCCATCACAACCGTACAGTGAAGCCATGATAATCTATACCGTGCTGTCCTCCATTTCCTTGGTCACTGTGGTACTTAACCTGCTGGTCATCATCTCCATCTCACACTTTCGGTACTTACTGACTTTTATTCCATAAAATGTTTTGACGCCATTGAAAGATGTTGTAAATATTGTGCTTCAGTCATTGATAATGTTCTTTGCAGGCAGCTCCACACTCCCACCAACCTTCTTATGTTCTCTCTGGCTGTCGCCGACCTCCTTGTGGGTTTATTGTTGATGCCCGTGGAAATCATCTATGTGGAAGCCTGCTGGCTTCTTGGTGACATTCTTTGCATTTTATACTATATTGTTGACTACATCATAACCTCCTCCTCAGTAGCCAGCATGGTCTTCATATCAATTGACCGTTACATAGCCATTTGTGACCCTTTGCATTACAGCACCAAAGTAACTAAGAGAAGAGCAAAAATTCTTGTGTGTCTCTCCTGGGTTTGTTCCTTCTTATACAGAGTTCTACTTTTAGCTGATCATCTGACACATCCAGGAATGTCTAACTCCTGCACAGGGGAGTGTGTCGTTGTCATCAACTATGTTGCAGGTCTGGTAGACCTTGTTTTCACCTTTATCATCCCCATAACCATCATCGTTATATTGTATTTGAGAGTGTTCATGGTGGCTTTCTCCCATGCCCGAGCCATACGCGCTCACATTGCAGCTTTTACATTACAGGGCTCAGGTGCTGTGACTGTGAAAAAAACTGAAATAAAAGCCGCCTGGACTCTGGGCATGGTTGTCATTGTGTTTTTGATCTGCTTTTGTCCCTACTACTACCCGGTTCTTGTCGGTGAGGAAACATCAGTCGATGCCTCGTCTGCAGCAGTTGAGATCTGGCTGGCACATTTTAACTCATGTTTAAACCCTATCATTTATGCCTTTTTTTATCCATGGTTTAGAAGCTGCATTAAACACATCGTGACCCTTCAAATACTGAAGCCAGGCTCCAGGGACACGAGAGTGCTGTGACGATGCACAAAGAAAGACTGGAATGTTATGAATCAAAAACTTCCACTCTAAATGCAAACATGATATTATAATGTACATGTGTACAAAACCATATAGTTGTATATTAAGATGTTTTACTCTGACCTATACTGCTCTGTATTTGCCTATGACACGTAGGATTGGATTTTATGTGCGTAAAATGACATGGTCTTGTAGATTGCTGTAGGTATGCTTTTCTACCAACAATAACATTTTGAAAAACTGCACACTAGAGGTTGTCCCCAGTCTTTTCTAATTCTTTATAATGACTGAGTGCAGTTAACTCAGTCATATTTCATTCACTAGAGTTCAATTTACACCATCATTTACAGGGCACAGATTACTATAAGGATTTCTGAAAACTTCTTTCTTGTCCACCTCTCCATGTTTTTCACCATATTATCTTCTATTGAGCTGCAGAAATATCACACTGAAATCAAAATCTACTCCAAATCATTGTGTGTTTTCTGTATTGCACATTTCATGCTTTCTATGTTTATACATGTTAAAACTGTATTGCACATTTAATGCTTTCTATGTTTATACATGTTAAAAAAAAAACCTATATCCTCGCTTTGTATTGAATAAAATGACTTGAATCACTTATATGTTACTCCTGCACTGACAGCCTACCACCACAGCCATGTGCCGCTGCTTTTGGACTATTGTCTATTGTTATTTTATCTAAATTATTGTGAAGACCCTTCGTCCATTTATACTGTAGTACTGCAAAGCATAGAGAAATGACATTTCCTGTATGTCCTGTACATACAGCCAAGTTGACAAATAAAAACATTATTAAAATCTTAAAATGTCATTCTCATGTCAAGTAGGTCTACCCTGCAACAAACAAAGATAAAAGATTATTAGAATGTTGCTGCAGTCATAATTTGTGTATGAAATGAAAAGTAAATTCTATAGACTGTTATACAAATGAAAAACAATTAAAGACAAATACAAAATAACATTGAAAAAATCTGGAAACAGTTGACCCATAAAATTCTCTCTCTCTCTATATATATATTTATAAAATATATTATCATAAATCATAAAAATCATGTAGAGTGTTTTTAACGATGAAGCGGCATCAGTTCAGCTGTTGCTTAGTGGAACACTAATTTGCCTCTCACTCAACAGGCACAGGTTTGAATCCAGCTGTTTGTAGGTCAGAACCTCATCTATATGTTGTCTTTTATTTCCTATCTACCTAATGTTGTTTCCCGGCCTATATTGCCTGGAGCCTCACTGTCCTGTTGTAGATGATATTGTAGTGACTTCTGCTGAAAGTTCACCAGCCGGCAGTCATACAATTCAAATCCAGCATCAGAATCAATGCATTAGAATATGTGTGTAAATTCTCACCTACTGTAACGTACAATCATATAACATATAAAAAAAGCCCTGCATATACATAAATAAAAACACCACTGACAAATCTAGAAATTAAAAATACTATAATATTTTTAAAATGTTGAGAAAATATAAATGTTGTAATTCTACATGCTAAAATATAAAAATATTTTGTCATAAAAAAATGACAAAAGTCTATTTGAATGTCAGGCTGAACCTTTACACAGAGCTCCTAATGGGTCTGCTGCAGATGTCGCCTTTGCTTCTCAACAGTCAGGACTACACAGCACTGTGGGTGATGGGCTGTGGTTCTCATAAAAAGCGACCACTCAGTTGCCATATGTGACCCAGTTCTCTACATGAGTTACTGACCAGGGGTGTTGGACTGCAAACCAGATGTTATTGCAATAGGGTTCATATTACATAAAAGTGGGCATAAGATTATAAAAGCCTTTGTTTTTAAAAAAAATCAAGTGACTGATCTCGAATCTGAACTGTTGTCCTGCACTAATACCTGCACTAATACCTGTGATCCGTCGCTTCTCTTTTGAAAACGTTTTTATATTGATCCATCCATATATTAAGGGGGGGGTTGAACCGCTATTTGTCTGATCCGTCGCTTAGGACCTGTTTGCCTTGGGAGACCCTACCAGGGGCGTTAAGCCCCCGACAACATAGCTCCTAGGTTTATTCGGATACTCAAACCCCTCCACCACGTTAAGGTTGCGATTCAAGGAGGGATTTTTTTTATATTGATATTAAAACATAAAGTTTCACAGTTAAGAAACTGTTCAATTCACATCGTGCAGGACTTAATCTCAAAGCAGCAGACGACTGGTGTTTCCATGACCCTGACCTTATGACGAGAATTAATATGCAAATGAGTGATGAGGACAGAAAAAGGATAAGTAAGCTGCACCAGGAAGACCTGGGGTCAGTACAGCACTGTCTTCTATAGGACCCAAACATGGAGGCTCTGGAGGAGGGCGACTTCTGCTTTCCTCACATCAACAACTCCTGCAGGTGGTTAAAACGTCCTGAAGTGGAGACCACGCTAATTTACATTGTGCTGTCCATCATCATTCTGCTGACTGTGGTTCTAAACCTGCTGGTCATCATCTCCATCTCCCACTTCAGGCACAGTGAATCAGTTTGTTCAATCAAAGCTTTCTAGCGCAAATTGTAAATAAGTGTTTTTGATGTTTGTGTTAATGCCGTGCTGTTCCATCACAGACAGCTCCAGACCACCACCAACCTCCTCCTGCTGTGTATGGCTGTCGCTGACTTCCTGGTGGGTCTCCTGCAGATGCCACTTCTGCTTCTCCACAACCAGGGCTGTTGGCTCCTGGGCGACGTTATGTGCGCTGTGCATTACTTCTTAGGATTCGTCGTGATCAGTGTTTCAGTGGGAAGCATGGTTCTCATTTCTGTCGACCGCTACATCGCCATCTGTGACCCAATGTTCTACACCACCAGAGTGACTATGGCCAGAGTTAAGTTCTGTGTCTTTATGTGTTGGATTTGTTCTCTTGTCCATGCAAGTTGGATACTGGGAGATTTCCTGAAAAGGCCAAACATGCATAATTCATGCCATGGAGATTGTGTAGTCGTTGTGAATTTTGCTGAAGGAATAGTTGACCTAGTAGTGACCTTTCTAGGCCCTATTTTAATTATTGTAATCCTTTACTCTCGAGTATTTGTGGTGGCTGTATCTCAGGCTCGGGCCATGAGAACTCACGTCGCAGCCATCACTCTGGGTCGTCCAGAAAAGGTGAAAGCAGAGAAATCTGAGGTAAAAGCTGCAAGAACTCTGGGTATTGTAGTGGTCGTGTTTCTCCTCTGCTCGTCCCCGTACTATTGTTTTGCTGTTGCAGCTGAAACCAACTTGGTGGGGGCTTCATCTGCAGGAATTGAGATTTGGTTCCTCTACTGTAACTCGACTCTTAACCCTGTCATCTATGTCTTTTTCTACCCCTGGTTTAGAAAAACTATTAAACACATTGTAAGCCTTCAGATACTGAAGCCTGGCTCTGGTAAAATCCAGGTCTTGTAGGAAATGATGCAATGATCTGGCCAACACCGAGGCCGTTGAAATCTCCAATTAAAATGTGAAATGTGTCAATTGTGTGAATCGTTTTGTCACCTGAAACAAAATGACATATAAATGTGTTAAATATCGTTACAAAACATGAGGCCTGCCACAAAAATGTTGTTTCCTATCTGAATCATCGACTGGAATGTCATCAACAGCCTGCTTTCAAGCCAACATGTTCCGAGGTACCAATAAGTCAAAGCTGATCCGCTGACTTTTCTTCATGTCGGTGATTGAGTTTGTTAGGTAATTCTTTGTTTTAAATTGACAATCTTTGTAAAAAAAAAAAAGGTGAAATTATAGTCAGTATGAGCAAATGTACTTCATGAAGTTGAACTTTCTTATTACTGGAGTACTTCGAGTCAAGTCAAAATTCTGTATTGCACATTTAATGCTTTCTATGTTTATACATGTTAAAAAAAAAAAACCTATATCCTCGCTTTGTATTGAATAAAATGACTTGAATCACTTATATGTTACTCCTGCACTGACAGCCTACCACCACAGCCATGTGCCGCTGCTTTTGGACTATTGTCTATTGTTATTTTATCTAAATTATTGTGAAGACCCTTCGTCCATTTATACTGTAGTACTGCAAAGCATAGAGAAATGACATTTCCTGTATGTCCTGTACATACAGCCAAGTTGACAAATAAAAACATTATTAAAATCTTAAAATGTCATTCTCATGTCAAGTAGGTCTACCCTGCAACAAACAAAGATAAAAGATTATTAGAATGTTGCTGCAGTCATAATTTGTGTATGAGTTTGTTAGGTAATTCTTTGTTTTAAATTGGCAATCTTTGTAAAAAAAAAAAGGTGAAATTATAGTCAGTATGAGCAAATGTACTTCATGAAGTTGAACTTTCTTATTACTGGAGTACTTCGAGTCAAGTCAAAATTATTCATCATTAAGTTTTTTTCCTCAAACAAAGCCGTGAATTGCAATAATCACAGAAAATCAAGTCAAAATGTACTTTATCAACTGACTTTGGGTTAGGGTTATATAAATATATATTTATATATGTGCTGCCATATGTGACCAAGTTTTCAACATGACCAGGGGTCCCAGGAAACCAGATGTTATTGCAACTGGGTTCATATTACGTAACAGTGCGATACACATTTTTTTTAAAGTATTACAAACTTTTTTACTTTTACTAAAAAATCTAGTTATTATCCTAAATTACAATTTGAACTGTTGTCCTGCACTAATAACTCTGAATAAAATTTGTACTTTTTAAAAATTAGTCACATATTGATATTAAAACATAAAGGTTAGTAGTTAAGAAACTGTTCAATTCACATCGTGCAGGACTTAATCTCAAAGCAGCAGACGACTGGTGTTTCCATGACCCTGACCTTATGACGAGAATTAATATGCAAATGAGTGATGAGGACAGAAAAAGGATAAGTAAGCTGCACCAGGAAGACCTGGGGTCAGTACAGCACTGTCTTCTATAGGACCCAAACATGGAGGCTCTGGAGGAGGGCGACTTCTGCTTTCCTCACATCAACAACTCCTGCAGGTGGTTAAAACGTCCTGAAGTGGAGACCACGCTAATTTACATTGTGCTGTCCATCATCATTCTGCTGACTGTGGTTCTAAACCTGCTGGTCATCATCTCCATCTCCCACTTCAGGCACAGTGAATCAGTTTGTTCAATCAATGCTTTCTAGCGCAAAAATGATTTTGATGTTTGTGTTAATGCTGTGCTGTTCCATCACAGACAGCTCCAGACCACCACCAACCTCCTCCTGCTGTGTATGGCTGTCGCTGACTTCCTGGTGGGTCTCCTGCAGATGCCACTTCTGCTTCTCCACAACCAGGGCTGTTGGCTCCTGGGCGACGTTATGTGTGCTGTGCATTACTTCCTAGCGTTCCTGGTTGTTAGTGTCTCGGTGGGATGCATGGTTCTCATATCAATCGACCGATACATCGCCATCTGTGACCCCATGTTCTACACCACCAGAGTGACTATGATCAGAGTTAAACTATGTATTTGTATGTGTTGGATTTGTTCTGTTGTCCACAGCACTTGGATATTGAGGGATTTCCTGAAGAGCCCTAACGTGCAGCTGAACTGCTACGGAGATTGTATCATCATTGTGAACTTTGCCGAAGGAGCTGTTGATTTTGCTGTCACCTTTTTAGGCCCCATTTTGATCATAGTAATCCTGTACCTGAGAGTATTCGTCGTAGCTGTATCTCAGGCTCGGGCCATGAGATCTCACGTTGCAACTGTGGCACTGAGGCGATCAGAAAAGGTCAAAGCAGAGAAATCGGAGATAAAAGCAGCAAGGACTCTGGGTATTGTCGTGGTGGTGTTTCTCATCTGCTCAAGTCCGTATTATGTTTTTGCTATTGCAGCTGAAAGCAACCTGGTTGGTGCGTCATCTTCAGGGATTGAACTGTGGTTAGTCTACTGTAATTCCAGCATCAACCCTGTCATCTACGTCTTTTTTTACCCATGGTTCAGAAAGGCGATTAAACACATTGCCACACTAGAGATACTGAAGCCTGGCTCTCGTGAAATCAGTGTGCTGTAGCTGCCCAGACTCCAGTAATGTCTGAATAGTTCATAAAGATGTCTGCCAGTCACCTTTTTGTTTTTCCAAAAATGTGGTTAATTTATTAGGATATTACATGTTTCAACTGTTGAATCTTTTTTTTAAATTTCTGTAATAAAAATAGTCTACACAAACTACTGCTTTTCATCCAACATTTTCTTCTAAATCTTCAATTAAAACAAACGGTGATAGAGACAAGTATTTTATTCTACATGGTCTTAGTTATTAGTAATTTATGAAAATACAAAGTTTAGGTATCATAAATTGTTTATGTGTATTTACATTTAGCAGATGCTTTTATCCAAAGTGACTAACAGAGGAGCATTAACAATCTCCTCTCGGAATCGAACCTGGACTCTCTGCTACTGAGGCAGGCAGTATATATTTTTTTCCAAATGAAAATAAGACATTTAATGTGAAGGTCCATGTACACACCAATGTTTGTTTGGCTGCCATTAGTTTTAGGCAGCTGTCTCATTTATTATCATATCTTGCTTTAAAAAAAATTAAAGTATTTAAGAACATATAGGTCTCATTTAAATACATATGTATCAATTAAAACTAATTTATTTCACCAAAAATAGTTATTGATAATAACAAATCTATTAACTGCAAGTTTCATTGTTTAGAAATATTTGCCAAGTTTTAACGTGTGAACCCTAAGTCATAAAACACCAAGGTAGATGTTAAAAATTGTCCAGACCTGACAAAAGAAATGTCTGATGTTGATTCCGCAATATATATATATATATATATATATATATATATATATATATATATATATATATATATATAATGTAAAGAGTGAAAAATCCCCCAAAAAGAGAGAACAAGAGTGAGTGTAGTCTATAGACTAACTGACTAGACTAAGGGATATACATACATACATATAGTGCATACATGTATCATGACTGCTTATCCACACACACAATGCAGATACCACACGGTATGTGGAGTACACACATACACAACAATGTAAGGTTTTGGAGTATTTAAACTGAAAAACCTGTGTAAAATATTTGTATTTATTATTTTCAGTTTCATTAGTTTCATTAAAGGTTATTTTCCAAGTTGGCTGGGCAAGTTGTTGTTTTGATTATTGATTTAAAGGTTTTCATTTAACAATTATTTAGTTTGTTGGTCACTGTCCTTGAATCAATATATAGAAGAAATATGATTGGGATGTTGGGCAGAACTGGCATCTTCACACATATTGATACATAATAAAACTAAAGGTCATTGTATTCCCTGCAATCTTGACCTGTTCAAATCTGACATCATCTAGTTATAACAAAATCACATCAGCGATGTGATTTTGAGCAAAACTCATTGTGTTACAATGAAATTAAGTGCATTGTAAACATTTCTCTGAAATCTGTGCCTTTCTTTTTAACAGTTATGGCCATGAAACTCTGGCCTTCTCATGTTATAAGCACAAGTTGATTCTTTTACATAATGTATTTGTTAAATTTGTTTTGCGTTTTTTTTTTTATTAAGTTTTAGCAAAAGCATTATAGGATTAATTTTACTGGCCACTGGACTTGTGACACGATGAAATTTGCATATGACATATGAGAAAGGAAAGGGATAAAACGTCTGGAGGAGAAAGGCCGCCGATCAGAGAGGACACAGAATCCTGTTTCTGTTTGCTCCCTCCCAACATGGAAACTGTGGACAAGGGTGAATTCTACTTTCCCAAACTTAACATCTCCTGCAAGATGACAAGGCGTCCTCACCTGGACACGCTGGTGATCGACACCGTGCTGTCCGCTGTCATTGTTCTGACCGTGGTCCTGAACATGCTGGTCATCATCGCCATCTCCCACTTCAGGCAGAGTCAATTTCTCCACATGGCTTAAAAAACTAAGTCTCTGCTTTTATTTTTTGCTGTGATGCTACTTAATGTTACTTAATTTACGAAAACTCTCAGATGCTTGTAAATGTCACTTCTTAATTGATGTACTGGTACTTCTGTGAGTAACATGGAAGTGTTTCTGGGGACATTGTTTCAGGCAGCTCCACACCACCACCAACCTCCTCTTACTTAATTTACGAAAACTCTCAGATGCTTGTAAATGTCACTTCTTAATTGATGTACTGGTACTTCTGTGAGTAACATGGAAGTGTTTCTCGGGACATTGTTTCAGGCAGCTCCACACCACCACAAACCTCCTCCTGCTCTCTCTGGCGGTGGCTGACTTCTTCGTCGGGCTCCTGCTGATGCCGCTGCTTCTTCTGGTGGAAAACCACGGCTGCATATTTCTGTGCGACCTCATGTGCACGGTGCAATGGTTTTCAGGGTTCCTGTTCATCAGCGTCTCCGTGGGAAGCATGGTTCTCATATCTGTCGACCGTTACGTTGCCATCTGTGACCCCATGTTGTACACCACCAGAGTCACTCTGGCCAGGGTTAAACTCTGTGTCTGTCTGTGTTGGATCTTTTCTGGTATCCACGGCGGGTGGATATTAAGAGATTCCCTCTTCCAGCCTAACCTTTATGACCCCTGTGTTGGAGACTGTGTGGTTGTCATCGCATCTGCTGAAGGAGCAGTGGATCTCATTGTTTCTTTCTTAGCCCCAATTTTAATCATTGCAATACTGTATCTGAGAGTATTCGCGGTAGCTGTATCTCAGGCTCGGGCCATGAGATCTCACATCGCATCTGTCACTGTGGGTCGTCCAGAAAAGGTGAAAGTAGAAAAATCTGAGTTAAAAGCAGCAAGAACTCTGGGTATTGTAGTGATGGTGTTTCTTCTCTGCTCGTGTCCATATTATTGTTTTGCCATTGCAGCTGAGAGTAACCTGGTGGGGTCTTCATCTGCAGGTGTCGAGCTCTGGTTCCTGTATCTTAACTCCAGTTTTAACCCCGTCATCTACGTCTTCTTCTATCCCTGGTTCAGAAAAGCCATTAAACACATTATTACACTGCAGATACTGAAGCCTGGCTCTCGTGAAATCAGTGTGCTGTAGCTGCCCAGACTCCAGTAATGTCTGAATACAGTTGTTTTTCTGATATTTTTTTGTTTATTATCTGAATGTCTGCTGTTGGTTCTGTCATTGCAGTGTCTGCTTATTTGACTCATATAATAATTTCTGTGTTTTGATGTTGTAAGAAGTGGAGTACACAGCATAAAAACTGTTCTCCCACAACTGACATCTGCTCCCATTTAATCTTACTTTACAAAGTTTTGGTATGAATAGAAAAAATATGTTCAATTATATTGAATTCTTTAATATAATTGAATTCTTTCATTCAGACTTTACCAACGTTAACATTCTCTGACGTCACAGGAGGCAGCGATGTTACATTACAACTGTGTATGATCTGATTTCAATGATGTTTAGGTTGAAAATAAACTGCAGAAGACAGGCGTCTATGTCCTGGGTCTGGATCCAGGTCAGTGAAGAACAAACATTTTTAAGACAAATCAATTATAATGTTTTATGTAACATTTAATGTGATAATGTATAAAATCTTTGTACCAATGGTCAGATACTCACTGTATTTCACCGCCTGTAACGGTCACATGTACAATGACAATAAATGTGAAGTATTTAAAACTAGAACAGAGAGGCATGATTTTTTTGGCAGTTAATTTTGACAGTGACCCGATAATTTTGACTACACTAAACATTTTATTCCAGGGGCCGATTGTACCTGTAAGACTGTACAGCTGTAACTACTCCATAATGTATCAATACATGTTTCTGCAATTATTATTATTTCTTCAAGTAAATATAGTATGTTGCTCTGTGTAAAAATAAAAAAGATGAAAGTATCAAGATAAGACACTGAGCAGCATGGACTTTATTATAAGGTAGTTAAACACTGTTTAAGCTCCTGTGGGCCACACAAAATGACATGGCGGGCTCCATTTGGCCCATCAGGCCTTGAGTTTTACACGTTATAAAATAATCTGATAAAATCAAATGAAAAACATACTAAAATATAATATAATAAACCAGGAAATATGAGTAAAAAATGCATATTAAAATATATAGTAAATAGTATAGTATATATATTATATTTATTTATTTATTTATATAGAAACACTGCACTATGGTATAGAACTGGTTCAAAGTGTGTAGTTAGGAGACCCCAGATTGGGAGTCTGTATAATGTGGGCTGCCAGAGGACCAATTCTACTGGATTCACGCCTCATGACCAGACGTCATTTCTCATTTGCATATGCAAAGTTAAGAAAGCAGATGATAAAACCACTGTGTAGCTGTGTCGTGAAGGATAAGGAAGTCGTGAAAGAACAGCAGCATCACCTTACATTCTCCATAAACATGGAGGCTGTAGAGGAAGCAGAACTTTACGTCTCGCAAATCAACGACTCCTGCAGGAGGACCAAACATCCATACATGGAAACCACGTTCACCTATGTTGCCGTGTCTTGCATCATTGTGCTGACTGCTGTCCTGAACCTGCTTGTCATCATCTCTATCTCCCACTTCAGGCAAAAGTTCTCCACATGGCTCAAAAATCTCCTTTTCTATAACATTATGCTGAATGTAATCTTTTTATATTAGTACTCTTTTATTACTTGAATTGATTTATATATGAAAATAAGAAATGAGACGTGTTTTTATGCTGATTATTGTCTCATTTCAGGCAGCTCCACACCACCACCAACCTCCTCCTGCTCTCTCTGGCTGTATCTGACTGCCTTGTGGGAATACTGCTCATGCCATTTTTGCTGCTGTTTCAATATCCAGCCTGCCGGTCGTTCTGTGACATTGCGTGTGTAGTTTCATACTTTCTGAGTTTCGTCCTTGTCAGTGTTTCAGTGGGAAACATGGTTCTGATTTCTGTCGACCGCTACATCGCCATCTGTAACCCCATGTTTTACACCACCAGGGTCACTCTGGGCAGAGTCAAACTGTCTGTTGGCATTTGTTGGATATGTTCTCTCGTCCACAGCTGTTGGATACTGAGAGATGTCCTTAAACAACCAAACGCATACAGAACCAGCTGTGGAGAGTGTGTCATTGTGGTTAATTTGGCTGAAGGTGTTGTCGATCTTGTCGTGACTTTCGCTGCACCCATTTTAGTCATTGTCATTCTGTATTTGAGAGTATTTGTGGTGGCTGTGTCTCAGGCTCGGGCCATGAGATCTCATATTACAACTGTGGAGCTTGGAAGATCAAAAACCACTAAGGCAGAGAAATCTGAACTCAAAGCAGCCAGAGTCCTGGGTATTGTAGTGGTGGTGTTTCTCCTCTGCTCATTTCCATATTATGGTTTTACTCTTGCAGCAGAAAGCGGCTTGGTCAGCGACTCCTCTTACAGCATTGTCGTATGGTTTATGTACTCTAACTCTACTCTAAACCCTGTCATCTATGTGGTTTTCTACCCATGGTTCAAAAAAACCATTAGACACATATTTACACTGCAGCTCCTGCAGCCTGGCTCTGGTCAAACCAGGGTGCTGTAGAAAGAGACTGGAATGAATCGCTTCACACACATGTTGTTATTACAGATAATTAAAAATATAGGTTTTATAAGATCTCCTGGATCATCACTGTCATCTGTTTTTGAGCATATATATATATTAGTTTGATGTTCTGGACTAGTAGTTCAAGGTTCTTAGACTCAAAATTGGCCAAATTAAATCTTTGGTTCTTTAACGTTCTATATTTTGCCGATCAGCATGAAAATAAGAGAGCACAAACTTGAGTACAAACAATGACCAACACTGCATGAAAATTGAACAACACCAAGTACTACATAGACTGGACGACAAGGACTGACACCTGCCTCACAGGTCAGATTTATGAAAATATTAATGTTCAATTCTTGCCCTTCACCAGTGAAATACAGTCTGTAACCTATAATGACAGGTGGACAATTAGGAGTCAATTAAAATCTACGAGCTGTAACAATGATTGGAAATAATATCTACAGAGTATAAAAAGATGGCTAAGTTCCTAGTTCTAACAACAGGCTCTTTTTCTGAGAAATGTAATATCTAGCCCTGGTCACACCTGGTAATGACATGAAACCAAACATACAGACAGCACTAAATAGTTACTGTAGTAAGTAACTCACATTCTGGTCATACTGCGATATCTGCTCTGATATCTGCTGCTGATTCACTGAGCCTTATTGGCTACATTCTCAGGCAGGTTACATCAGTCGTCTACACCAGAATCATAGAGGCTGTTAGATTTTGATTGTGAATGAAATGTTTTTATGCAGAATTATGATCATAATATCTTAGTATGCCAAAACTGACAACTTTATTTTATAAAACTGTGAATGGCTACAGAGACACTTTTCAGCTTGATGACACGATGATGGTTGATTTCACCAATGTGGACAATGGTTTTCGCCATTGTATCATGCAAGTGATGTAACAATTGTTCATCATGCAAAAACAGTGGAGGAGGAGTAGAAGGAGGACCCCAATGTTTCTGCTTTATGAGGAACCAACATAGAAGGAGGTCATCAGAGCTCACCTTCTCCGCTCTCTCTGAGGGGATGCAGGTGGTGGAAGGAGAAGAACTCTGCTTCCCAGAGAGCAACAACTCCTGCAAGAAAACCATCTACTCCAACAGTGTGGATGTGACCTTTTACATCACACTGTCCTGTGTCTCTTTTCTCACTGTTTTGCTCAACCTCCTTATCATCGTCTCTATTTCCCACTTCAGGCAGGAAGATAAACCCACATTTAATCAAGTGCATCTATCATTCATAGCATGTATTAATTCCTGTGCCTTGGTTGTGAGAATTCTTGTTCTGTTGTTTACATGATCAACGACTGGACTTGTTCAGTGATGCCTCTCTGTCTCCAGGCAGCTCCACACCACCACCAACCTCCTCCTCCTCTCCTTGGCTGTGGCTGACCTCCTCGTCGGGCTCCTGCTGATGCCGCTTCAGTTAGTGAACACCAGTGGCTGCTGGTATTTGGGGACCTTTGTTTGTGCCATGTTTTTCTATCTCTCCTTCATCCTGACATCTTCCTCAGTAGGGATCATGGTTCTGATTTCTATTGACCGTTATGTGGCCATTTGCGACCCCTTAGGTTACCCCAGGAAGATCACTCTGAAGAGGGTTAGAGTCAGTGTCTGTCTGTGCTGGAGCTGCTCTGTGTTGTACAATGGAGCGATGCTACATGACATCCTGGAGAATCCTGACATGTTAGACTCCTGTTATGGAGAGTGTTTATTCCTGGTGGACTTCGTGTCAGGAGCTGTTGATCTTGGCTTGACCTTCTTTGGCCCCATTACTGTTATTGTGGTTCTATATATGAGGGTCTTTGTGGTGGCCGTGTCTCAGGCCAGAGCCATGAGGTCTCACATCACTGCTGTCTCAGTCCAGGGTTCGTTTCGAGTCACAGCTAAGAAGTCTGAGATAAAAGCAGCCAGGACTCTGGGTGTACTCGTGGTCGTCTTTCTCATGTGTTTCTCTCCTTACTTTTTCACCTCATTCACAGCCACGACAGAATCATCCAATACGGTCCTTTTGTTTTTTGGGACCTGGTTTCTATACTGCAACTCCTGCATTAATCCAATCATCTATGCCTTTTTCTACCCCTGGTTTAGAAAAGCTATCAAACTCATTGTCAGTCTTCACATACTGCAGCCCGACTCCTGTGATACACGCATACTGTAAGAAATGTCTTCTACACGTTACAAAAGATGTACAAAGTGAAGCAACAGCTTGTGCTTATATGTGTCATGTATTTGTTCTAATGTGGTTCATTTTATGAGGTATAACAACTAGATTATGTATTTCTAAAAATCATAACATTTTACTATTATTTCCATATCAATTGAAAACTGACAGAAACAGAAATGAATTCATGTGGGATATAAATAAATAAATATGTACTATATTGAGCCCATATTTGGGAAACAGATGTGTTAGCATGTGGCTCCTCTGGGAATCAAACCCAAGATTCTGTGCTCTATGCTTCAGAGGCAGGCATGCTAACTGCTGTTTTGTTCTGGACTTTATCTTAGTCAAATGTAACCATAAGAATGTGCAGATGTATATGCATTCATATCATTCATCAGGAGATTAAATGATTATGTGGCTGTACTGTGTGGCTGATTTTTAAATACAAAGTCATCTCTCACGTGTCATAATGCAATCAGTTAAAGGTCAAAATATCAGTAAATAATTACATTGAAAACAAAGAAGGGTCTGAGACTGAAAGTTGTCTTTTACATTTTACTGCTGTTACATGCTGTTATGTAACGTGATGCCACTACTACTGTACTACTTATAGTAGTAAATAATATAATATAATATAATATAATATAATATAATATAATATAATATAATATAATATAATATAATTAAAGGGATTGCACTACAGAAACAAGACCAGTGTCTGTGATAAAATCACACAATACTTTGCTTTACTACTACTACTAATAATAATTAATATATTATTAAAGAAAGAACTTGAATGAACCAAAAAGTTTGGGTATAGACAAAATAAAATAAAGACAAAATAAAAAATAGTTCTTGAATATATTTGGAAAGAAGTAGCAGTTAGAGTAATTCTTGAATTTTATGTTTAAGTGAGCAGTTATATGGCGATGAGAAGCCACTGCTAAATTCAGGATCTTGATGGTTATGTACTGTGTGTATTTTATATACTGTAAATATATATAAATGTATTATGTATTTATTATTTCACTAAACTTGAAACAGTATGTTGACAGATGTAAAGTGAAATGGAAGAATTGCAAATTGAGGAAACGACAGTTAAGATACAGTGGGAGTGAGAACTCTCACTCCATGTTCACACATGGACAAAAAGGAAGTGATATAATATGATATTAAATATAAATAATATATATATATATACTTGTACTAGTTTGAATGAAAACAAAAGGGTCAAACATGGACATACTGTTATTTATAGTTAATTATATTATGATTAACATGTGGCCCATGAACCAAAAAAAAGTGACACCTGATGTATATTATTAATATGAATAGCCATGTATATATATATGGCTACAAATATGGCCGTCGTGAGACAAGTTTTACCCTACTGATGATGTGTTGTCGCAATAGCAATCCTGCTCAGTACTTACATATATATGGAAAACTAACCTGTCTCATGACGGTCATATATATAGCCATGCCATATATATATATATATATATATATATATATATGGCTATTAATATTAATAGATATCTTTTTTATTCAATAGTTATTGCAGACAAATCACTAAATCTGAACAACCATGCAGACAGACCGTGGGTCACAGAGGTACTGGGTCGTTAGGTACTGGATAGGGAATAGCATCATCATCATCCAAACCAATGGGAACATTTGTGGTAGGCCTAGTGCTCAAACGAAAAGGTGGCAAGGTGATGCTGTTCTGATTGGTATGGTAAAATGTTAGGACACCGGATGAAGTGGAAATGCCAAGACATTTGTATTTATAAACTTGAATTTTCTGATCCCCTGACTAATTTAAAATACAGTATATTTTAGTTGATAAATGCCCATCATATTGTAAAATAACATACAAACAAACAAAAAGTGGCAAACAGTGTTAACTGCTACTGTGTCTAGGGGGGATGTGCATCCATAGACTGGGCTGTTTGGCCTGCAGCTATGACAGGGTTTATAAATGCACTTGGCCCCAGCTCCATTTCTGAGAGACATTTATGTGAAAACACAGCACTGTGCAGTAGCAGGAACAGACGTGGAACCCATGGTAGGGTTAGTCCTGAAGTGGACTAGGCTGATTCTGGGGCTATAAAAAGGTGCAAAACCCTGAGAAAATGTGGCGGAAAGACCCAGCCAATGAACATGAGTGTGGAAAAATAAGAAGGCCACGTTTTTGTGTGGTGCTTGAGTTCTCCAAGCAAAACCCCCACCAAAGGTTTCTCCTATATTTACCATTATTTAGGTCAGACAGGTCAGGCTTCTTTCTTCTTGTCAGTCGGTTCAGTGTGGTGACACCGAGGTTGAGATGCCTGGACTCTCCTCCTTCTCTCTGTCTCCAATTTTCCATACATTCCTCCACCTCCTACTGCCTTCGGCCTTTTCAGATTCAGGTTCCCCAGGCCCAGTCTCAGGTTCTCCAGGCGGAGATTCTTCAAGTTGAGATTTAGGTTCTCCAGATGGAGGCATTCCCAACTCTTCATCTATGACAGACAGCCTCACATCTCCTACCTGTCTTGTTTTGTAGCAATGTGCTTGTTGTCTCAAATGTGACATGGACAGAACTCCACGTTGTGTTTCATACACAGGTTGGAATGGGGTGGGTGCGACCTGTGCTGTAATTTTTGATCCCACAATGTAATTTAGCAAAACACGGAGGGAGGAGCAAAAGGTTAGAGATACATATGAAGGAGCACATGGAGCAGAAGGAGCTTCAGAATCTTGGTGCTTCTTCCTTTCCAAGTATGGAGACAGTTGTGGAGGCTGAGCTGTGCTTCCCACAGCAGAACAACTCCTGTCAGAAGCCTCTGCAGCATCAGAGTAATATTATTTTGATTTCCCTGATATTGTCATGCATCTCTTTGCTCACTGTAACACTGAACCTGCTGGTCATCATCTCCATCTCCCACTTCAGGTATGTTGTTTATTTTTTGTAGTGCATGTTTTGTTTTTTTAGTTCTGTAGCTCAGACATCTGAGGCCATGAGGTTTTCAGTGATGCCTCTCTGTCTCCAGGCAGCTCCACACCTCCACCAACCTCCTCCTCCTCTCTCTGGCTGTGGCTGACCTCCTTGTTGGGCTCCTCCTAATGCCGCTCCAGATTGTCGTTATAAACGGCTGCTGGTTCTTGGGGAGGGTGATCTGTGGGCTCTTCTATTACGCCTCCTTCATCCTGACGTCTGCCTCAGTAGGAACCATTGTGCTCATATCAGTGGATCGGTATGTGGCCATCTGCGACCCCCTGTGTTACCCCACCAAGGTCACTAACAGAAGGGTCAAGATCAGTGTCTGTCTTTGTTGGTGTTGTTCTATCTTGTACAATGGTGTGATTCTTCACAGCTTCTTGGAGAACCCAGACGTGTTTAACACCTGCTACGGGGAGTGCGTGGTTGTCATTGACTTCGTTTTAGGAGTGATAGACGTGGCTCTGACTTTCTTCTGCTCCATTTCCACCATCGTAGTTCTGTATGTTAGAATCTTTCTCGTGGCCGTGTCTCAGGCCAGAGCCATGAGGTCTCACATCACTGCTGTCTCAGTCCAGGGTTCGTTTCGAGTCACAGCTAAGAAGTCTGAGATAAAAGCAGCCAGGACTCTGGGTGTACTCGTGGTCGTCTTTCTCGTTTGTTTCTGCCCTTATTTTTACCCCTCACTCTCGGGTGAGGACTTGTCATCAGATGTAACCTTTTCCATTTTTGGCGTTTGGCTTTTGTACTGCAACTCCTGCATTAATCCAGTCATTTACACCTTTTTCTATCCGTGGTTTAGGAAATCTGTTAAACTCATTGTAACTCTTCAGATACTGCAGCCTGACTCTTGTGATGCACATATTATGTAACTGATAAAAACCTGCTGAAATGACCTGTGCAAGGTTGCTGCAGCGAAGTAAAAAAAAAAAAGAAAAGAAAAGAAATCTAAGCAAATACAAGGTGAATGAGATCCTTCAAACCAGTAAAACAGTTTTTTAAATTATTGTGGTTGTACAAATGTGTCTGTTTCTTTGCTTTGGGCTCTTTTCAAATGAAATTCTTTTGGTTAATATATAAGATGACCAGAAAGTTTTTACAACGATAAAGCTCTACACATGATTTAAAACTCAGTAAAAGTTCCTAAAAAATATTTGTTTCACAAACAGTGAATGCTTTGTGTAGACCTTCCAATTTATGTCCTTATTTATTTATTTATTTTTATCAATTTTCTAACATAGCATTGTTTTAACAGTAGGTTTTTGGTGTGTACATCTTACTCCTTACTCCAGCTAATCTTATTTTCGCGGCATGTCTGGGTTTTATGATTTTATTCCACATTTTGTCCGCTAGAGGGCAGGGCTGTCATTCGGGTATATACAGTACAAGTCTTGACAAATACGTGTTTTTTGAGTGTGTAATAAAGCTATTACTTTATGTCGTCACAGGAGTTGATACCTGATTTTAATCATCAAGATGCAATTCCACCAGTTTAGGAAAATAGATTCATGTATTTAACAGGCCTTGAATCAGATTTAAAATAATAATAATTTTTTGTGTGCTTTCAGTTGCTGTTGAAACAAAGAAGAATACGTCATTATAGCGACTTAACAAGCACAGAGAATGAACTCGCTCACAAATAAATAAATAATAAAACTTAATTCGACGATTAAAACTTCGGACGTTCTACATTTAAAAGTTGTTTTAATACACGAGTGTAACTGTAAACAGCAGCTCATCACTGTGTCGCTCTTTTCTCGTGTCGATTAGGCTAGTCTGCCAGCAGGTGGCAGTAAAACACTGTTAACAGACTTTTTATACGCAACTGCATATAGAATGCAGTAACAGATATTATCCAGCAGATGCCATTATTGAAGAGGTTTGTAAATACATATATTCAGACATTTCCATTATGGTTATGAAGGTTACAGAGGTTTCGTCAAATGTATGTATTTTTCTAATATTAAATATTTTTTGTTTCATTTAACTTATGAATAAAATTTGATCTCTTCTCTTTTAGTTTTTGCCAGTCGCTAAACTCATCAAGTTTTTATCATTTTTTATAGTAACATTTCGCTAGCTCTGCACTAATCTGACACATTTCAGAATCATTTTTGATTATTTATCCAGCACATTTTAATAAAGTTATATTTTTGAAATATTTTTGAATGAATAATATTTGAATCTATTTTGGAAAACCTTTATATTAACGGTACACTGACCTTTTGCTCATATGTTTTATTCTGTATTACTGCTGAACTCCTTTTGTTTTAGCAGTTTTGAATAGATAATAGCATGTAAGTAATTCAATAAACGTTTCAGATAAGACAATCTATTTTTTTAGTGAGTCACTGTAAAGAATAAACTTGTGATAAAAATCATCCCAAAAATGTATCTAGAAGACTTAAAATCAAATAATGTTAAATTAAAAATCACATCGTCAAAACCTTTTAACTAATATGAACCAGACACATGTTTAGATTATTTAACGTTAAATTATTTGTAATTTAATATAAAAAATATAAACAGGATCTTGAGCTGCTGAGATTTTAGATTTGATTTCACATTTATCAAGAATTAATAAATACTGGAAAAGTGTAGAGTTGCAGTGTTTTTAATGTGATCAGGTTTTTACAGGCCCTCCTGATTTTGGAGAGCTTGAGGCCGTACATGACCGGGTTCTGAAACGGCTGAATGACCATGGCGTACGTGGACAGCAGAACACACAGAGGGTACGGCACAGAGGAGACGTCAAACCTCTGAGAGATCAGACTGTAGAAACAGGCAAAGACAAAGGTGACGAGGGAGATGAAATGTGGAGTGCATGTTTCTATGGCCTTCATTTTGGTTTCCCTGGAACCTTTTAAACACTCAAGTAAAATCTTCACATAACTGTACGTGATGTAACTGACCGGAGCGGCCACGGTGAAAAGGAGACCGACCACCAGATCGTGAACAATGGACAGAGTTCTGTCTGGATCACAAGAAAGTTCGAGGACAAGATGATGAGGACAGAAAACCTTGTTGATCACAGTCCTGCAGCGTTTCTCACGTGCAGTGAAAAAGAGCAAAATCCCGATCTCTAGAAAACAAACAACCCAAATCACAACGATGACAATCTGTACTTTCCTCCTGGTGATGATCACATTGTAATGCAGAGGCTTACAAATGCACACGTATCTGTCGTAAGCCATGATGGTCAACGTTCCAAATTCAACACACCCGTACGTGTGGATGTTGAATATTTGGATGAAGCAGAAAACGGCAGCGATTTCGTGAGTGTCCGACAGGATGTGGACCATGAAGCAGGGCAGCAGGGACGTGCTGCCGTAGATTTCGTTCACAAACAAGCTGCACATGAACAGGTACATGGGCTCGTGCAGGCTTTCGTTCACATAGATGATAGCAATGAGGACAGAGTTGGTCAGGATGACCGACACGTAATACAACAGTGCCAGGGTGAAGTACAGATACCTGAGCTCACCCAGGTCGTCGTACATGGACAACACAAACACCTCTGTTGTGTTCGACATTTCGAGACAAAATGAAGGCGAACGTTTCAAAAGCAAAGTAATGCAAGAGGAAATGACAGAAGAGCACAATTTTTTTTTTACATCAGAATGTTGACGTCATGAACAGCATCTGCTAAAACAACTGTAGGAATAGTGTCAATACATTCACAAGAAGCACACACAAACACTGTAACCTGTGGATAAACGAGGTGTCGTTCTGAATCAAACACTCCGCACACTGACACCTGCTGTTACTGCATGCCCCCACCCGTCCCTGATGAGACGGACAGCGGCTGCTCTCCCGGCTTTATCCTCACCTGAGAGAACATGACCATCATGATGGTGACATGACACCACCCACCTATCAGGGTCTCTGTGGAGTCCTGCACCTCTAGGGTCAGACACCATGAAGTCATACAGCAGTATTATGATGAATGAAGTTGAAGTTGTCCAACAGTGGACATTTGAAATGTAATGACTCTCCCTACCATGCTGACTTTGTACCACACACACTCGCCCCAGTTTAAACCAAGACAGTCCCAGAAATGACAGCTGGACAAACTATATATGAAGCCAAACCTAAAATCTGCAACAATCTTTGCAGATTTTCAAATGCAAATCAATGCCGTCAACAGCTTTCCTAATCCATCAACTTGAAAACCACTTCATGAAGTCATGTGACATCAGAGGGGAGGTGAAGACGCCTAAATCTAAGTAACAAATGTCAGTTAAAAAAAATGCATCTTATTTTTGTGAATAGTCTTTTGTGAACAGTGAACAAGAAAAACAATTCAGTTTGACCCAAAAGGTCAGGTTCCCACGAAGAAGACTTCCGTTTCCACCATGATTAGATCAGATATTGAGGTTTCAAAGGTTGTACAAACTGGCTTTGTTGTCGACGAATGTGTCTGTACGCATGTGTGTTAGCATATGTGCACGGGTGAGTATGTGGGTGTATGAGTGTTAGTGTGCTCTGGAGTGTGTCACATGCCAATGCAGCCACGGAGACAGAAACACAAACTCTGGAAAAATCCTAGCAACTGGGATCAACCAAATGGATACACAAAGCTGTTGAAACACACACACACATACACACACACAGACTATATTATATCAAGGTATTGGTAATGTAGACCCATGACAGCCCAAACCATCTTCACCGTTTCTTTACCAAACTGATCAACAGTGTGAAGACTTTTGTGTTTGTTAAAGGACGTTTCTAAAACCTAGAAACTGTTGCATCTCTGTTGACTTTTTGGAGTTAATAAGCAAAGGAATTTGTGTGAGTGTGTGTTGTCAGGAGTGGCCTAAGACTTTTGTGTGTCCCCTCTCTCTCACTCTCTCTCTCTCTTTCTCTCCTTCCTTCTCTCAAACAGACAGAAGAGAAGCAGAAGGAGGCAGGAGAGAGGTTTGCTCCATTTAATCAGGTCAAAGTCATTTATATTAAATTCATTTGTTTGTCTTTACAGAACATGCCTGAGTATATTTTCTGTTTTTTTTTTCTTCTTTTCTTAAGTCAAGTCAGTGATACTTCTCTACTACCACTAAATACTGCATCTATGGTCGTGTTCTGATCACGCCAGGACAGAATTCCATCATCATGAAGGAGCTGTCCCTCTCCCTGCTGAGTCGGGGCTGCAGTCAAGTGCTGACCTCAGAGCACAACACTGAAGGATGTGTTGGACGACTGGACGTTTGCTTCACTCCAAATGTAATGTTCACTCACGAAAGCCGACGTTATTCTATCTTTCGAGGTAGTACATTTTTCTCTCACTGTACAGCGTGGTGATTTTAACCCTGTCGTATTCTGTCTTTAGGATTACTACCTCTGGAAGTCCCAGGAGTCTTTGCTGCGGTTGACCAGCAGTGGGCGCCTAATCTCTGCTGCACAGTCGGGCCTTCCTAAGACCTACAGCACTCGTCGAGGTCCCCTTCTCCTCTACTCACAGGTATGGCAGTTGCAAAGAGTCGGTTCTAACAATCCATAGGACGTTGGGAGAATATTTCCCAAATTCCCAAACTGAGGACAGGGGACAATCGTAATACCAAATAAGACGTATAGGGACCAGAGATTATATCTATTTAAAAAATGACAAAAAAAAAAAAAAAAGATTTGTGTTTGACTAAACAATTGACCGGGATTGGAATGGAAGACCTTCACGACCTGAGCATCATCTATTGACAGGCCACAAGAAGTCCCCTAATTTCTACAAAATACTTCAACAGTCCAATTAGTAAATAAAAGTTCCAAAACCCATCAATCTTTACAAAACTCTACATCCAGCCATAGATTACAAACTGAAAGTGTTTAGCTTTAATTTTTTTGCCGCTCTTTGTCGTTACCAGGATCTAGTTACTGTGAAAAGAAATGTCAAGTTAGAGGCTGGGAACAAGAAGAAGAAGGTGCACTACAGAAATACTCCAAATGTCCAAAAGCAGCTGAGCAACCTGAGAGAACTGACCACAGCCATTCTGAGCTACAGCACCAGCCAGGTGATTGGACTAAAAGAGAAATAAATCTTATACTTGAACCTTAAATTACAGGAGATTTTGTTTTCTTTCCAGCACCCTCCATCCAGACCGGCTCCAAACTTCTACTCTCCTTTTCATTTCCCACCCGTGCATGTTCCCACTCCTCTGCCGCTTAGTTCACCGAGAGCACAGCCTGACCCAGCCTGGTTTGTGCCCATGAACTTACAGTGGCTTCCTGCATGGAAACACACTGAACTACAAGATAATTCACCAGGTAGAGACCAGGTTGATGGACTGTATGAGACTGAATACCAAGAAAGGCATGAAACTCTGTGGTATAAACCAGAAACATTCTGACCTCTAGATAGATATCTAGTTAGCTAGTTAGCTAGATAGATGGATAGATAGAAAATTGATAATGCTTAATTAATTGACTTTACGTACTACACTAAATTGTTTGCAGGAAAGGAAACAGAGCTGGAACACAGGAACTAATTAACTAAATTGTTTGCAGAAAAGGAAACAGAGCTGGAACACAGGAACATCATCAGACTGGATGTGTTCCTTCAAAATGCCTCTCCCTCCAGGAATCCATCCCCACCAGCAAAACCCCAGCCGTGGGTTCATTACGTAGCGACAACCACAGAACCAGAAGACACTGAGGTGACGTGTTGGAGACTTGTGTTTACCAGAAACAACTGTGTCAGTTTTTCCTAATGCTAATGCTAATGCTGGTCTTTTTTGCATCTGGTGCAGACTTACTTGGACATGTTCTTCCAGCAGCCTGAAGATTCAGGTCCACCTTACACTGAGATGAGACGTCGCAGCACAGAGGAGATCCAGGATCCGAACTTCAGCTGTGTCCATGACATGGTCCTGGACAGGAGCGGTAGGAACAAGAATAAGTATTTGTTATTACAAATACAGTACATATGAAGTTGTGACTAATATCACACAGTATCACAAAAGGAATGCAGGGTATGTACAAGTAATTAAGAAAATAGTACAAATACTTCAATATAAGTCATTTTATATGTTCATGGGTGCCCAATGCATAGTTCGGGATCTACCAGTAGATCGCAAAGGGAGTGCTGGTAGGACATGAACAAATGAAATATAAAACATTTAAATATAAATATATTTCTAAAGTGTGTAGTAGTCCCCACTATTGATTGAGCAAGATTGTGCCATTTAATCAGTATCCCAACATAAAACATATACAAAGTATATTTGGTTTAAATATATATTTATTTTGCATATATATTACACATTTTGCAAACATATATGCATATATATGTAATATACTGTATATATTAATGCAAATATATATTTTGGATTTTGAAAACTGTGGGCACCCCTGAGTTATATATACACTTTAATATAAGTTATTTTATAATAAATATAAACACTTTAATCTTCTTATCGTTTGTTTTTAATTGATGTTTCCTCATCCCCATGTACTCCAGAAGAACCTGGTGGAGCAGGGCAGCACTTCAACACTGAGCTGGAACCTCAGGGTTCTGTGTCAGGTAATATCTAGAACAGTTCTTCAGATCAGAGAACCAGAAATGACCCCAATTGTGAAGATTGTTCAGATTTGTGTTTGTTATTAAACTTGGTCGATTCCTTGGATAGTAAATTGTTATTTATAGCATTTAAAGGGCAGGTTTTTCCATTTAAAACCAATATAGATGGTGGTCAAATCAACAGGCTAATTGTTTTAATTCATTTGTTGAAGGCATCTGATCAAGAAAGTGCTCAAAAAAGAGGCAAAGTAGTTAAATACATAGTTAATACTTGTTATGTTAATGTTATGTTAATTTCTATATTGGTGCCTAACAGTGTCCTTTTCTTTATCAGGTTTGTTTCTACCTCCTTTGAGAGTGGGGATGTCCACTCGGTTTGACCACAGTGGAGAAAGAGGACAAGACAAGGTAGGACAGAACATTTACAGTATTCATTAGTTAAAATCAAAATAGAGAAACTGTGACTCTTTTTGTCAATTTATCATTGGAGAATTGAAAAAAAAAAACAAAAAAAAAACAATTGCTGTCTTGTGTTAACACCTCCAGTGTTCTACCTTATGCTGATGTCATTTGTTCACTGTTTTGCAGATAAGGTGGAGGAACAAGGTCAATGAGCAGCCTGTGATTCTGCCTGCACTGTTTCCAGAGAAAGAGGGTAAATGTTACGTCAAAAACATCTAGAAAAGGGAACATACCGGTAGCAGAGGTAGAGAGGGAGTTGTGGGGGTATTCCACCCAGGGCAGGAACGAACTCCAGGGGGTGGTGGCTGTACCAGGAGGTCCAGAGTCTCGGTAGCAGAGGGGAGCAGAGAGGGTGCAGATGTTGGTGTTACCTTAAGGGGGCAGTAACCCATAAACCAGGTTCAAGGTGATGTGAGACCAAGGGCACCAGGGGGATGGAGGAATCCTGATCCTGGAGCTGGGACACAGAGCAGGAGAGTTAATGTACTTGTGCGATTACCTCAGGAAAAGATTGCTTATGACTGGCCAACGTGGCTCCTTGTTTGGCAAGGGCAGAGAAAAGGTGATCCAAATCCCTTGTGTTGGCTGGACCTATCGTGGCCAGGTTCTGTCTCAGTAAACAAAAGTCCAAACGATATACAACCCCGCCCCCCCGGGACCTCACAGTAACAAGAGCGTTGTAGGAAGCAAGGATTCCACACCTGTACCATCGTTTTTTTTTAAATAATTTTTTATATATGCTTTATATATATATAATAAGTTCTCTTGACTGCATCTTTCAGAGCTGACACGTGCAAAGACGAAAGGAGAAAAAGAAAACACAGACAGAGAGTGTGTTAAAAATCCAACAGCAGGTCAAGGACCAGGAGGAGGAACATGAAAGATGAGCTTTTTAAATGGTCCCAGGATTATAATGGAGCCTGATAATGGTAAAACAGAATACCCCCCCCACACACACACACACGTTCTTTCCTGTACCATCTGATAAACCCTTGTATCTCTTCCAGACCCTGGTCTAGTAGGACTGATGGATTCTGGTTCAGCGTTGAGGGGCCTGGGCAAACAGAGCTCCATGGCTTATTTACAGAACCGCCTGCAGGATCCTCGAGATGCTGCTAACAGAGGTGTAGTCAAAGGCCTTCTGCCCTTGGAGCTGCGGGGTAAGAGGGGCAACTGGACTCATCTAAGCTGTTGCTGTTATATATGGGTGGTTTTGCTGATACTGTATATTTTACATCACTTTTACATCTCAAAGAATTGGTTTCATTTGTAGATTTACAGAACAGCAAACCAGTGGGCTGCCTGATCCTGGGGCCCGATGGAGAAATCATTCAGCTGTCGCTGTACGACAACAACCAGGAACGAGGTCAAGGTGACAATGACATGCCGCAGCAGCAAGGTGGGACACAACTGACGACGGAGGCACATGAATCATGCTAAGAGGTTTTCAGATCTATTCTGTACCTCATACAAAGCAGTAAATTAGATGAACTTGGTCTTTGTCTCTCAGCTCTACAGGTGCTATCCCCAGAGGGAGAGACGTTACCCTGGGTGGTTATGCTGCAGCCTGAGGTCACACACGATACAGGTACGAACCAGCAATAAGACAAGAGTGAATGCTTGAAAACCCAACTATCGCTACATCCTTTGCTCCAACTACTTCCTGTTATATGCAGAAGCAGAAGTGGAGGACAACTCAGATGTTATGGAGGAGAAAACCCAGCACAATCAGCCAATGCATGCAGTATGTTGACGTCAACACCGACTTTTTGTTTTGTTTTCACGTCTACGCCTGCATTTTCAACGTGCAGTATTTTGTCTTTGTTTCCCAGGAAACAGAAAGTAACACATCTGCTGATGTGTTTGCAACAACAGCGCAGAGCATGAGTGACGAACGGGTGAGTTACAACTGAAAACCACTCAAGTTAACTGAAGTGAAAGGTCAGAAAAACAGTCTCACAGGAACCAAAAAAAACCCCCAAAAAATCTAAAGCAAAATAAAACATCGTAGGATCGATCTGATGTTGACAGTTGACAATATTATCGCTCTTTTCTGCCCAGCCTTTTCACAAAACTCCTGCATTTTCACCTACAAACCACAAGGGGGCAGGTAACATTGTTGCTTTCAACCTTGATTTGAAACTGTAACATCTTTAAACTGAACTGGTTTTTGGTTGCTTCAGGGACACAAGGAAGAACGGAGGCTGAGATGCAAACAAGGTCAACAAGAAAGGATGTCAGGAACAGCATTAAGATGCTGGAACTGAGGGACAGTGTGGGAAACAAGGAGTCAAACAGGGGCAAATGTGAGGCAGACGAGGTGAAGGAGGGAGAGGAAGAGGATAGAGAGACAGGAGAGAGCGGACATTTGACTGGATCACACCAAGCAAGGTTTACATTGAAAATCTAATAAATCTAATTAAAAAAACTAAAGAAGAGTTTCTATGAAAGTAATTACATTTGTATGTAGTCTTTCCAGAAAGAATCGTCAGATCAAAGACACCAGTCCAACTGTGACGGAAACTGTGGAAGGAAAGAGGACTAATATAAAGAGGAAGGATGATGAAGAAACTGCAGTCACTGCTGGGTAAATTATAGGATTGATGAAGTTCTAACATGTCAAACTCTGGACCTTTAACCTCATGTCCCTGCGCCTCACTCACTTATAGGAAAAAAGATTTGAAAATGCCAAAAAGCAGAGAGTTGGAAGGACAGAGGTCTTTCAGAAGGGACAGAGAAGCAGGAAGACAACAGAAAAAAACAGAAAGCAACTCCAGACCAATGAGGAGTCGGAAATCAGACGAGAGGACCAGGAAAGACGCAGGAGTTTCTCGGGAGGGCTCTGCTCTTCCTGCTGTGGCCTCTGCGGTAACATTTCTGACATCGACACTGACGCCATGGCTGTTGGCGTCAACAGTTTGTTCAAAGAAATAAAATAAAAACTGCCTTAAGAGAGAACATTCATCAGGTGTAGGGTTAAGATTATCGTCTCTAATCACTGCAATTTTTAGGAAAACGCAGCAAGAGACAGACAAGGGAGGATAAAAGAGGTGAAGATGAATGAGGAGGGAGATGCTGGAGGCGGAGGAGGAGGAGCGGTGGCAATGCTAAAGGAAGCATCTGCAGGGAGGAAGAAGAGGAGGAAAGGGAGGCTGACACAAAAGGATGCTGTTGATGGTAAGATGGTGCCAACGTTCAAACAGAGATGTCAACCATGGGTTCAGAGTGAAAAAGGGTTCAGTGCTCGCAAATCCTGGCAGATGATGGAAAGAAAGTACACTGGAAAAGTTTTTGTTTCCTACTTTTTTTTCCCTCTCAGGAGTGTGGGAAGAGGCAACTGGACTCACTCGAGTTTCCAAGAAACTTTCCTCCAAGAAAAAGTTGCCGTGTTCCACAATTCTGGGTGGAAAACAATAACTCAAAAGTGAGAGAACCTAAACCAACCTGAGCTATCAATAGTGGCTTTCTGATAAAAAAAAATCCTTCATTCCTTTTAATATATATTTTGATTAGGGTCAGTCTGATCTGATAATGGTCAAAAGTCCAGGATAAAAAACAAAACAAAAACAAAAAAAACAACTATAACCTATTGTGAGCCCAAATAGTCAACTTTGAATTTGTTCAATGGACTCCAGCTTCAGGATCTCATCAAAACTTGTTGTCTACTGTCAGTTAATATTCTTGTATGTTTTTTTGTTTTTCTCAAAGAAGAAAACAATGAGTTGGAGACGAATCAGAAAATGGAAAAGGATCCTCTTCAGAAATCCTCCGAAAGCTTCTCTCTGACACAAAATGACAACTGCGAAATTGAATTAAATTCAGAGGAGGACTCAGAAATCGACCATCTTTCCAACTTTGATGATCGCAGAAGTATGCGGTCAGTGAGTTCTCTCAGATCGTCCGCTGCAGCGTCACAGTTCAATCTGAGGAACACGCGAAGGTCGGCCACCTCCTCCTGTGAGGGGACCTTAGTTACCGGTGCTGTGGATCTGGCCTCGTCCCAAGGTCGTCTGTCGTCATGTTCGGCTGTGATGGTGATGGATGAACAGCTGATGTTGAACACCAAGAAGGCCGAGGTTGGTAATGCAGTGTGGAAATGTTCTCTGTAAACACTATGGTCTGGACCAAGGAGCTTCGGGTGACATGTTGGTTTCTCAGATGTCCTCACCCAGAATGAATCAGGAGGAGATTGCTGCGCTGCGTCGGGCCCACAGAGCTGAGAGACGGAGGGAAGAGGTGGAGAGGAAGAGGAGGGACCAGGAGGAAGAGGAAAGGAAGCAACAGGAAAGGGAGCAGATGGAAGAGATGATGAAGAATGAGCTGCAGGAGGAGAGAAGGAAGCGAGCTGACGAGCTCAGGTTGTAGACCGTACAACATCATTATTCGGTTCCAAGGGTCTCTGGTTCCTCTTTGTATAAGTACCTTTGACGGGTGATACCAGACTTTTGAATTCGATACGATATCAATTACTTCTTTGGTGTTTTTATTCAGTACTCGTACTGATACTTACTAATTAGCATTACCTAATGAGAGTGATCAATACATCGATATTTGTGAGTATAGATATATCCATACCACTGAATCGATACGTCAATCACCAATGGCTGCATGTTGCTTGAAATCTGAACCACTCTTTCTCTTCAGGTCATGGTTTTTGAACTACTGATAACCTGTATGGAAGATACAACTTTTCCACCATTACCTTGGACTCTGCTATTTTTTTTACTAAATTCTGTCTCTATTCTAAGACTGAAGAAGCTGGCAGAGGAGGAAGAAAAAAGGCGGCGCGAGGAGGAAGAGCAGGCGAGATTGAAACAGGAACAGGCAGAGAGGGAAAGTGAAAGAAGGAGGCAGGAGGACAGGAGGAGGCAGATGGCACGACTCAAGAAGCTAAGGGAGGAGGAGGACCAGAGAAGAAAAGGTGGGAGAAAGAGATAAAGTAAGAAAAGTAGGAGGAAAGGAGAGATGTCAGGTGAAAAGTGAACGTTGTTATCTTTCCACAGCTGAGATGGAGCGAGTGCGGCTAGAGGAGCAAAGGAGGCAGGAGGAGGAGAACGCCATGCTGCAGGAGATGGACGAGGACGAGAGAAAGAGCTACCTTTGCAGGAAGGAGCAGGAGAAAGAAGAAAACAGGAAAAGAGAGGAAGAGCAAAAGAGAAGAGAGAAGGAGGCTGCACTGAGGGCTGCAGAGGAGGCCAAGATGGAGGCTGGGAGGCTCCTCAGGTATACTGTTAAAATATATACAGTATACTGTATAGGGGTACCTCTAGATACCAGTATAATCTGTTCCACAACAGCACTGCATTTGTTCCAGCCCACCAGAAATATACTATTAATGAATAAAATTAAAATGTATCCTTATCTAAACACTAAAAACACAGATATAAACTAATATATAATATAAAATAATAATAATAATTGTTTCCTCCTATAACCAGGAAAATCTTGTAATAGTTGCTAACTCATAACGTGGGAAACTCATATTTCAGGTAGCTTGTATCTCGAAGCCCCACTGTATGTATATGTATATATATATAAACCAAATCAATCTGATTGTGCTCTTTCTGCAGAGAGATGGCGCTGTTGCAGCAGCATCTGTCCTTCAAAAGGACCTTTGACCTAGAAGCTGGAGGTCTGGAGAAAACTCAGGGGATCTCTCGGCCCTGGGTCTTCTCTTATTTCAGCTTGTTACAGTTGATGGGACTTAGTCCATCTGAAGCTGAGCCCACAATATAAAGATGGATTAAGTCACAGGCCCTGATCCCACTCTGTTTAGTGTCTGATTATTTCCATTGCCTTTTATTCATCCAGCTCCAACGGTTAACTTGTAGAGACAAAAGTGTTCAGAAAAGTGTTCAGAAATATGAGTGGGCCAATCAGGTTCTTTACATCACGATGATTACCAACCTAAATCTCTTGTATCTACGGTATGCTAGAAGAGTATAACTACTCTATTTATTAGCACAAAATGTCTTATTTAGCTTAATCATGTACCCTTCAGCTCTACGAAATCAAGAAGACCATAGCAGTCCCACAGTTACCACACTCTGCAACAACATTGTGTTGACACATCTTATAATGAATTATAATTGATGAAAACAACTAATTATTTTAAATGCTTGTCAAGGTCCTTGAATTCATAGAAATTTGTGGCAATGAAATTATATAAGATATTGAAATATATAGTTAGTAAAGGTTTTAATATGCATGTCTAGAGATTTATAAATTCACCAGTATTATAACTATTACTAATTTGGTTACAATGGGTTAATTTAAGCAAAACTTTTTTTAAAGTCATGTTAGTGGTTGTTTCAAAAGCACAGCGTGTCAAAATAAGCCCAGAGATGATGAAACATTATCATCCTTTGGTACTTAACTGTCCCCTCCCTGGTGTCCAGTACACACTGATGGACCAGCCCCTGGAGACATAATTGGCTGCAGCCACACAACATGGAGCTAATTAGTGTCCAATTTAGTGGATGATGAGTTTTGTCCTCATGGAATGGTCTTTAAAGCAAATACGTAAACTGAGTCAAAATGAAGATTGGAGGTTTCATAGTGTTTACAATTTATGAATGTTGTTTTCTTGTTATTTACAATGTAACTTAATTTACTTTATTGGACTATTTAGTGGTGATTTTGAGAACAGTTGTAGTTTAAATAGTCATTGTTTCCTCAGAGAGCAATTAAACCTTCTCTGAACCAACAGTAGATACATCTAACAATTTAAATAAGGTCTCCAGGGATGAGTACTGTTGACAAAATTAGTGTTATTATTAGTATGGATAATAAATGGACATGGCTAAGGTTATTGAAGAATACAAAATAAAATAAGTGTTAAATAACAAGGTGAAGGATTGTGTACTTTATTTCCAAAATTTCTGACCATTGTAGAATTTATTTTTCGACCAAGAATGGAGGCCCTGTCTTAATCGACGAGCTTTGTTTTCTTCAACTGTACCGGAAATACGTCATAGGTTTATTTTTTTTAACAACACTAAATACACCACGATGCCTATTCTTCCTTTAATTTAATCTTAGTATTATTATTAATAATATTAAATGAAATTGTATTATAAAAGCTATCCTTGAATTTTCTAAATACGAATAAAAATATCAAGAGTCCCTGAAAGCAGTCATAGGTACTGGCGAATGCTAAATTCGGTTAGCTAGCTGCTAATAAACAAACAGACCTAGAGCAATTAAAAGCGTTGTTAAATACAATACGTTGTTAATACATTTTGGCTCATTCGTCACAAACTCACCTTGGAGACAACCACAGCCAGGTAAGAAATTGGTGTTCAAAATGTTACCCGGTTCAACTTAGTGCTTATGTTTTGTTAGCTATGCAGTCATGTGTAGGTCTAAGGGAAACCGTTAAAAGAACGGCTGCTTCTTATTAATTATCAATTTAAACCAATCAGCCACACCGAGGTGGGTATGATTTAGTCACTGTTAAAAAAGGAGACAAACGGGGACGAGATATCTGTTTAATTATAGAAACAAGACGCAAATTCGCATAAAGGTTTTTGAAGACGACCCCACGCCATTTGGTCTTATCTAAATTTTTAGATCGTTTGTTACAAAACCTTACCAAATGTTGTGTTGCTTTTCTGTCCATTTTATCTTGAGTATTCGGTCTTACTGTCCAGGGCAGTGTTGCCCTCTGGAGATGCTGTTTTTACTTACTTTTGGAAATTGTTAATCATTTTACATAAGCATAATCTGCTGTGCCTTGTTGAACTGAGACCAATACCAATCATATATTAAAGTTAAATTTTACAATTTTTCACGTGACTTTCTTATTACCTACCACATTTGTTTTTTTATTCTCAAAATGAATATATATTAGGGCAACCACAATTATCTTTATGTCATAACATAAGAAAAACTCATCAATATTACTTATTAATTTAGCAATTTGCATTTTTGTTGACTAGTTAATTTTTTATTTTTTATTTTTTGTGAACTTTGGAAAGTTTTCTTGATTTTGGTGATCACTGCCTCTATCCTGTCTAAATGCCAAAAGGAAATTGTTACCAGTTTATAAAGATATTCTGGGCCCGACCGCTTAAGTGTGTTGCTTAAGTCTGTTTGACAAATTTTTATGTTAGAAATTTGGATGCTTTGACAACACAGTATTAGGTGATTAAACTGAGCTCTCCAACCATACACAGGTAAAGCTTGAAGAACCCCCCTCCCCTGGCTGTTTTATAAAAGTATTATTTCAAAATGGATGTCAGCATTGCAGTATCCCTGATTCGAGGCCAGTTGGATACTGTTGTGAAGCGAGCGGTAAATGGAGCAGTGGAGACGGTGCTTGCAGAGATGCTTAAAGTGGTTGGAGTTAAATTCGAAGAGGTGAAAGCACAGTTGGCTCTGATGAAGAGGGACAACTTGGCTCTGCAAAGGGAGAATGCCATCAAAACAAAGGAGAATGACAATATTCGAGCCAAACTGCGTTACACCGAACTGAAACTGAAGTACTACAGGCAAGGGGTGGCAGAGGAGCTGCAGCAGAGAAGCTCCGTCACTGCTGTTGTTCATGTCAACCAGTCAAGCTTCCCCCAAACTCAGAGAATTACTGCAGACCTTTCTCCAACTGTAACCTCCTCAACTTGCTCAGCTCAAACCAGAACCCCCGAAACTGCTCTGACAAGAAGCAATCAAGGTAAGTTTGTTAAATCAGTTTAACAAAACAAACCCCAAAACAGATATCCATTATGTTTTGATATCACCTTGGAGCTTCATTGTGTTGTTTTTATTATTATGATTTTTTTATTTTTTTTGCAGAGTCCACTACTCAACAAAGCACTGGAAGATGCTCTGTGAGATCACACAGCGATACAGATGAGGAAGTTATCAGCTTTGACTCATCTGAGCAGGTATTACATGCTCCAATATATGTGGACACATCTCCAGAATCTCTGAACAGCAACACAGGTAGGGGTTGTTGTTACATGAACACATTTATCACCCTTGTCTCATTGAGTCTGTGTACAGTCAAAAGTAGCTAAGAAAAATACCTTTGTTTGTTCAGTTTTGTTGTGCACTACAGAGCAGGATGCAACAGAGAGTGTGGACGCTGTTGTAGCACCTCCCCCCCCTCCTCCCCTTGTACAAGCCCTGGATTATGATGAAAGGATGCAGTCAAACAATAGTCCACTGTCCCCAGGTGGTTCCAACCAAGCTGTAAGCTCCATATTGCCCTCCTCTGCTCTACAGGTGACAAAGCACTTCTACCTAACACAGTGTTAAAACGACTTAAACAACATTTGTTTATATAATGAATATAAAGATTCAGTGCTGCCACCAATGACTAACTGACCAATGATTAACTGACTAATCTAAATGACTTAAATCCACTCAAATATCTGCCATTTTATCTTAGTTAAATCAAATGTGAACTTGTTACATTTGAGTCAAAAAGGACGACAAAAGAAGACAGTAGATCGGGAGGAGTGGATAAGTGAAGAGGAAGTGAAGATATATGGAAACATGTTTGGGGTGCAAAGAGAACAATTGTGGTACTGTAATAGGAAGACAGAAGTAGCATAAAAGTACTTGTTAATGGTGCTCTTGCATAAGTAAAACTCATCAGTTGGAAAGCGAAAGAATAAGACATGCTGAAGTTGCTGGTCTGTTGTGCTAACTCTGGTGCAGGTGAAGGAGGAGGACGAGGAAGAGGTGATCTGTATCAAAGAGGAGCAAGAGGAGGAGGGGGATCCATTATTACTGGACTACCAGATGCAGCAGAGTCTCATGACAAAGTCAGAGGTGAGACTCCTCCATGTCCATGCCACAAGACAAATCACTGTTGTCCAGAGATACTGGGATAATAAATACACTGTGTTTTGTTGTTCCTTCAGGCTCAAAGTACAGTGACAGAGTGGTTAGAGCTTCAGACAAACCAAAAAACCCCTGCAGGTTTCAGTGCAGCTATTCCAGGCACCTGTGAGTGAGACTAATATAAGGCCTATGGTATTACATACATTTTCCTAGGAATTTAAACAATATTTTTTTATGTCTGTGCATTTCAGACATGGTAGTTCAACAATCAGGCTCGCCCCCATCACTTGTAGACATGTCCTCCGGTGTCCCGACTCGCCAGGCTGTGAGACCTTGGAGCAAAGATCTGAGTCTTTACGAGGAATACAAACTGCGCAGGAACGAGCAGAGACGGCGGAATCACAGCAGGCGCAGAGAGCAAGAGAAGTCCCTGCCTCAGCCGATGCTGGCTGATCTGGTACGTCTGAAATGTTGTTCTAAATACCAGGGTAGACATTCTAGATTCATACGTAATGTTGATGTAAAATTTGATGTTGTATTGAAGGTGCGTGTGCGGCGAGAGAAGACCAGGCTAAGGGTGGCCAAATGGAGAGCGAAAAGGAAACTGCAGGCCCATCTGATACAGGCTCAGGTCAGTTTGTGTAATGAGCTAGTGAAAAAATATTCATGTTATGACACTTAAAGAAAAGTTCAGCCCACTGTCAGGATAGAAGCTGTCATGGGTTAATGGTGGAGTCCATACTGGACAGTTCACTATCAGTTGTTTCCATTTTGTCTATAAATATATACGTATTATCCCATTGAAGTTTACTAAGGTAACCACAATCCACCCAGATACGGTCACTAACATGTAAGCAGCATAGACTACTTAAGATTTGATGTTCTACACGTTCCTTTTAATGGAACAACCAAGCTGTGGTACACACTACACCACCAAGCTGTTCAATTATTAAGAAGCTACTTCCCGCAGCAAAGTCACTGTTCAGGTTTCACTCAAGAGTATTTATGTACGTACAAGTAACCTCTACACCAGCTAAGGCTTCATGTAAAGCATGTCTCTCTTTCCATCCATAGACTCATGGTGGCACTGAAGGTTTTTCCAACTGGTTTGCCCAACTTCAACCAGGATCAGTGAGTGGTGAAAGTTTCTCAGCTTGGACCTGCAGCAGTCAGCAGAAATAGAACTCCCATTTGCCTCCTTCCACCACCACCACCACATTCAAGGTCAACAACTTTTCTAACCCTCCTCCCTGCGTGAACTTCACTACTTCCTCCTCCTCATCCTCTCTATTACAATATGGCTCCGTACCCATATCTTTTCACCTCTTTACCATCGTCGTTGATCTCTAACAATGAAGGGACGAGTCAGAAATGTGACTGTTCATGAGATTTCTGAGAGTGGTTGCATGCTTAATGTTGGACTAATGTTCATTCAAGGTCTAATAAAAAAGCTGGCAAAAGGATCTGCGTCATGACCTATTGACCTGGATAGAGATTAATCTAGACTCAGCTGTACATTACGACCACATTCAAACTCCACCCACTGTCATTTTTGACATCTAAAGATTGCAGAGTTGTCAAGGTTAGAGATTCTGAAAATGACAGAGCTAGAAAAAAAAGGCATTGAAGACGCTTTAATGTCAGCATGAAAAATAGCAATAAGAATGGCTAAATAAAAAAATCTTTAGAATAATATGGTGAAACAAAATCACGGCCAATATAAGGTTATGTACACTATCAATGACTGAAAAAAACCATTTACCTTGTACAACCCTGGCTTTCAGTGATACTTAAACATGCGATTGAGAACCATGTGTGGAAAACCTGGTGTTAATGTATCACTGTTGTGTGTTTTATCCATTAATTATCTTCTGTGAGATGGCACCCGGCAGCGTGTAGAAGAGCAGGACGAGGAACACGGTCAGGATGAGCAAAATCAGTGCAATGATGATGTACTTCTTATAGTTTTGCCAGATCAGGTGGAAGAAACACTTGAAGGGATTGACAAACCACGAGAAGGACGTGTCGGGACGGCTAGAAGAAAGGTTGATCATTTAAGTCCAACTGCTGTCAAAGTGCTGTCCGTTATTAATGGTTAACACGATAGAAACATTTTTCTAATGCAGGTGTTTATGTTAGTATGTGCTCACTGGGAATATTTGTGGAAATTAGCACAGTATTAACACCAAACTAGAAACACTGATTTCAACAATCAGTGCAAAAATCCTTTTAGGATTGTAACGTGAAGTTTTGTCTGATTTATATAAAAAATAACTGATTACACCAAACCGGATTTATCAAGTTTGGATTCTCTTACTTTGGTTTTGGGAGCGGCTCCGGTTCCTTCCGAGCTTTGCCGACAGGATTCTTTTCTGCCTCCTCGGCTGTCACCAGGTGGAACTCTGCTTCCACTTTACCCTGATGGATTCAAAGCAACATCCCTTCTGTCAATCAATCTGCCACACTCTGCCTCTATACAGTATGTACAATACGAGTAAGTACAGTGAGTGTGAGAGAGAGTGAGCACAGGCACCGTCAGCTCTCCAGATTTGTTGAACGGCCACCAGCCTCTGGCTCTCTTCTGCTGGAAGATGGATATCCTCTCTGAAATGTCCATCATGTCGGCCTTACAGGCCTTTGCCGTCTTTGCCCCACGAGGGAAACCGTGGAGGTTTAACTCTACAGCACCTTCACAGAAAAGTGAAAATTTCATTTTATTCCGTGCCAAAGCTTACACAACATATGTAATAATAATTCATTCAGGTTTTGTAGATTTTAACGATATATCCTGAAGCTCCAGCTCTAAAAGTCAGTTGCGATTTTAAAATGTTCCGCCCCTCGTGCTGCTCTGCACAACTAAGATTGACTGCAGCGAGAGAGAGAGAAACAGACAAACCTATGAAGTCGTCAGAAGACAGTGTCTCAAAGTCCCAGACCTGCAGAATAAGAATGGCAGGAATTTTCTGCTCCGTTTTGTCCAGAGAGAAAATGCTCTCTCTTTTTTTTACAACTATAACCTGTGAAAAAATAAAAAAAATAAAAAGTCTTCACAATTCTGTATCCACACATACATTATATTTAAGTTGAAGTCATCAGAAAATGACTTTCTGGAGTAGTCGGTACCTTCTCAGCAGGCAGGTAGCTGAAGGGGAAAACAAAACGCCAGTTAAAGTTTCCTTCTCCAGTCAGGGAGTTGTGATGGACGTCCGTCTCCTGCCGATCGTCCTCTAAACCTTTTAACCAGCTACAAGAGACAGAAACAGAGAGACTTGTTTGCTGATTCAGGGGTTGACTTTTTAATTAGAGCTGGACGAGTGATTCGCTGTCAAAATGACACAAAAACTTGACATTTTCATTACCCCTTAACGTAGATGTCACTGGACTTCTGTCCTGTTATGAAGTTGCTGTCCTCCAGAGACACGTCTTCTGTGTTCCAGATGACGATACGCAGCTCATACCTGGGACAGCATCACAATGTCAATCACTACATTCTTTTTATTGTACATGCATTCTACTGTAAATTATTCTTAAAAAGACGCAGCTGTCACCCTTTTGGTGTTCGTGGAGAAATGTCCACTGAAGGTCCAGGATGAGGCAGATCCATGGGAAACATGTCCACCCACATTTGTATCTGACCCTGCACGGATACAACAGAAGAAAGTTTGCAGTAAATTCGCAACAGCCAGTTGTTGAGTTAACGGATGTTCTCTCCAGGTTGCCTACCTGGTCCATTCCAGGTCGGGCTTTGTTGTACAGAGTCCTGGTCTCTATGTGTTCTGGTACCAGTTTGCATCCTACACCTGGAATCTCAGCCCAGCGGTGTAGAATCTTCAGAGACAAGTGCTCGTAGGATTCCTTCGGCTCATCTGAAACATGCACAGATCTCCATTCATCTTCTACTGTTTTGGAATTTCAGCATTACAGATGTAACTATAACAGTCTGACTGTTTATCACCATTGTACCTTCTTCCATGAAAACTGTTTTGCCAGCGAAGACTTTTCCCGCCACAGTGATTTGTCCTGGACTGAACTTAGGATCATCCAGACCATTGTCTTTACACAGCTTTGACAGCAGCTCAGATGGTTTCAGACAGTCCCTCCAGGCATTATAGCCATCACTGCAAACAACAACATAAGTTATTTCATTTTTTAAATATTTTTTCTTCTAAAATATAGATTGGTTTGAGCAAGCGTTACGATCAATGACAAGAAAAATAAGGAGAAACTCCCACACGTACACGCTGTACTCAGTGGGCAGCCCGCAGGTGGCTCTGTGTCGGCTGTAGAATCGATTCTCCAGGTCAATTCGAGTCTCTCCTATCAGGTCGTCCCCTCCTATCAGGTCATAGTCATAGATCACCAGCGACAGAAGAGAATCCTTAGGAAAAGTTGCCTGCATCTCAAAGGACCTGGACACAAATGTATCATTGTTCAAAGGCAGCAGACAGAAAGTTGTGCCTCAGCTGTTTTCAGCTTTTGCTGACCAGTTATTTACCTTCCAAACACAGGGTTTAGCTGTTTAGGAATGTAGTTGTCTCTGTCTTTGATTTCTTGTTTGCCAAGGCGAAGGACAATATATGGATCCGCTTTCCCATCTGGATCAGCTGGATGCAGGTTTGAAGCCTGACGAGGAATCAAAGACATTTCACCATGAGACCAGAGACGCCGCATGAAGAATAGATGTTGTGATGTACTCACAGAGACTACGTAAACCCGTATCCGGACTTGAATCGTACTATTACTGGGAATTCCTCTGTTGACTTTGAATTCTGTAAAGTCTTCCACTTCATCCCAGTCATCTGCCTCTTCTTCAGGAAGTTTGTAGAGGCAGAACTTTCCCTGTACCAGAAGAACAACACAGATTACTCTACTTTGATACTGATGATGTTTTGTGGTTCCATCAACGTCTCCATCTCCAGTGTCCCACCTTAAATTTACCGATGAACCTCTCTTCATTTGACCCCTCCTCATCATTGGCTTTACCCCTGTACAGTTCATAAGTGGTAACCCAGTCGTCAAATGGTCCAAATTCTGCCTCCAGTTCTTTATTGTACAACTGCAGGAAGTGAGACATCATCATCATTACTGTACTGTACCTTATTTTCTTTTTTCTTGGCCACTGCCAAGCACAGAGTGCCGAGTTTCCGATAATAAACTGCTCATAATCTCCCTGACTACCTTGAGTGTTGCTAACTTCGTAGGGAGAACCACATTAACTGCAACCGTTCCTTTTCCTTTGGCCTTTTTCTTCTTGTCTCCATCTTTCCCTGTTCCAGCTGGTGGAGCAAACAAACAACACATTAGGCACTGTGAGTATGAAGTATAAAAGGAAAGCTGTCACAGTGGGAAACACCAGCAACACACTACATTCAGTCTGTCCTGGGGTGAAACTATAAACATAAAAATAATCAAATTCCATTTTGACTATGCTTCTGTCTCAGATGGGGGAAAACAATCCCTATTTAATAAAGATGATAGTTGTATCACAATTATTTTCTTTTGTAGGCAAGAAAACCAAACTTATAATAAAAAAATAATAAAATAAAAATAAATAATATTTAAAAATCAACAATTTTGGTTATAGACAGAAGCAGAAACAAAACATTTCTTATTAAAAATGAATTTCTTTATGCCTGAGCATAATTCCATTATTTCCCAATGAGACAAACTAGTCCATAGAATATCTGGTAAGCTACAGCATTGTTTCCCAAAGACTGGGTCGCGACCCTCAGGTGGGTCATCTCACATTATGTTTCCCAGGAGTTTACGAATAATGTCTACTGACTTGGGTCCTGAAGGTTTGTGACTTTTAAAATATGGGTCCCACAAAGAAAGTTTGCAAAACACTGAGATACAGTATATTTTACCACAGGATGAAGTAGCATCCTTGAAGAAAACCAATATATAGAAAAAGACTTTGCTTAATTTGAAGTTACATCACTTGAAGTTCCAGTTGTGCTGTAATTTAAACTGAACCTTCTACATGAATGTGATTACTGGTATTCAAAACAGGAAATGACAGAAGCAGAATATCAGGTGTAGCCTTATTTAAAGAAGTCAGAGAAGTAAACCTGTGCTGATTAAAGCCAGTTAACACCTCTGTGCTCTTAATATCATAACTTACCCAAAAACTGTATTCCATCGCCGAGCAGGCCATGGTAATCCTCAACTGCAACGTACATGTGTTTGTAGGTAAATCGTAAACTGTTTTGTGACCTCTTAGAAGAAGAGCTTCATGAAGAATCTTAATTGGTGCAGTTAAAAACAAATATAAAGTTTATGTTATTGCTCTGACCTTTTTCAAATCCTTGAGGAAAAATGTTTTCTCCTTTCTTGGCCTGGAACAAACAAAGGTAAGTAATTGCATGACAATGTTGAACTTTAGTTTACCATTTGATAGAGAAGAGTTTGCAGAACAAACAGAACTACAGTACCTCCTTCTCCACAGATGCATAATATTTGGACCACCAGTCGATGACATTCTCTGCTGATTCGTCAGCAATGGTGCGCCGCCTTCTCTTGGTGGAACGCTTTCGAGCGCTGCTTTCCTTGGCCTAAAAAAAAAAAAAGACAAAGCAGACTTTAATGGATGGATGGATGGACTGGAGTACAGATGGATTGACCAGCCTAGTGGATGGATGGGCTGGACCAGTGGACAGATGGATGCATTAGTGAATGGATGGATGGATGGACTAGTGGATGGATGAACTAGTGGATGGATGAACTAGTGGATAATCGAAGATAGACTTATATACACCACTCATAATATATACCTTTTTCTTCTTGGACTCTTTCTCTGCATCAGGTGGAGCTGAAGTTGGCGCTGAGGGTGAAGATGAAGATGGAGGTAAAGGTGGAGCTGAAGATGGGCCTGAAGGTGGAGTTTCTTCCTCCACCGTTATAAGAAAATCTTGACTTGTTGCAGAGGTGTGGGTCTCTACAGACAGTTGAGACTTATCTGTTGGAGAAGACACAAAGACAGAGTTTAAGGTGAAGACTGACAATGGTTCATCATTCTACGACCACACAGTATTCACTGTCATTACCCTTGGAGCTGTGCGGTTGCGGTGTCAGTAGAGCTTCTTGTGATGGCAGGGTCACAGGTGGTGTCTGAATCTTGATCGGAACAGGTGGAGTTGGAGGTGGAGTGTATACAAAGGCCTTGAGGTTGTTAATGCTGTGGTTCCCAACCAACGTGCTGCGACCGAAGGCTCGCCAGTCAACAACGGTGATAGTGAGCGGGGGATGTAGGTTTTCATTCTCCGGCAACTCCTACAAAAATATAGATTGTGTATTTCATAGGGTAACAGGTAAAGTGTTGTACACTGGTTGGAAGAAAAAAAATCATCAGTTGAAATAAAAGATGAATGAGTATGCTGCGTTATCTCAAAAAGTTAGTGGTCAAACCATGACAATACAGGCTCTAGTACAGTAGGTGGCAGTATAGGCCTAAAATCATTGGTTGTGACCCGCTATTAAACCAAGACGTCACGTCCCTACGTAGCCTGAGTGACATTCAGGTGTTCCCATAGAACTTCTACCACAGACACAAACAGTGTTTCTGTGAAGAAAGGAACTCTTTACAGTTAATATTCTTAATATTTAATATATTGACAGTGATGGCGGACCAGTTTTACTTTTAATAAGTCCATTTCAGTTGGTTATGGTATTCCACATAGTTCTTACAAATAAAGGATCATTGTAATTGGTCATAATTTGTCTAGAAACTAATTTTATCAATCCTATCTCATCGTGACTTGAGTGTATCATCAGTTACATCCCTACAGACTATATTAAACCTCTCCACTACATATGTTAAGATTGAGTTTTTGCTCTTACCAGTATGATGGCATCGACCAGTGTGGTGAAGTTCGGGTTTGACTTGTATTTCTGAATTACGGAGGAGCGAAGAGTTTTGCCTGCACACTCGATAAAGACCTGCAGAGGAAGCATGTGCAGTTGCTTTCACTTTATATTCTCCAATAAAAAAAAACACAATTTCTAACTGAGTTAAGTTGATTTTCATTGTTATCTAAATAATGAATTATAAAGAATAATTCTGGTCATTTCAAGGTTCTTTCTTAAGTGTACCTGTGGACGGTCAACAGACAGAAGCTGGACCTTCTTCAACTCCCTCAGACCCCAGAACAACACCTGATGGAGATAGAGCATAAATGTTTCCTTCGCAAACACACATGATCTATATTCTTATCTCCTTAATGAACATTCAGACCTCCAATTTGTAGGTCCTCAGAACAGGTCGGATGTTGGCCGGGACCACATATTTGCCTCCTTCCTCTTCCTCTAACGGGGGCAGATGAGACCCTGCGAGATCTGTAATCTATAGCAATATACCTTCAATTTAAATATATCACTTTCATTTTGAATTGAAATGAAATAACTGTACGACATGTGAAAGAACTGACCTCCAGCAGTTCAAATGCAGCCAGCAGGTCTCCTCCAGACTGACTGCCGCAGTGCAATGGGCTGTATTTCAGCATAGGGGGCGTGTAAGATTCAGAGGCCAGACGAACTTCTGGCACAGCAACAGTGGCCCCAAGATATTCTGCTTTTCCCTGCACATGACAAAGAAAGTTTTTCATGTTGTTTGTTAGTGAAAAACATCAATTTTGTTGTTGACTTTTTAATCTTTTGGGAGATGTATACCAGAGCATCATCATCGTACACTTCGATGATGACACGAGGAGGCTCCTGCAGGATGTACTGTGTGTCTCCACTCAGCTGCAGGGGTGTCATTAGCAAACACTGATTCCATGTAGGACTGAGAGTCTGGCTGATTATCTAGAAGGAACCAGTACACACATGAAGATCCCACATTAACATTACCAAGTTAGGTTACTGATTAAACCTTTAAACTCAACAAAAACTCTGAACCAACACACTCACGTTGGTGGTTTGGCAGTTTGACAGGAATGTGATGCGAGCGAACGGATCAGACAGCCCTGTGTTGTCAGCAGCGATCAGACCTCGTGCCTGATACATGTGACACCTCAACTGGAACTTACGCTGCTCTACAGACATGGACGAGAATGGGGGAGGGAATTAAAATGTAAATTTCATATTGATGGTAGACATTTATTCCAAAGAAACTTCGATCAGTTTCTGAAAATTCATGAGGACATTTTACAGTCACTTTTGTTACCTGTGCAAACCAGGAACGATGGAGGGTTGTAGGCATCAGCGCCCCCAAGGGCTGGACTGAATCCTGCAGGCAAGTCATCCAACATATGATTGGAGTCTGAACAGCGTCCTAACCACAAGTACACGTCCAGCTTTGCTTGGACTGAAAATCCAGCAACGCGCTTCCCTGGAGGCTACAACACAAACACAACAGCAATCAAAGATTTAGACATTTTATCAAAAATGGACTTAAAAATAGACCTAGACATCAATGAACATTTGCCAATTGGAAAGTTCAATTTTTGGAATTTCTCACTTTTCTCTTTTCTCATACTGTAAAGATGATAAAAACAGACCAAAATGCAAGTTAACATCACTAGATAACTCAACCTTTCACACAAGTGTTTCAGTATTTTTCTACGTGTGAACCCCCTTCACTGTGTTGGGTCTATTTCGGTCACCTTCAGAAACAGCGTTATAACTTTCCCACAGTGGACTCCCTGTTCCTCCTGGTTGCTGGAGTACAACAGGTCTCTGGCCTGGACACGAGTGCCTGCTACACGTTTGTTATTGCTCAGCAGCCACACAAACACATCTGGCAGTGTGTGCTGGGGCTGCAAAAAAAAAAAAAAAACAGGACACACAACTCCGGTGATTAATGGTCACGGCAGCATCTAAGGTGGACACAGAGACAGAGGGCGAGGCTTGTACCTCCTCCACAAGGAAACGTAGTCTCTGTGTGAGTTTCGTCGCATCCTGCAACATGACTTTCTCCTCAGCACCTCCTTTTCTCTTCCTCTCCACCAGAGACTGAGCGTCCTCTATCATACTGGCCTGCCACACACACAGTAACGACATTTAAAACATTTCATACAGCACTAGAATCCAGTTTTTCTAAGAGTTTCTGACCAGCTCTTGTGTGCACATGGTTAGAATCTTCTTGTCCAGCTGTGTCAGGTAATTGGACTTCAGCTCAGCCTTCAGTTTGGCTTCAGCTGCTGATATGTAACACCTGCAATGAACAGCCAAAAAAAAACACACCAGCAACTCAGTCGTTGTTGTGTCACATGTATATTATCCATTCAATACGAAGTTTGCCTCATCTCTGCTAAACAAAATGATCTCATTGAAAAACTAAAAGGGCCAAAACCTTCAAAAAAAAGGACCAAAAGAAAAAAGAAAGAAAGAAGGAAAAAGATAAATAAGGAAAAAGAAAGATAGAACAAAAGAAAGAAGGAAAGAAAGAAATAAGGAAGGAAAGAAAGGAAAAAGGAAAGAAAGAAACAAGGAAAGAAAGAAAAAAGAAAGAAAGGAAAAAAGAAACAAGGAAAAAAAGAGATTTTGAGATTTTAAAATACTTTATTGACAGTTGATGTAAAACTGTAAAACACCCAGTTACATCAGAATGTAGTGGAAAGAAATCAATAAGAAAGAAAGAAAGAAAATTCCAAAGCGACTGTTCATCACCAAATTAAAAACATCAGCAGACGTATCAGTATCAGTCTGTAGTAACAGTGAAAATACCTGGCATCCATACAGAATTCTTTGAAGACAACTTTAAGCTTGTCCCTCACGCCAGGATCTAATTTTCTGTGCAGCTCTTCCACCCTGGCTACACCCTCCTCCTAAAAAACAGGAACGCAATATTTTACCAACACTGTGTAAAACCAAAACACGCAATATCCAGTGGAACGTGTGTGTGTGTGTGTGTGTGTGTGTGTGTGTGAGAGTGTGCGTGCTTCAACCACATACAAACAGAACAACTATGTTTTCCAACATGTTTGAGTTGAAGAGTCGATAGGTTCTGTTCTCCCACTGACTCAGGACATTGATACACGGCTTCTGCTTCTCTAGGGGCAGATACATGTAGTACCTGTATGTGAAAAAACACACAGTACACCATGAGTACACCAAGTATTGGTCGTCAACTTCTAATCATTAAAACCAGAACCTGTTTCCGTCGATGATGAGTGGTTTTTCCGGAGGAGTGGCGGACTTTATGGTCAGAGGAGCCTCCTGACCTTCTCTGGGCAGGAGTGGAGATGATGGGGAGGAGCTGAGAGGGGAGGAGCCTGACATGTCACCACTGTCTGGGACTTCCAGTGCTCTTCTCCTTCGAGAAAGACTGGGGCTGGAATTGGAGCTGGTCTGACCTGTGGTCTCCAAGGTGTTACCGAAGTTCCCTTCAGGAGAAAATAAGATCAAAGAAAAGTGAATAAGACTGTGGAGTGTTTTTATATAATATGACTTATTGGTTTACTCACCCATGGAGAACTCAAAACTTATTGGTTTGTCTCCAATCTTTCTGTCAATCAAAGTGGCTTCAAACAGTGCTCCAAAAAGTATGAAGCCCTCCATGTTGTTGACATTCAGCTGGTAACCAAACATAATCAATGATTACTGTAGTAAACAAGTTGCCAGAAGAGGCAATAGAAATGTAACTCGAGTTTTTCACAGCTTTTGCACAATTTTATTTTTCACTTTTTAAGATGTTTGTTTGCTAACTGTAGCTACAGAACAACACATTCTATATCTGGTTGTTCTACAGTACATTCTCTTCTGTGGATGTTTTTCTTTCTTACCGTAGGAGGAGACTCCACAGGTAGAACCTCTGCTGGGACTGGTTTTCCTTTGTCGTCATCAGCTGCTCCTCCTCCAGGTGGCGCTCCTGCGGCGGCTCCTGCTCCTGCAGCTTTACCATCCTTCACCGCAGCCTTACCCGCTTTGGGGTCTTTAATGGACTTGACCATTTGGCTAAGTTTGGACTCTGTGCCGGAGCCTCCTGACATGATCTCCACTGCCAGTTCCATGTAGATCCTCCCCCTGGAACCAGGATGGTTAAAACAACCAATATAGTTGACAACTCAATGATTACTTTTATTTTATTTATCATTATCATCATTTATAGTTCAACCTGTATGCCACTCCTTGTCCAATGCCTTCATTCAGCTCCACTGTGTCATCACCTATTGAGAAACTTCGAGGAGCGCCGTAAAGGTTAACCCAAGCGGGACCAAAAGTTGGTAAGAAGCCTTGGAAAAAAAGTCAAATACAAAAGAAAACTGAGTGAAAGTAATTAACAAAAAAATGTTAATTATTTTCCCTCTACTATTTAACCCTGTGTTTTCAACGTTTCTGACCTCTGTCACCATCCTGGTCATTGGAGATACGTCTCAGGTCGAAGTAATGGGTTGCTATAGCAACATCACTCATGCCTCCTGCATCCCAGACCTACAACACAACAGACACCACATTCTTGTGCCAATTTTATACATATTATTTAAATGTTAAAAATATAACATATGACTCCATCCCTGACCTGAATCTTTAACCTCTGACACAGAGGAGGAAACATCTCTACAAAGATGACCTGTTCATTCCAGACAGGGTCTGCTGTGGACTTCTGTGTGGACGTACGACCCTGAGCAGAAAGTGTTTTCTTTTAAAAAAAAGGTATTTGCTTTTCCTGAAAGTAAATTAAATTTATATACAGGTGTTGTACAAACAAGCAACATACGTTAATATAATTGGAAGTTTTGTGTTTTTGTAATTACAACATTACATAAATACAAAGCTCTTTAACACAACTAATCTAAACCTGGATTCCAAAAGTTTTATTGGTAGGTAAAACGTCTTTTTAAACAGAATCATAGCATTCTACGCACCACTTTATTGAAGAAGCTGACGACGACATACGGGTCTACGAGTGCTGTGTTGTCTCCAATGAAAGCCTTGGTGACGTTGGCCATGAGGCCGGAGTCGTTCCGTGGAAGACCTTCAGCTCGATACACCTTCACTGAGAAACGAGCCCACGGTCTCTCAGCTGGGAAACCTTCTGGTATAAGTAGATTCCTGAGAAGAGAACAAATTAAATGGGGATATAAATACAAAAATATCTGTATATTCAAGGCAAATTATATCTCAAAGTGTCTTAATGTTCTTCAACTCTACACCAACTCTTCTTTATTCTCAGTTATCTACGATCAAAAATCTAATATAATTTTTTTGTAATCAATTCAACTGATTTTCAGACATATTAAAGGTTTTATGAACAAGTTAGCTGCAGTTTGCTAGACTGAAGACACCTTCTAAAAGGCCTTTGTTTTGCCAACTTTGATCTGATTGGTTAAAGAAACTATTTCACTGCCTCTGAAGGCCTTAAGGCAGATTTCTTTCACCCTGGCAACACACAATGGCTGAAATATGATTGGATGAAACTGGCTGCAGTGCACCATGGTAGACATGCTATATATTAACTGAGTTTAGAAGTATATTGTTTTATAAGTTAGGTTTATTTAAGTTTTATTTAAGTATGAATAACATACTTGTCTATCTGCTCTTCAGCATCACTTGCTTTTTGACCTGGTTGCACTGCGTCGCCTTTCGCTGACACACTGATGTCACACTTGACATAACCTTTGACACCAGTGCTGATGTCATTGGGATTCATCAATGTGGCCCATTTATTGACAAACTGGTGACCTGGAAAAATAGAAAAATAAACACTTTTGGGTTGAATGCAGAGGTTGTTGTTTTTTCTTCCATGAATAAGAAGCTGTTACCATACCAGGCTGTTTGTAGACTGTCCACACATCCAACTTAAAGGACCCAATAAAGAAATTTCTGAGCATCTTTGAATGCATCACCTACAGAAGGAGAGAGAAAACTCTGAAAATTAAGAAGTCATTTGCAAACCCTAATGTCTCTAAAACTCAAGATCCAGCAGACATCCAGTAAATCAGCTCACACATCAAGACACAACACACAGTATGTACTCACTGTTATCTTGATGACTTTGTCAAAGAAGATTTCTTTGTGGGCAAAGAAGTCAAACACGAAATACTGGGAGAAAGAGAGAAAGACGAGCTGTTTGTGAAACATCACATGTTTAACACTGAGAGAACTTTTTTAAACTCTGCAATTCTAGCCCAACCTCATTGTAAAACGGAGCGTTGGTTCCTTCTTGAACCGAGGTCTGCTTTTTCTCATCACCGATTTCAATCACAACGCTTGGATTAATGTTTTCTCCCACTAGCTGTCTGGCCTCGGTGATATTGATAGCAATCTGTGAGAGAATTGACAAAAATTAATTAATCCAACACGTGCCATGATAAGCCGGCATCAACTTTTTTCTTGATTCCCCCCATAACATCCGGTGTGTGGAACTTTTTACCTGGAAACTCTGAGGTTTCTTTTCACTGATCTGGATCCGAGTTTTCAGTTTAGACCTTTGGAAATGTCACATTAGAGGGAAGAATTAAAAACCAACTCCAATGGAGGAATAAACATAAATACATTTGTATATTTACGATACAGTGCTAAGCAAACACACCAGTCAACACTCAACTGTGATTGATTTTAATAACTTGTTGAGAATTTCTCAACAAATTATTAACTTAGCCACTAAGGCAGTATTGTTTTATGAATTCAAATGTAATTTGTGTGATAATGGCATTATGTCATGTGTGCTTTTAACCTCTTGCTGCCTGGTAATATCCTGGTCCTGAGCGCATGAGGTTCTGATGGTTCCTCAGGAGGTTCTTCTTCCAGCAGTAAACTCTCTTCAGACGGCCCCGGCTGCTCACTCTCTGTTCACAGATGCACAAGAAAGAACTAAATATTCTAAAACAGAGACCATTCCATTTCCTTATATATATCATCTAAAAAAAGAATTACTCCTATATTATCCTATATAAATATTGACGTTATGTTATTATATTAAATATCAATATTAAAATGTATTTATTTAACTAGTAGGTCAAAGGGTCAAAGCTGGTGTCCATGTATTTGGTGAATACCATATAGATATGTAACCATTCTCAAAACAGACAGGCAATAACAATGGTCAAATAAAGGTGTAAATATTGACAACTGACGATTACCAATGATATTGTTCTTCAAATTATCCTTAACCACCGCATTAGCTGATGCACTTGTTGATGTAAGAACCGGCTCGGGTCGATTAATCCACCCATTTCAATTTAATCCTGCCCTTGATCTCTATATGAGTTTATGTCCTAATAGTTTTCCCTCGATGACATAAATCACCCAGGACGACTTTTCTCTACAGACTGGTGTTTATCATGTGACTATTTAACAAAGGTTTGTCTCTCCTTGATATGACAGATGATAAATCCACTGTACACTTGAGATGCAGCCAAGATTCTGTCTGTGAGTGTTTGTTTTCCAGGCCTTACCCATTGCTCCCTTGTTTGCTAGGATCAGGTCTTTTGTTGACTTCTTTTTCTTTTTCCCTTTCAGTCCAAATAACAGCTTGGCCTTTCTGCAGGAGAAAGACTTTTCTGTGAGGCTAATCACATCAACATTCATTCACAGAATGACACACAGTATTTCAATAACAATAACAGTGTGTTAAATGTGACTTTAGATGGCCAGAATTATATGACTGATAAATGAAATAAAAGATCTGGCCAAAAACTTGACAAAAGACTAGATTAGATACCAGTGAAACCAGAGTGGAAAATAATGAATAGACAAAGAACGGGCACCGAAAAAAATCCTTTGACACCTGTTTCATAGGCTAATAAAATATTTTGGTGCATTAAACACATGTTAAAAGTCGCTAGAAAGTCTATATCCTACTATATAGAATTTATATACTACTGTGTGTTTCCACATCTGAAAAATTCCAACTTGCACCTTTTGATCTCAAGAATATTCTACTAGATCAACCCCTGCTCCATACTCCATATTGTACGTACATATGTACTGTACATACTGTAGATATGTACTGTACGTACATATGTACACATACAATACATACATATGCCTGTTGTTATTCTGATACTAAGGCTAATTTCTACATAATGAGAACTCAACTCAAGTACTGATTATCTTTAAATTGTCACTAAAGTGCGACCAATATCAAAAAAATACGAGGAATAAAAAACAAATTATAAAAAATGTATAGTAAAGGGAAAAAGATTGGTTCGCAAGTACAGGGAAATTAATTTTTTTCATTGACACTGAATTTGTCATTAAAGTGACACACATACATACTGTAGATGTGTGTGTGTCCCGTTACTGTCAAAAACTGTGTGTAATATTTACACTGCACATCACTTTGTCATCTAAGTGGATGACCACAGTGATTTTTACATAGATGAACTGATATTATAACAGCCCATTCACACGTAGAATAATTACACAATTTCCAAACAGAACACATTGGATTTTAAATAAATACATCATACTCATATTTATTCATTTTTACGCCCCTTTTTAAGGAATAAAAAGAGTGAAAGTTTGTTTCCTGCAGACACAATACTCACTTACACAGTAGATGTAAATCCGTTTTTTCTCATTCTGTAATTATTTAGCTAACATGAATAGTTTTTAATGAATGTTTAGTCAGTTTTATTCCTATTTTCCACCTTGAAGAATATTAAAACATTTGTATTTGCAGTATATTTCCTGAGAGCAATAGCAGCTGTTTTTCCACCCATCAGCATCTTAAAAGAATATGTTAAAGGATGTATAAAAAAAAACATCAATGCTGCTTCTTCTCACCTGTTCTGGGTTTCAGGACTTTACAAAATATCCATTCTTTCTCTAAATGTTTCCCAGCTTCAGTAAAGGTCTTCAAATTTATCAAACTAACATCATTGATCTACTCTATATTTCTCCTCTCCGACTTCTTCCTCAGTTGACACCAGTGTTCAGTAAATATACTCATCCCATAATCCTCCAGCTCAACAACAGCGTCCTAATACCCACATAAAATTAGTCATGCAAGCCTTCAACTTTCAATGTCCCACCTAGATTAAACTTTACACTTCATTTTTCTCCTGTCTTGCAATGAAAACATCATTCCTTTTCTGTCCACGTTTGTCGCGCCTTTATTGTGTAACTGAGTTTGTTGGTTTTGGTTGTGTGATGTGATGTGTCCTGCCCTTCTGTTCGCATGCTAAAAATGTCTCTTTATTTTGTAAATATTTTATGGATGATTCACCTACGATATTTGAAAAAAATAATATATATATATATACTGTATATATATGGCTGATTCACCAACAATATTTAAAACATACATATAAATGTTTTTTTTTTTTTTAACGTCACATAGAATTACTGGTTAATAGCAGATGTTATTAAAACCTTGATCTGGGCTTATTTTTAATATATAGTATTTAATCTTTCATGTCATGTTTAGGTTCATAAAATTGTTTCCCTAAAATTCATTGTAAACAATTTTAAAATCACTTTATGTTCTCTTAAAATAAGATGTGATTGGTTAGTTGAGACTACACATTGGGACTCTGGAACCATTGTTCTATTGGTTGTATTTATTGCGGTAAATGGACCAACTTTATCCTATTTTGGGCTCATGTTTACGTTTTTCTCCATACAGATGTTAATTTAAAATGTGTCTTATTTGTAAGACTTAAACATGATGAGACAAGTGTCTCAGGTGTCTCCAACAGCTTCGACAAGTTCTATCATTACACCGTTTTATCTGTTGATCTGTGTTACTTTTTAGTTGATAAAGTTGGTGTCAAGGCTTCAAAATAAAACATTTTGCGTGATGGAGTTACATTTTTACGCCAGAATGGAACCCTGTTAAATGTATAAAAGCAACCAACAATGTTCAATAACGCAATCTATTTTTTTCTTTTCTCAAAACTAATAATAATAATAAAAAAAGAAAATCGAAAATTTAAAAACAATGGATTTTATTCCTCAAAGACTCAGAGAGTTCCCTGCTGAGTTAAGTAGACCCAAAAGAGAATATTTAGAGAAAAATCTTTTTATAAATCAGCCTTTCCACTTTGAAACCAAATTACACAGACCTCAATTTACACACACGACTGAAACCAGGAGAGCTACTCTTGACTTTCAGGGTTTTACTGTATCATAGTGAAAGTAGTACTACTAGTAGTAATAGAGTCAAAGTTAAAGACTAGACTCCATTTGCCTAAATTGAATTAAGTAGTCAATTAAAAATGTCAGACACTAATATCACACTTTATATTTATATGATATATATATATATAAGTGTGAGTCCATCAGTTGAGTTTAGAACATTCAGCACATTTACAACATCGACCAACAACTGGCTGGTTGTATTAAAAACTAAGAAATGAAAAAAGAGAAATCTCTCTTTTACCTTATTTTTGGATCCATAGCTGCCCTCAGATGTCAGCGTCTCCAATTACAGCATCTAGATGGACACACACACACACTGGCTGCAGGTGTCTCTGCAGGCAGACAGACAGAGTGGGATGTGGGAGTAGAGTGTGACCAGGTGATTGGTGGCTGAACTGGAGAATCTGTTTATTCAAGGAATGTTCAGTTGTTGGAAAGGTGAACAGGCACTTGGATGACGGACGGTCAGCTCCTGATTCATTCATGTTTGATCACCCGACGGAGAGGTCAGGAGGTCAACTTTCTGCCGTTTGCTGAATGACTCCATAGTCCTGGATTTAAACATTTAATTCCATGTATATCACAGTTTGCACTACTTTGATATTCAATAAAGATAGTTATGTGTCACATATAGTTATTCAGAGTTTTACTCTTGTTTTTATTCCAAAATATATTTCTTATTTAAAACTCAATGATGAATGTATAAATAATACTATAATAAATTATAGTATAGTATTTATTAAAGTGTAGTATTTACCTGAGACTAGAACCAACCATAGACTGGAAAATGTTTAAATTGTATAAATAAAAAATATAATGTGTTAATAATCACTTATTACTGTTTGCCTCAGATTACCTTCAGAGGAATGTTAAGATAAAGTATAGGAGATTTTTACATGGTGTGTTTTCAGATATAGACCTAACCAGGATGTATAAAACTGGTAGAGTTAACAAACCCACCCTCAGTAAACACAGCAGGCAACCGCAGCTCAAACCTGTCAGTCACGAAGGACATGTGACAGCCAATCACAAAATCACAGGCTTTTTTTTAACCTTTCATCACAGCTGCTGTCCCATCAACCAACAACAAAAAATGTTTACCTGGCAACTGAGCCAGGGAATGTGAAAACTAGAGTAGAGTTGAACTGAATACTGCAGCTTAGGGTCAACATGAGGGGTAATTTACCTGCTGGTCTGGTACTGACAGGGATCCAGAAAGGTCTCCAGTCTGTGTACTTTTGGTGTCCTATGTATTTGTAGATTGGTAAGGCTCTGCTTTACAGAGAGATACATATCTGTGTGACACCACAAGAAACAAGCAGATACAGGTTAACATTTCAATGTGGACATGTCAGGTAGAGACGGAAACTTTGGTGTTAAAAAAAAAAAATACTTGCAGCCATCAAGACATCACAGTATCACCCAATGAGCACCACATATTGTGTCCAGACAAAGACTAATGAAGTAACGGCTAGTGTATTTATATAATTATTTTGTAGTCTTTTCGAATTCAGTTTAGACCCTTATTTATACACTATCAAGATCATATTAGTTACTGATAGATTAGTCTTGGTTGACAAAGACTAACTGACGTCCATTCAAATGTCCAATGAAAACAGCATTTTTTTAAGAGAAAACAGCAAAATATTTCAGTTTTCATTATAAACAAATAATTCATTTTTTTAATAAATACAGATTTTATTCAGTTTTCACAGATGCATAAGTGCAGTAGATATGCAGTGAATCTAAGACGAAAATCAATCAATCAGTTAATAAGTACAGTAATGTTGAACAGGTTGTATAAGCACCTTGCAAAACATTCCAAAATGTTTTTTTTGTTTAACTGTCCATGATCTTAAGAAACATCATCATCAGTAGCTGAGCAGCATCACAAAAGAAGAAGAAGAGTCAGTTCTTCTATTTTTCCTCCAAACCTGTACAGTTTGGATCAGTGGTTATTCAGTCACAGTTTTGTGTGGCCACATGATTTTAATGTGAGCAGCCTCTTCATGACTTCCATCAGTCTTGATCTGTCACACAGTGCATGTCTGCAAGAGACCAAATGACAGAGAGATATCACAAACAGGAGATGTTCCAATACCAAACTTGGCTTTTACCTACAGAAGGACGTTTTCACGACAGGTGATGCTTTAATTCAACAGCTAACTATAACAGGTGGAAATTTTATTGCCAAATTTGGGTGCTGCCACATTAGTTACGGTAACTACACAATTCTATAAACTGGCTGTGGTTGATGGTCATGGCAGTTAGACAGCAGGCAAATGCTGGTAATAAAATTGAATGAGAACTTATGAGATATCAGAGAAAGCAAAACCAATCAATCTGCTGACAATATTGTCATACTTCCAAGATGGGAGGGAATCAAGGGCAAAGGATGAACGTCATTTAATTTCTATATATATATATATATATATATATATATATATAAAATGTGTACATACATTAATACTAAGGATATTTTATTCTTATGCTGCATTATATATATATATATATATATATATATATATATATATATATATATATATATATATATATATATATATATATATATATATATATATATATATATATATATATATATATATATATATATATATATATATATATATATATATATATATATATATATATATATATATATATATATATATATATATATATATATATATATATAGATAAACTGTCACGGAATGGAACTTATATTTTGTTTGCATGTTCACCGTCATGTGACCTTTTTGGAGAAAGGTCAACCAGCAGCAGCCCCAACATTGGAAAAGCTTACAATGACAATCAGCGGCAGCTGACTGAGGGTTTCCTACCTTAGTGTTGAACATGGTGTTGGTGGCACATCTCAGAGGAGATCTTGCAGTTTGAAGGAGCAACTACTTGAAGAGACACTTTAAGAAGAAAGTGTGGATCTGGAGTCAGAATCTGAGAATAAACTGTCGCCGTTGGCTGAGAAGATCGGCTGAAGCTTCTGAAGATTTGCATTTAGTTAACGTAGGATGGAAGAAATGAAGCTGATTTGTGATTAAGCAAAAAAAAAAGGCTCAAAAGATTATTATTAATGGCCTTTAAAGAGGAAGACTTGGGCTTGAGTTTAAGGGATTACCTCAGGAAGGAAGGTATCGTAGCAGAGGATGAGAATTTTTGGTTGATAATAAAAAAAAAGAATGATGGGAAATGGTTAGAAATAGTCAAAAGGTACAGGATATAAAGAAGGAAAAATTGGAGAAGTCGAGTTTTGAGACCCCAAAATTAAACAAAGAAAGAGAATGGTATTCACAGTCTTCAGGAAGATGACAAACTCGATGAGGGTGAAGAAAGGAGCGGCAAAGGTTGAAAGAGGAAACATGGAACTTTCGAGGATTTGAGGGTGGATTGATGGGTTGACAGTTAGCCAAGAGGCAGCAAGGGATGAGCGGAAGGTTCGGAACTAGGAGTACAGTGCATCAATACCTGCAGGAGTAAGGATCAGAGCTTGTAGGAGGTCAGATAAGGAAACAATGCCCCTCACCACATCGTCTTTGTCAACCAAGACTAATCGATGCACCTGCCAGAAAGAAGAAAAAGGTTTGATTGCAGTTCATCCAATAATGATTCAACAAAAAGTACGTTTAGGAATGGAAGGGAGAAGTAGACTTCTGAAATACATGCCCCTAAAATTGTTAGAAGTCAAAGCAAATAAGGTACAAATAAGATCAGTGTTCTGCACGAGTTTCACCTCTGCTTTTGCAATCCGGTCAATAATAATCTCCAGTGTTTCGTAAGGGTAACACTTCAGGACTCCTTCCAGGCAACAAGCTCTGGAGGCGACAGCTTCGTGCATCGTCATGTTCAGGTTGTTGTAGTTTTTCTGGGCTGCAAGATTCTTAGAATTCAACAAACGAATGAAAGCAATCTTTAGTTTGCCTTCTGCAGTAATCTGAGTCGTTTAGCAACATATATGATAGACTTACAATGACATCAAACCGTGAGTAGAGAGCCACCACTTTACCTAGAAAGGATGAAGACAGAAATGTATTCAAATTATCAATAAAAAAAAAATCACAAAGTGCCACAGGGAAAAAAGTCTACCTTGGTCATTGACCACAGGCAAGGCTGATACTCTTCTCTCTACAAAAATTGACAAAGCTTCATAGACTGAGGCTGATTCCTGGACCGTTGCAATCTCTCTGAAGGTACCAATCGCCACTTCGCTGATACGCTTTTGAAGGAACCTGGGTTTAGGAATTTTAGATCCCTGGAGGAATAAAGAATGTAATAGTTTGTTAAAAAACAAATCAAAAATAACTAGTGAAGATTTTTAATCTCAAGAATGTCATCTCACAAAAATGTGGAGGAATTTGAGGATGCGTTTGTGAGTAAGGATGTGGAGGACGTTCCCTGACACTGGGTCGATGACCGGCAGCCGGTGGATCTTATTCTTCAGCAGGGAGTAAATGGCATCAAACAGACTGAGCAGATGACAAAACTTCTGAATGAGTTTCAACTAAAATAATGAGAAATTGTGTCAAAATAGCATCAAACATACTTGAGTTAAAAACAGCAACGAGAACGACATGAATAGATGTGCATTAATGAGGGTCTGTGATCACCTGGACTCTGGGGTGATACTGATCAGTCTGTTCACTGAGTATTGGAGATAAATTTCTGCAAAGACATGAAGAGTTACTTAAGCTAAAATTCCATCCTTGTTAAAAACAAAAGGAACTACGTGCAATGAGTTGGTTCTGTAACAGACCTCGCCATGTTTCTATCTTATGTTCTTCCAGCTCATAGATCTGAACCTAAAAAAAAAACACAGACATTTTAGATCCAACTGTTGAAGTTATGTTGACTTATATCTGTTTCCAACCAGCCAACTAGCCATGTAATGGCAGTAATTAAGCATTAAGTAAAAAAAAGTATAAAAAGTATAATAAACACAACAGATTGTTAAAACATACAGAGTGACAAATTAAGTGATAAACCACAGAAATGTAAAATTATATTTATATATTTACTTTGAATTTACACATTAGACTACATACAGTGACTCACCAGAGGAGACTTGTAGTATCGATGGAGAATGTTGATGAAGTCAGTAATAGTCAGCATCCCTACACACACATACACAAACATCAATAAGTGGTTTTCCAGATGTCAGAAATGTTCTAACTTTAACTAGCTTTTATTATTTAGAAGTCAGATTCACTTCCACTTGATATGCAGGCAGGAAGCAGTTTGAAACTGATATCCACAGTCCTGATCCATGTGTCAGGGCTGCTTGTAAAAGTGAGTCAGCAGTGTGGGTTTGTGTGTGTGTGTTTGGCAACACAAACGGTTGACCTGCTTTCCTCTAAATGTTAGAGCAACTATTGAATATGAAACCATGCATCCACGGCAACAGAACCTGAAGCATCAGCACAGAGAGCTTTGGTGTAGGAAAGCAGATCACCTACAGGTCAGCAACTTCTTCTGTTCACATGTGTGAAATTGTGACTACATTTTAAACTTTCATCCGAGTTCAAACACCAATATCAAGGCCATACTTCAGAACACTCCTTATAACGGGGGTGACTGAAAAACCTACATACACAATATATACATTTAAGTAACGATCATTTTTTTCAAATGCTATTTGTACAAATACTGCAGATAAATAATAGCTCACCCACAAAACACTGGAGTTTGCTGTCCCACAGTGGTGCCGCCCTCACACCATTAGCCACCAGAGCGAAGAAAGCCTTCTTAACCTGACAACAATGAACAAGATTTTAATTAATTAAAGTTAAATATTTCTCATTGTGACACAGCACACCACTGCACACAACCAAATGTGACCTCAGCATTTTACCCATCACCAAAGTCTGCACAGGAAGTGCCACATGTCCCCACCTGTAGTGTTGTGTCAAAGATGACCAGTTTGGAGCTGGTAGGGATGGTGTCATAGCAATGGTGAGTCTTCATAAAGTTCATATACACAAACGTGTCAGGATCCTGATCTGCAGGGGGCGCAATGGGGTATGCTGCATATCTGCAGCTGCCTACAGTAAAAGATAAACGTTACACAGTATTCACAACTTAAAGCCTCATCTGTCAACTCTGTTCATAGATAAATAGAAATGAACATGTAAACATGAACTTCAAAAAAGAAAAAATAGAAAGCTGTAAATTGATGATTAAATTGTGATTCTATATTTCTTCTTGAAAATGATAAAACTGAGAAAAAGTTTTAATATGAAAAAATAATGTAGAAATGTTACCATATTCTGAGTGAATATTTTCCACTTTGTCCTCTTCATCATCCAATTCAAATAAAGGAATCTGAATAAAAAGAACACAATAACTGATTCTTAAATCATGAAGTATTTTTCCAGTTTCCAACCCTTTCCGTCATTACAAACTGTCATTGTCTACTCTTTGTCTGTTTTTCACTTATAGACACATACAGAAGTAGACCATAACCATGGCCTTCAGAGCTAGATTTCCAGGGCATGTTGTACCAACATGTTGTTTATCTCAGTTTCAAGTTCAGATCAGAAACACTCAGCAGACTACGCCCCAGTTTAAAAGGAGTTGACAGAGGGTCTTACTTCAGGAAGAGGCTCCATGTCTGGAGCAGGACGTCTGCCTCCGTGGAACCAGACTGTCATGAAGCAAAAACCTGGACATGGAAAACAAAAGACTACACTAGCCCAACCACGCAGCTGACCAACTGTAACATCTCTGAGAATTCTGCTGTCACGTCAAACAGACAAGAAGAGTTCGAAGAGGTCACACGCAGCAAAAACGGATAGAAAAAGAGAGGACAGTAGACGAAACAAAGCAACAAAGGGAGTCAAAGCAACAGCAGGCAGCTACAGACAGCTGGGTCAGAATATCTGGGAAAGACTGAGGTCTAAATCTGGACTGGGGCGAGAGGCCTGCGGCATTCACAGACAGAGATAGGAAGAGAGTGGGCGAGTGGGAGGGGAAATCATGCAGACCTGCAGGGGTGAGAAAGTGACAGTAATAACGTGTGGGCTTGTGTCTTTTACGGTGAGAACATGAGAGGTACAGAACCCTGACTCTTCCATGCTAAGCCCCCTCTCTTCCCCCCAAACAGCAATAGCTTCTAGGAGGGAATCCCCTTTGCTAACACACAGATAACACTAAAATGTATACATGTAAATAAAGAGCAACTTTTAGAATGCATTTTCTTACTTTTGTTCACTATTCTATAATTATTATGTTTGTGTAGCATAGGAACATGATCAAACATGTTTTCAATACTGTATATTCACACTGAACAATAGACTTTTCAGCAAACTGTTGACAAATAAGTTCAGGTACCATCGGAAATGTGAGAATCCAAACTGTGGAAGTTTCTGTCTTGTAGGGTTCAGCGGTGTAATTTTGTGGGAATCCAGTTGGAAGACCATTACAGTAGTCTACACTGATTATGAATAGACCAATGGATGAGCTGAATGTTATGTTCTGGATAAAATAACATTGACTGCTTGTCAGTGCGACTGTGCTGTGGTCTAGTTTCATTAGGACAAACTATTTATAGACACACTAAACTCTGCAAGACTTTCTCCCTTTCTTCTTCTCACACTCGCTGTAAAAACAGTCAGCACAATTTGAGATGTAGGTTCCTATGTTAATGATGCAATTTTCCATTTTGCACAAAGAACTACTGAATTGAATCACATGTTCATGATCTATACTGTTCACAGTTCAAATTCAAATGAATTTGCTCATCATCATCATTATAGGCGAGAGCTAATTTGGTTAAAAACTACACAGTCTTGACACACTCGGGATCATTCAGTGCTTGTGTCAAAAACAGACACACAACTCAGTTGAAACCAGAAATGTACATCCAGTACATAAAGTGTTTTTAAGACACTTTTTGTTCTTAAAAAGAAACAGGAAAACGTTTTGTAATCCTCCCCCACTGTTTTAAGTCTGTAAAGACCACAAAAAATATTGCTAAACACAAAAGAGAGTATTTGAGGAAAATGCATTACTTTCAGACACAAAATAAATACATTTTCTTAGTTTGCTGGTAAAAACAGAAACGTTGTGAAACAGAAAATAAATGTTTGATTCAGGGAAAAAAAAACAATGATGGAGTTAATGATGTGTATAAAACTTAAACCACCAGACTTTACCCCAAATAACTTTTATTCTTCAGTCAGTCAATCTGAGAAACTCACACCGCCCTTGTATTTATATATGTATAGAAACATCAACATCAAGTTAGTTAAAAATATAATTACGTCCAAACGCTTTAGCAGTTTAGTAATGTGTTAGAGACATTTTAGAAATTCTGTATACAGCCAACAGGAAGGTGATGTGAACTTGTGAACAGGTGGGAACTACTGAGTCCTACGTCAAGAGTAGGAAGAATAGGGTGATGAGAGACAAAAAAAATGAGTTTACATTGTCTTGAATCCTCAATCGTGAAGATTGATCTTCAGCAGGTTGTCAGTGTTTTTCTACATTAGAGACCATGAATCGTCAAGTGTTTCCTCCACTGAAGTGAAACATGTTCAATATTCTGTTTAAATCTGACAGACAACCACAACTTGTCTCAAACAGTAGAAAAGTTGCTTCTCAGGCAGGTAATAATGTGCTTAGTCTGACACTGCACAGCAGTTTGTAATGTGTTGCATATTAAAGGTTTTCTGTAAACAGGTTTTTGTTCCTCAAACTTTTTTTTAAAACAGTAGGAATGACAGTGTTCACAGGATAACAGACGTCAGGAATCACACCATAAATCACAAAACAAAGTCACAATATCATTGTCCAACGTTTTGACTTCAAACCTAACTTCAAGTAGTTTGATGTTACATTTGTAAAAGTTTGCCCAATAAAATGATGTGCAGCTCTTACATTTGGTTCCTTACTAAGGTTTCTATCTTTATAACAATATTTCATGCATGTGGCATGCTCTACTTTGTAAACTACTTGAATTTTAAACATCTAAATCCTACATCGGGACAAAAATGATCTCCTTGGGCTTTGACCACCTCTCTCGCTAGAGTTCAAGTAAATGGCACAATGACCTTAAGAGAAGGAGCAATAAACCCTGAACAATATTGTGTTTAAAGAAACCTTCTTGTTCCTGCAATGATTGAGTTAGAAAGCACTAAGATGTGTTTCGCCCTCATCCTACTTATACAATGAAAAATCAAATCATTTAATGTCTGAAAACAATACAAATGAAACTTCCAGTATCACTAACTGAACAGCAATGTCAAATGTTACAGTCGTCACTCCCTACCCCCCGCCCTCCCCAAAAAACTATGGTCACAGTATTGTTCTATAAGATTTAATCGATTTAGTAATTTCCATGATGTGTTAAAGCCATTTTGAAAATATTTTTTATTTGCTTTGCTCCTTCCCCAGAGTAAGATGAACATATATGATTGTGGATGAAGCTGGACTTCATGGAAAGTCATCATGTTGTTCTATAGACCATCACTGGTTGACTTTTGATTTGATGATTATTTATCATTCAAGGAGAAAAATAATCAATGGACTGATGATGGAACATAGTAGGTTGCAGCCTCTCAGAGCTGTGTTTGATGTACTTAAGTACTGTCAGGAAATGCAAAAGAGTCACCAAAGATGACCACATTTTTTTTCTACCTTCAAGTACAAAAACTGTTGGCATGAAAATAATTCCAATTAACCTTAACATCAAAAACACTGAACTGGTTCATATTGTTTTGTTTTTTTTAAATACCATAGGAATTTAAGACAGATTTGGCTGCAGGAGTAAAATGTATTCACATCAACACTGCAATTTTTACACTTACTTCCTCATACTGTAGTTTCTGCAAAGCATGATGATCTCCTGCTTTCGATTGTGTTGTAAAGGCCAAAGTTGTCATTACGAGTGTGTCAAAGTACCTGTTTAATAGAGTAATTCAGCTGAAAGTAAAGAGACCCTGAGCATCACGATTGGCAAACCAGATCTTTAGAGCGAGGCAGGAAAGTGATGAGGCAGGAGACTGTGAGTCAGGCTGGGCTGAGGACTCGTGCAGGTACTGCTAGAGACACTGGGTCCGGGACTTGGAGAAACGGGTCTGGAGATTGGAGTCATCGCTCTATCTGACTTATTGTCATTGACGTCATGGTGGGTGTGGCGATGGTGGCTGACCACCACCCTAGAACAGAGGAGAAGAGAAATTAATTTGTCTATTTTGTATGTAATAATCATCAAATTTAGATCGTCCCTAGAAAAAAGTCAAACAAAAGTAGTCACTTTGAATAAGCCACGAAGAATGTATGGTGATGTACGTGGAATGATGGCCTTCTTTTTTAACCCTTCGTCTTTCTTTCATGTCAGGCTGCAAGCTTTGGCAGGACAGGAATATGTCTCCCAGTGATACAGAACAATTATTTAATAAAGGAACCAAAACTGCACACAACAGTTTCAGGTCCATGAATTAACAATGTTGATGGCTGTAAAGTAATAGCAAGGTGCAATATGATGTGAGGATCTATACGTTCACCATTTTCCATTATAAAACTCCCTCTCAGTTCAGAGGTTGACAACCCTTAGTTCTTTTTTCAGCAGCTCTTTTGCTCCCATCTGTTGTCGCTAGAACCCAAACAGCTCTCTTGCCAAACCCCTTCTTTGTAAAAGACTTTCAAGTTAAAGCTAAATTTGGTAATCACATCCAAGAGACAGTTTTTACCTTGATTGGTTGACGTCTTTCTTGCAGGGTTCATATTTGGAAATGTAGCTACACTTGGACCACTAGGCAGAAACAGGAACAAATTTATTTAATACAAATTAGACATTTTTGAATCATCACATTTCCAGGTTTCATTAGTTACTTACAATATGAGAAGGATCATTGGTTCCAAGATGGACGCCTTTTAGACAAAAGTTCTGGAGGAGAGCGACACCTGCAGCACACATATCACAGACATCAAGAGAAGCATGGATCAGTTTATTAACAGTTTTCGTCTTTATTTATGTTGGCTACTCTAAACAAAATTCTGCTCTAACAAAGGAGACAGAGACACACACCCACGGTCCTGTCACGCCAGTGTTTTTGCTCCCACTGATCCAACAGGATGTTGAGATATCTGGGACACTCAAAGAAGCGCAGGTAGCGAGACGATGACGCTGAAGGGAAAATTCTCTCAAACTCCCCCCGACGGTTCATTTCATTTTCACTCTCTGCTAGAACTCGAACGTCCTCAGGAGTCAGGACATGCAGGACTGTAGACATGAAGTCCTGGGAAATTGATGGGTTTTTATTTATTTATATCTCATTAAGGGACTGAGATGTTGTTTGCCATGTAACCATATAAAACATTTTGTTATATACAGTTACAGTAAACAGTTTTTAATCTTAAAAATTGAGCTTAATTTCTTTTGTCTACCTGATCCGTAAAGCGTTGTGTGAGGTAAAATGCACGTTTGACTTTCTCATCAGCAATCATCTCTGATTTTGTTCGCTCCTTGTTCCCCCTGCACACACTTTTGACAAAACATAGATAAAAAAAACCCCAATGCATTATTCCAATTTCAGGTAATCTAAAATAATGTCCAACTATGCTGCCTCTGTTGAGTCTGACAAGAACAAATACACATTACATAGAGTCAACAGTTCTGCTTTGACTGTGAAGTGTCAAACTCTTTCCAACCTGCTGGTGGAACTAGACGCGTTACTGCCAGAAGCGACACCATCTTCTTTATGAGGAATACGATAACCAGCCAAGTTCAGAAGATCTCGTATCATCTGGCCTTTGATGGAAGCATCCAGAGCAGAGTTGGAATGGAGACTACAGCAGGGAAAAGAAAAAGTCAATAAGAGGAATAAAAGAAAATAAATGACACGTAATTAGGTTTCAGTGGATGTTACCTTGGTGATATGTTCACTTCCAGGATCCAGGGTTTGAGGTTCTCGTCCAGCATTATGTCAAAGCCAAACAGTTCATGACAGCTGTACACGGAATGTACATGCTGCTTCATTAGGTTGTTGACGTAAGGCTCTGACCTGATCACCAAGAACAGAAAAAGAACACGCATTTTATAGAAGTATAGAAAAGGTTCCCATACAAATAATAATAATACACTTTATTTTTTCTGAAAAAAACAAAACTCAACAAATCACCATATCCTTCGTTTAAGTCTAAAAATTAATGCTAGCCTTATTTCCATCAGAGAACCCCTTCTTTTTGGAATTCTGGACATTTGATAAAGGGATGTGAATTCATCAGGTAATGATTAAGGTTTTAATTTTGACTCCAATTGATCATAATAAACATAAAATATGATGACTAATATTTTTATTTGTGTTCTGAAAGTAAACTTTTTATATTGCCTTGAATACCAAGTAACTCAAGCTATGCCAACAATAAATAAATGATTAAAAAAAATGTAATTGAAAAAATTTAAAATCTTACGCGATGATGGTTTTGATGACAATGTCTTTAATTTTCTCCCAGATCAGACCGGTGTTGACTCCCTTGGAACCAAGGTACTGCCACAAGGCCTTGACTGCCCTGTAAACACACACCCATTTACATCTGGAACAAAACTGCGCTTCAGAGACAAATAATGTAAAATAAAAGTGAGGACAGGCTTATCAAGGTCGACTATATTTCAGATATCCATTACAGCTTAACAGTCTTAAATGTTCCTCTCACCACTTGTGTCCCTGACAGGCCTTGTCGTCACTGTTGGCCTGGTATTCAGCATTATTTTTGTTGATACTGTAGTTGGTCAGGTGCATGAACTTGTTGCTCAGAGTCTTCATAGAAGACGAATACCTTCAGAACAAGATTAATAAATAAATATGGTTTTTAAAAAGTCAGAAACATTTGAAGAAGATCATTTCTGTCAAATTGTGCCAGGTGTGGTGAGAACTGACTTGCAGCTGGCAAATCGAACAAGACCATCAGTAAAGATGTAAATTCTGAGGGGGTCATAGGAGGTCACGTAGACGTAGATCCTCAGGTCAAACTTGTTGCCACTGATGAGGTAGGGCTTGTGGAGGTACCTGCAGCAAACACACAGGACAAAACAGCACTAGTCAAAAAACTGGTCAGCAATTAGGAATTAAAGACATCGGTAGACATTTTTATCAACTGTTGATTTATGTGTGGTTCCTCACTTTTGGACCAGTAGAGGTCTTTTTCGTGGCATCTGGCTCCATTTGTGAATGACCTGGATCCCTAGTCCTCTGGCTGAAGCAGGCTGTAAGGAAGTCAATATTGGCTTGTCACGGCATAAGTGAACAATATGATTTTTTAGAAGCAGAACTTACAGGCTTGACGATCCATTTCTGCCGGGAGCCTCCGTCCTCCCAGGCCTTGCGCAGCAGCTTAATGTCCTGAGGAAGAACAAAGGTACGAGGGAAGAAGCTAAACTCCTGCTTCCCAAAGCGAACCTGCATCTTGGACAGGTTCCTCCAGAGCCGGTCCTTCCTGCCAATTTGAAACGTCCCTGGGAAGTGGTTCAACTATAACATGGAAACACATAACACATAAAAGGAGCTCAATTTAGTTTAGAGAATCACTCAGGAATTTCACACAGCTGCGGTGTCTCACCTTCTGGTTCTCTCCAAGGGCTTTGAAGCCCACAGACCTCATGTGATGTCCCCAGCAGCCCAACCAGTCATTGTTTTCTAGTTTTCAATTTGCATTTGAAATAAATACATGTAGATGAGCATTCAAACCAAATGTAAATTAACTTTTTTCAATTCCAAATGCAACAACATTCCCATTAGAATTTGCGGGATTTTTTTTTTCTCAACAGCAAAATTTAGCTCTTAGTGACTTACTCCTGGTGACCCTGAAGTGTGACCTGGCGATGGTGTGTTTAACCACGTTGGGAGTGACATTGCTCATTTTCCATTTCAACAAGCGTCTCTGTTCCACAGGTAGCATTTCAACTGCGGAGCAAAGAGATGGTTAGTTTTTTAGATAGGTTTAACAAAACTCCACTGTTTAAAATTATTTCACATGTTCTCACCTTTTTCATTAGTGTTGCTGAAGTACAGTGTAGGAGAGATGAAAGCAAACAGACTGGGAACCAGTGCTGGTTTCTCTTCACGATCATCTTCTTGCCCCACTGACATTGGTTCTTCCACTCTGAGAAAAAGAGCAAAACTGTCCTGATTCCAATGAACACATTTTCATGTTTAGTGTCACCATAACAACTAGGTTGTTAGGTAGATGTGAGAATATACGTTGACAAGATCAACACAATTTCAACATTAAATTTTAGGAAAGATTAGGAAAGAAACTCTAACAAATTCTTTTGAATAAAAATAGGATATAAAATCTACAAAATACATCCGGGCCAGCAGGATCCACTGCTGGCGCAGTTTCCAAGGAAACTCATAAGATCTTCTTTAAATTTCTTGAACTAAAAACACAACTTGTCTGTCAAGTGTCACAATCAACTGAGAAACAAGGAGCATTGAACTACACAAAAGCCACACATAAACGCTTTTTTCTGTCAAACAAAGTCCATGTGCTCAGACTCCTTCTGACTTCACAGGTCTGCACATTAAATTAGCAAACAATAACAAAAACAACGAATGGTGTCACAACAAGATTAAAAAGTCATGCGTCTAGAGTTACACTTCCTGACTTCTCAACAACAGGAGACCAGATCAAGTCACCCTGTTACACGAGTCGTACGTGGACTAAACAGAGAAATGCAGCGCAGGTTCGTTTGGACAAAACACAACAAAACCGGAGTTAACAATCCTAGTACCACATGACATTCACCTGATAATTAACAAAATGTAAAAACTGAATTAAAACACTCACAGAATAATCATGGGAAGAATAGCAGGAACAAACAATGGCTGAAATGCTGAAAAAAAAAACCCTGACTCAATCTTTTTACTTAAATAAAATATATTAAAAGATGTCTTGCCATCTGTTGCTTTCTCTCTCTTGACCTGCCATACATACTACAGCTTTCAGTAAATGGTACAGATGGGTTGATGCATGATGTTCTGTGGTTGGAGTAAGTCATGGTCTGTGTCCAGGCTGTTTAAACACAGAGTTAGCTCCCAGTTGTTGGTAGGTAATTCTACTGTTGAGGCCATTACAGCAAAGAACAATATGACACAACAATAAGATTTTTCCACAGTTCTCTGCTGCTTTCGGGTCTGGGACACAATGCAGTGGAAATGAGTTAGATTTAAAACATCTGTTTGGTCAGGGAGTGGGAAAAGTATGTTTCTTTTCTTTGTTTGTTTAATCTGACTATGATTTGTGGTTGACATGGGCAATGGTTCTCCGGTTTTACATTTTGTTTATTTTGATTGTTCAGTAACATTACAAATATAGAGATATTTTTATATATCTACATATACATACACATATATACAGATATATATATATATATGTGTGTGTGTATACATTATATATGTATATAAATACACAGTATATTTTAACCTTTAATATTTTAACCATCAATAACATAAAAGACAATATTGAGGTAAAAATAAATATATATGTGTTAAATGCAGTCTTACCCAGACAGCAGGTCGATGGAGGCTGAAGATAAAGCCCCATTGATGGATGAACAGTCAGAATTATCTGAAATAATAAAAGTAATAATAATTTAATGTTTTATAGTAAAGAAGGTTTTAACAGATCCATACGATTGTACTCCACATCTCACCATCGTCACTGCATGCGTTTTCCAGCTCATCAGGAAGTTCCTCCTCAATTCCATCCACCTGCATAAGATACTCCTGGCTGTAAATATAAAAAGCCAGTGAAATTCTCAGCCAAAAAAAAACAAAAGAGGGGGAACATGTTGAGCTGCTTTAAATAACAATCCACTGTTTCCCACCCCAGTAACTGAGCCTCTCCATCCTGACACTCCTCAGTTGGCGAGGGTGAGCCGTAAGAAGGGTAAGGAGAAGATGACAACATGGACGCTGGCTGTCCTGGCTTGGTCAGCTGGATGGCCGAGATCTGTGTGGTCACAGAACCCACTGAGGTTCCTGCTTGACCAGAGGCAACATCTATAAGACACAAAACAGATACACACACATTTAGAGTACTGGCAATTTATGTCAAAACATAGAAGTATTAGGTGCTTATTAGCTTATTAGCCTACTTCTAGTCCAATTATAACCTGGCTTAGTTCAATCTTATCTTTAGAGAGATGTACCTAATTTATATGGTTGATGTCAAGTGGAACACAGATTTGTAAATTTCTGCTTAACTCTAGCTTTAGGGCCAAAACAGAGACAGACACTAAAGGAACCCACACAAGAGAACAGATGAATGACATCAAAGTCATTGATGTAAAGGCCACATTGGAAAATCTTCTGATTGAGTTACATGGATAAATGTCTTGTCAACAGTGATGCCAAAATTAAGGATTATTTTATTATTTATTATTAATATTTGTTGTTTATTTCACTTTTCATTTTTGAGAAAACAGAAACAACAACCTCCACATTAACTTCACTGTGGTGAGTAATGGGACACCTGCACCAGTGAAAAAAGTGTGTTCTGGAAACACTGTCAACATACAGTGCTGATGTACATTGCTTTCACTCGACATATCTCCTTAGTGGATTGTTTTGGTCAGGCCTCAAGGTATCTTAAAATGCATATTAAAGTGACCTCTGAGGGACATGTCTTAAGCAGTAAACTTACTTACTTACTGCTGTTGTTTTTGTTTACCTGTTCGATCTAGTGGTGGTTTCGACTCCTGTTCCTCAGCAGCACTGACTTGGACATTCAATAAAGGTCCGATTCTTTTGCTTGAGCACAAGCTGGTTTCTGGAACCTGCTCCTTTATGTTTGGTGTGGCAAATGTTTGTGGCTGGTTTTTTCTGGTAGATGTCAAAACTGCTGGAGAGCGGCCCTTTACTTGAAGCTGACTGTGAGAGTACCTCATTGTACAGCTGTTCTTTTTCTGGTTGTATTTTCTTACTAATTTAGCTGAATGGCACCTTTTTGTAGAAAATGTCTCTCTTATTGTACTTCTTTTTTCTGTTTTCTTGCTTCCATGACTAGAGGCATCTACTCCAATCGTTGGACCCTGATGTTCACTGGGATTAAGGCATGGAGCAGGCACTGGTGGTAAAGAGGAACAATCTGCAGCCTTAAACCATAAAAAAGAAAGACACAAAGTCAGTTGAAATGTGTGTCAAATTAGCAACAACTTATTGATGAAGCATAACGGCCGAATGGAGCAGTGTAAACAGTCCACTGTTGCTAATGCTAATGGTTTGCTTCATCCTTCCCACCAGAAGCAGCTGCACATTGTTCTGCTCAGTGCTACATTAAGATTGCACCCCTCTAGAATTAAACTGCCACTGTGGTTTATAAAGATTTTAAATGTATAGATATTTGGTCTTAGTTTTTGGAAACTGCTGGCTTGTTAAAATCACCATCTAGACCCCTAAAAGCATGACATTTAAGAGACATTTTGTGCATAAATATCACTTATTTCTGATGCACTAACCCAATGAAAGAAGGTTTTGACAGAGTATTCATTGGTGAAGCCAAAGACTATTTACACTTCTGCACATCTTCCAAAACTGGACTCAATTATGATAATTCTTTATGATCGAGCAAAGGTAAGACATGTTTACATGATCTTGTTTGTGATCTTTTCAAACGTAGCTCTGTCCAAACTACCTGCTCATACTTTAGGACTACTCTCCCTCTACTCAAGGTTCAATGTGTCTGTACATTGAAGAACAAAAACTTGTCAATGGAACCTTACCATCATCTTGTCAGTTTGCTGAAGTGAGGACTGGCCTTGGATAAACAGGTCTTGATGACAAACTGACAACAGTGGCTCCAATCCCACTTTTGCATCACCCAAAGCATCCGGAAATCTTCCTACTATTGAGCCCTTTTCTGGTGGAGAGGTTTGAAGTGATGTAAACACCTGTATGGCATCTGTCGACAAACCATTATGCCCACTGTGGCATTCCTTCTTGGCAAAGGAGGTTGAGACATTGGTTTCCGTAAGGCTACTTTCGGCAGGCTTCAATCCATTTGCCAGTATCTGTTTTGGTATCTGACTCCCATTAATAATTTGTGGCAGGATTGAATACCCTTCTGGCACAATGGTGAATTGGCTCTGATTGTTGGTTTTATTTCTGTCCCCATTTTCCCAGACAGAAGCTCCAGAGGATGTAACTGTTATCTGCCTCAATAGGGAAGTGAAATTAGGAAGAGGTTTGGCTAGGTCTTTTTGCTTGAAAATCTCTGAAGAAGTCTGAGTGAAAGGCACCTTAGTGACCGGAACAGTCTTGGTTTGTGTCCTGACAGGGGCTGCAGTGTTGGAACCATTTGCGTTAGAGCTACGTAGCTTCCCTCCATCCCAGGGGGAGGACTGATTGGAAGGCATTGCACCACAAAACAAAGATGTGCTTATTTATAAGGGACTGCGTTTTAAGGGACAATTTCTACACATCAAGAGTCAACAAAATCCTTAAATCCTTCCCTTCTCTGTGACTCTTTGTGTAAGAGTTACGTCAGGAGAGTACCGTCACAATGTCAGCTCCAGCCGCATTGATTGGTGAATTTTCTTCTAGCAGATGAATTTACACTACAAGTTCTTGTAGAATCCTTGTCAAAAAAACTCATAACTGCCACCGTAGATGCAGCAAGAGCAGAGTAAAATATCCACCTGTGCAGCAGGTCAGTAAGAAGACATTAAACTGTGTTAGCAATGCAAAATGGCAGGCACTGATTTAAAAAAAACCTCAAGGCATGTAGACACACAAATATAAAAAAAATATGTTGAGGCATATAGTTTCCACTTGCTTGTGAATATTTGATGCTCTACGCTTATAAGGCTCCCAGGTATGGTGCTGTGTCTTCTTTACAACATCTGTGAATCACAGACTGCAGAATCCATCCATTATATACATGCTCTTCCCCTGCTAGGAGACAAATGGTCATTTTAACACGATGTTGTGAAAATACAGTTGAGTGTGTTTAATTTTTTAATACATAATTAAAAAAAGGTTTCTGAAACTGTAGCCTACATTTTAGCAGTAAGGACTTCCATTGACAACAGTTATTTAATATCAAAATTAACCTTTACTTAATTTAAGGGAACTGCTTACAGAACGTGTCATTAGTTTGTGATTTAGCCTCAAAAAACATCTTGATAATAGCTGACAAAGTCAGTGCATAAAAGTTTACTGTAGTGACTCAAAGGCATTTCTGAAAAATATGCTAAATATAACTAAGGTGACAGCAATAAAATTCGGGGATTGACAACAATATTTCAATTAAGTTTGAACCATGTTTTCGAGTTTCACTGCTCAGGAAAAAACGGCTTTATGTGCTGTCAGATTTTCAGGAGCTTTTTCTCACGTGCGTGCGACATGCCGCTACACGCTTAGCTTAGCATAGGCTAACAGACTAATTTTAACCAGAATTTTGTCGTAACGTTTCCGTTAAATAACATATACTAGATGTGATAAAACAGGGCTGACGCAGGAGTTCATTCTGACAACATAACCACTTGAGAAACCGTTTCACATATTATTATAACATGTTAACTTGGCAGCTACCCGAGAATCTGTTCCGTCACCGAGTCAATGTTAGCGTAACAACAACGTCCAAACACAAACCTAGTTACCCTAATTAGTGTCACCGATAACGCACAGCCCTTTCACGTTTTTATTAAAAACGCTCAGACCTACCTCGTTTCCCCAGTGTCCATGACATCCCGTGTCTCTGTATTATAGAACAGTCCTGCAATTCTAACTAATTGTGCGCATTCGCGGCAACACCGAGTGACACGTCGTGGTAAAAGATCGTCTACTGCACCCAGCGTTTCCGTAGACATTTGGGCCAGAGCTCCCTCTCTGGTTACATGCTGCAACTGTCGTAACGTCCAACGGTGTTGAATGTTAAATGAATTTCTCATGACATTTTTGTCACTTTGAAATGTTTCCTAATGCGCCATGACTATATTACTTATACGTGTTATTACTGTACTATTATCTTATCATGTTATTTATTTACTTGTTCATTCCTTCATTACATTCTATTACGGTAACCTATATAAATTACTTATGTATGTGCCATGACCTGTAGCATTAACTAGACCTATTCCAATCAAGTTCATGTTAGCCCCAATACAATGTATTACATATTCTATATCGTTGTATATGCATCTATTGTAAATGTGTGTCTTGTGCTATTTTGCTTTGTTAATTTTTAAAAAAATGTGAAGTGCAACCACGTTGTCATTAACACAATTAGTGCTGATGATCTAACCCTTCTTCTCTCCACCCATCCACATTATTAGCCATTCTCTCTTCTTGTAACTTCTTTTCCTTTCCCTAATATCGTTGTTTCCCTATTTGTAGGGGAATTATTGTCTTTATTGAAAGAGAAAGTTAATTTTAAAGCACAGTGTGGAGTTTGGAGTTGCTCAACGGGGCTACAGAAAATTGTTTGAGAACCACTGCTTTCGGTACACATTTTTACAGATATGATGTGTTCAGAACCAACTTCTGTTTTATGGGGCTGCAGGGAGCGTCTCAAAATCTGGCTTCCTCTTTATCATACTTAAAAAAAAAGAAATAAAAAAAAAGAAATAGTCTTTTCCTTTACCTTGTCTGAATATCTGAAATGAGTGCATGTTTGTGGGTGTGAAAGGTGGTGAGAGAGAGAAAAAGAGAGAGAGGGAGAGAGAGAGAGAAAGAGAGAGAGAGCGAGAGAGTCAGCACAAATAAATGGAACAGCAGAGTGAACAGACTGAAGCTGAGAAGTGGGAGGGTTGGACTTGAGGAGAGAAGTGTTGCCTGTCCTGGTGGAAGTGGACAATTTAGTCTCCAGTGTCCTTGAGACAGAGTACAGTCTTCATTCTTCTGGATAGCTGCTCATTTCAAACAGAAACAGGAGCCATCCTCTGGGAACTGACCCTCGTTCGGTGGGACAAGGTTTTTTTTTTTGACTCCAGGTTGATTTGTCACCATCAACACCAACAAGGATCCTGAAGGTACACCAGGCTCCACCAATATCAATCACTGCCCCTGAGGGAGGAATAAAACAAGAAGAACAAGGGAAGAAGGTGAGAAAGGTCAGACATCTACAAACAACAACAAGAAGAAAAAGTCTGAAATGGTTCCTTTGGGACGTGCTGGATTTATTGCTCTACTTTGAAGTCCAGAAGAAAAGTCAAGTAAATAAGGAACCCTCCGGTGAGAAAAGAAGGAATTTCCTTGGTAAAAGAAAACCCAGAGTGGATATGAGATAAGAAAATAAATAAAGGAAATTTAAACTGGTGCGGCGAGAGATGCTGTGATTCAACGTTACTTTGAAACCAAGTCTTATCACATCAAGTATACAGAGAGGAGACAGACATTACAGGGAAGATTTGGACAACGGGACAGTACTTTTCTTAGGGGATAGTAAAAGAATAATTGGGAACTATTTTTTTTCAATAAAAAATATTAATTATTCTGGAACAAAAACTTAATATAGCTCTTCTACAGTTTGGAAAAATAAGTAAAAAAGAAAAAAGTTAAAAAAAATAAAGCAAAGCGTCAAACTCAATCAAAATGCAGAAGTGAAGAGTCAAAAGAATTGAAAAATTGCTGAGGACCAAAAGGAGAAAAATCCGAAAAGTACTATAACAAAGACATGGACTAAGGGATTAACAAGGAAACACGAGAAAAAGGACCAAACAAAGGGAAGACACAGGGATCAAGTGAAGCTCAGGTGTGACCATGAGGCTCCTGCACATTCTTGCAGCTCCCATCATCCTCCTCCTCTTCTCCTCTTCGGCGTCCTCCTCTGGCAGTGTGTCACCAGGTCGACTGGAGCGCTGGGTTCGTGGAGGCCTCCAGTCTCTGCAGTGGGAGCAGCTGGAACGCTGTCTCCGTATGTCCCAATCCTCTGAAGCCGAGTGCAGGCAGCTGGCCCACCTGCCTCCCTCTGCTGTGGCAGTTTATACCTCCGAACCATACAACGGCGCAGGTACAGTACAGAGGGGTGAGGAAAACAGAGGGAACAGCAGGAAACAACAGCAGCAACAGTGTTACAATTGGTACTTTTTTCTACAAAATAAACGAGATTTAAAGTCTTTATATTTTTAAACATAGTCACACAGCATTTTAGTCATCTGATTTAAGTTCATTTTTACCTTATATTATAACCTGGAAGTCAAATGTCCTCCAGCCCCTGGTCTGCGGATTGTTACTGGTCCATGGGTCATTTGCTGCTGGGCCACAGTGGGCGTTAGTGAAAGAGTTCATAATTTGAATCATTTAGAAAGAGTCATGTTATTTTCATTATTAACCATCATTCACCGGCATGGCAGTACTGGTCGACCGGTCGCTGTTGAGGACCACTGACTTACAGTATTAGTAGTTAGTTCATGTTCCCTTACGTTGTCGCTTCTCCCTAAATTCTTCAGGTAACACTGAAAAAGTCCTGGCCATCCTGCCCGACTCCTCAGGAGGCATGGTGAAATCCAAACTCAGGGGAGGTTATGATGTCAGTCAGGTCCTGAATAGAGACGGTACTCACAGACACCCACAGTCCTTTTCTGGCTCTGTGGCCCACGATGCTGTCCTAGTCCTGGACCCAAGCCCGGGGGAAAACTTTGGACACCCAGTCTTTCTCTTCTATGTGGATGTGAATGTGACAAAGAAGAGGTGTCTGCACATGAATGGCGTTTATTTGGGTGAGTCGGCATGGACACTACACACAGATTGACTGTCAGTGCAGGGAGAACACATTTTTTAATGGTAAAAAAGACAAAAGGTTAGAGTTGAGTCAATTCATTAAATTAAGGTTGAATTAAATTTTCTTTGTTTGTCGCAAATTTAAAAAAAATTGTCCCAGTGGACTTACAGTTTTATAATAAGAATAAAAGAAACTAAATATAATAAAGAAAAAAGGGAAGCTGAAAGTGAGTTTTTCAAAAAAAGGTTTTGAATAAAAAATAAATCAATGCTTAAGTAAAAAATGCCTGTCCTTTCCATATAATCTAATGAAATCTGAACTGAATTGGCCAGTTTGTAACTGAAACAGCAGTGATTAGCAATAGTCCTGAGTGGTTTCGATCAAGATTTAAATCGTCTTGAGTTTAAAACTCAGTAATCAATTAGAAGTATGCGTTTGAATGGAGGAATGTCATACGTTTTTCTTGAATATTAAACTCCTCATTTTTTTGGCAAACACTAAAGCCAGACGGAAGATCAAACTAAATGAAACCCAAATTGCTCTAATCGCTTCATCCTGCAAACACAATGTGTGAGAGCTGCTGACGCCACGCTGCGACAGAGGCTAGAACCAGATGTTGAGGTGAGAGCAGAAAGGTGTGAATTATTTACTCTACCCTCTGCTGGATCTCAAAGTGGAGACATTTTTTAATTTGGCCGTGAAGAGAAGAAAAATTGATAAGGAAAATAGGTGGTAGGTTCAAGAAAACATGGTCAACATTCTATAAGAAAAACAGAGACAGAAACCAAATTTAGAAATGTAGTTTAAAGTAAGATGTGAAATTGAGCAAGACTCTTGACTTTATGTAAAGATTTAATCGGTGGAAAACTGACTTAATAAGCTTGTTTCCAGCCCAGAAACTATAAACAAGAAATGGTGCAGAAACAATGTGCCCAAGAACCAAATAGTTATAGCAGGACTGAACAAAAACTGACTCTTCAAAGGAAGGTTCAATGAAGAATATGGTGGTTCTATAGTGTAACCGTCATCACGCCTGCCTTACATATCTGCCTTACACACAGAAGGGGTTGGGGTTCGAGTCCCAGAGGAACACCATAGTTGATGGCGCCTGTGTATTGGTATGCAATGTTCTGAGCAGTTTTACGTCATATACGAACCAATGATGGAGTGTCTTTGTCTCATCTTCAGGTGACGAGTGTTTGACCCTGGCTTTGAAAAGCCGCTGCCAGAACCAGCTGAAACGTTGGCAAGTGGGTTGGCTGCCAGGTGGGACACTGCGTGGCAGATCCATCACCGTTGGCAGGGCAGGCCGATTGGTTGAACGGGCCAGCGGAGGACTCTGTGTCATCCACTTTTTGCCACTAGTGGTCGGAGTAGGAGACAGCAACCTGACGCAGAAGCTCAGATGCGTTGGTGAGTGAGGGAGAAATTATTAAACCTAATTTAAAAAGTGAAGGATGAAGTCAGAAAACTAGACATTTTGCCACAAATTTTAAGGGGTATAAAAACTGTAAGCCAATAAACCTGACTCTAAGACTACAATTGTAAAAAAAAAAAAGCGACCTGAGCTGAGAAGCATTGTTCTACTTTTCCAAGTAGGAGGCTTTGTGAGTAAATATCATGTTCTGCCAAGACCACCCACACCTGCAGCCTCTGCGAGAAACTTGGGAGTATGAAGAAAAGCTCATGGGGAAAAAAAAGTTATCTTGCTGTTATGGCAACTGCAGAAAAAAAAACCCAACTGATGTTTGCTATAAATATACAGAGATTTAGATTTCCTGAACCCATAAAGACCAGATGAAGTCTTTGTGAGCAGCTCTCAGGATGGACCCTGAGAAACACCACACTTACATGTGTCAACACAGATGTGAGCAGCTATTACTGTGATCACGTTTAATTAGAGTTGCAGGCAACACCGAGGACACCTGAGCATTCCCTGTTCTATACTGGGGCTTCATTGGACTGTTATCCAGAACCAAGGAATTGTAGAGTTTGGGACACAAACTTGATTATTGTGAAAAAAAAAACTGATCAAATCGAATTAATACCGACTTGTTTGACTTGTAGTACCTGTATGGACTCCCCTCCCCATATATAGAAAATTATACTTTTGTTGCTCCTTGAATTTTGTCAATATATATGTCTGATTAAAAACAAAGATTTTTAAGCCTTAATATTGCAAAAAGGAAGTAAGGAGACCATGATCAGCCCAAAAAGTTTAATTTATCAAAATTGCCCGCAATCAAACCATGTCATAAAACATTCTCCTATGGAACCTTTAGTCCAAACTATAATTCCCACAACACACTTAGATTGTAACAAATCAAGATTCCTTTTAGAGTCACAATCCTTTCCTATGTGAACTTCTGACTGAGACACTCCCCTGACTCCAACCACAAATATATAATTCCCAAAATACCTAAATTATTCATCCATTATATATTTTAAGCTCTTCACACTTTCTCTGTGACACATCTCACATTGTTTCTTCACACTACTATTGCTCTACATTCAACAGATCATGGCGAATTTGCAACGTGTCCTCAGCTTCTGCCTATGGGCTCTCCCAGTTTGCCCATCTCCAGTTGTGAGCTGAACAAGAACACCAGACGCTGCCACCAGCAGCCTCTGGCCACTCACCTGTCCTGTCGTCTCTACCAGACCTGTGACCACGCCGTGCTCATCTCAGGTGGGGCCAGCAATCTTTTTCACGTGCCTTCAAATGTCTGAGGTCACTCCTGATGGTCATAATACCCGTGTGCAGGTGGTTGGCGGCAACAGATGACGTTTCAGCGTCACATTCACAACCTTCAGAGGTTCTACAGAATGCTACGGATCAACGGCTTCCACAAAGATCACATCAAGACCTTCTTTGCCAGTGGTGGACAGCTTCCTGGTAAGACCCTGGTAATAACTCACAGATGTATGTGTATATTAACAGCTGATGGGGTTTAAATAAAGCATTGAAGTGCACTGGAGCTATAAACTAGAGTAGACAACATTATTGCTACGGAAGAAACGTGCAGCAAAAATGCGAACATTTTTAAGCCTTGGGTGATTTGAAATATGAACAGACTATATTATTTGTATGAATTATTTTATTTGTAGAAAATCCAAGTTATTTAATCAGTTAAGAATTAGAAACTTTCTGTTTTCCTTTAAACAGGATTGTATTTTACTCAATTGACACCGTGCCATGTTGATAAAAAACACAAATAAATGAGTGAGGGTGATTAATATTATTACTGGACTACAATTTGGAAATCAAATGCTATCTTTATATACAATATAGACCAGTGGTTCTCAAACTGTGGTACGTCTACCACCAGTGGTACGCAGGAAAAATTCACATTTTCACATTTAGATTTTCAGTTGAATGCTGAAACATACCATGCACAATGAATACAACATTTAAACATAAACATCTTTCTAAACATCTCTCCTGTGGTGGAAGCTAACAGTGAAGGCCTCTGCTGCTATATTCTAATGTTGGTTATCATGGTGGTACTCAGAGAGTAGAAAAAGTTGGAGAACCACTGATATAGACTACACGATTGTAATAAATAAATACAATTCCATTTTCCTTCCATGCCATCACCACTGTACAGAAGACCTGGAGAATGTCCACCCTGCAACCGAGAAAGCAGCGATCCGTAACCACGTGTCATACATCTGCAGGAAGCAGCACTGTGCTGACACTTTGGTTCTCTACCTGAACTCACCCACACGCAATGATGGAACCATGCTGCTGTGGGACGCAAATCTTAATGGAATGGTAAAAAAACAAACAAACAAACAAACCAGCTGTACTCACTAACCAGCCATCAAGGACATTCACTGAGAATAGATAGGTTAGCAAGAAGAAGTTGGCGGTTGGATCAACTGTAGCCTGTATACGTCAAAGTCAGACCAGCGCTAAAATGCTAATGACTAAAATAAATGGACAGATATGCTAAGTAAACCAAACTGATAAGTATAAATACTGTAAGAAAAATTAAAGTATGTTTTGACTAAAGTTTTATGGGGAAATAGTTACCTTTCTATTAATGTACGGACCATCATACACTGACATCATCATCAGTCACCTCTTTTTCCAGGCTGATCTAAAGGAGAGATACTCCGTGAGTGAGCTGCTAACTGATCTGGCGGGCTGCAGGGCAACCCGTGTTTTGCTGTTTGTGGATCAAAGCTACAGCGGTGTTCTGTCTAAGAGGCTGAGGAGTTCTCAGAAACACCTGAATGTTGTCCTGATCCAGAAGCAGCCACAGCAGACCGACATCCAGCAGAACCAGAGAATGTCACCAGCCTCGGAAGACAACAGCTGGTCCTCGATCCGGCCTGCAGACTGTCTCCTGGACCACCTGGAGAAGGTAATTTAACCTAAGATCTTTTTTTAAATTTCTCTTCTTTACCTTTCATAATAGTTATCCAACCTTCCCTCACAGGATGGAGGTGTGACTAACCTGTTGGAGTCATGGGCAGGACTTCTAAATGTCACCTTGGCTGGTGCTCCCTGCAATGTCATACCTCCCCTGACTGATGGGGAGTTGAGGAAGGAGTATCAGGGCTGTCAGAACCTGCCAACAGCACTGTGGCATCAGAAACAGAGGCAGATCAGCTAAAGGGAAGAGAATGACCCAATCCCCAAATAAATGTACACATCCAAACAGCCGTAAGAGACACAGACATTTTTATCACACGCAGTAGTACGTTGGTGAAGGTCAAACACTGTCGCCATAGAAACAAGATTTCTGTTACAACAATGATCATTTTATCCTACTGATTGTGAGTCCGGCCGGGTGGGTCCAAAGCTAGTCTTTATGCTTTTTGTCTTTTGTCTTGCCCAATATATCAAAATATATCGTACAACGCAACATGATCAACCTCTGTGTTGTTAAGTTCCCTCAATGTAAAAAGCAGACATTTAAATTTTCATAAACTTCTTCCGACTTACAATCGTGTGACTACTGACATGACGACAAAAATGATTTTGCTTCCCAACTCTCTGCTCAGAGATCGTAATTGTAGTGGAGATACCTTATCCTAATGCTATTGTCCTGGACACCACATGGACACAGTCTGTTTGCATTTACATGTATGTTTGTGTATGTGTGGTGCGTGCATGTGTGTAAGAGAAAGAGTTCAGTGAGAGTCCAACCGCTCGTAAAGATTGTGCTGGGGTCACGGCTCCATCTCCTGGGCACTTCAATGTTTTTGGAGTTATTCGTCATCCTCCGTTCTAATCTTTGTGGACAGTTATCTTTAGTTCCTTTCGTACCACGTCTTTTGGTTTTATGACCACGACCAAAGCCAGGAGTGATTGTTTGTATTTTCGGAGACGCCAGTGTTCTTCTATGGGCTCCATGCAGCCCAGGTCAGTACCATCCACTAACTACATGTTCTAAGCAGGAGTGGCTGGATACAACTTTTTCATGTCCGATACCGATTCTGCAACTTTTCAGTATCTGCTAATACCAATATCAATCTGATGCCTTCTTTACTCCTCTAGCATGCCGCAGCCTACCGTTGCTGAGGTGATAGTGTCCCTGTTTACGGGAAAAGTTAAGTTGAGCATTTGGGCTTAGGTATCAGATCGGATGGTTTTTTTTGGACGTTTGATCCTAATATGGGACTGATACCAATCCTGAGCATCTGATCAAGCCATCTCCAGTTGATCTAAACATTAGTTGCTGAAGAAATGAAGGTGGAGCTACTTTGACTGTAAGCTCACTGATTGGTCATTTGATTAACAAATTGATTAGCAAATGAATGCTAGAAACTACAGTAGAAACTACAGGCATTTTAGAGACTTACATCTTATTGTGTTTGAAAGTTTGACCCATATACAAGGGTATTCTATGGATGTAGGAAAATAAATTGGTATTGTAGTTTAGTCCAAAAACTAGCGGTAGCTTTAGTGATACATATTCTAAACCAGTTTCCCTAACTTTTCTGGGGACCCATATTTTAAAAATCACAAACCTTTGCGACCCAAGTCAATAGACATTATTCGTAATCTCCTGGGCAACATGATGCGAGACGACCCAAAAAAAACCTCTTGCGACCCACCTGAGGGTCGCGACCCAGTCTTTGGGAAACAATGTTCTAAACTTGTGCGAGGTCTGCAGCTACAGCACCCAGTGTTTGTGTTTTTGTGTGTACATGACTCATGCCCATGTGTACAGAAATGAAGGTACTAGTACTTTAATTTTTGTTTGCTAGTCCTAAATGTGTACCACAGATAATTATAAAAGTGCAGTAAAACAAAATATATTGTAGGAGTATTTTAGTGTGAGTACTGTTATATGGTTGGTTATCACCAATGTCATTTTGCAATATGGCAATCAAGCAATCAATCAAGTGCTGCCACAACCAAGATCACCAGATCAGGTGTAAAAATGTGTCAAAAACTAAAGAGTCAACACCACCAACACTGAAATCAAATGAAATCCCCTTTTTATAGAAAAATAGTGAAAAGTGTGTACAGTACAGTATACATGAAGTGTTTTTGTTTTCTTATATTTCATGCTGAGAAAACAACCCACATCCACATCAAAAGTGTGTGTCTGTGTGTTTGCACATTACATTACACATGCCCGTAGTCAAAGTACCACACGCTCTGTACCTGTATATACCACAGTCATGTGTGTTTGTCAGACGTTCGCTGTTGTACTGATTTCCCAGTAGTAACGTGTTTTAAAGATGCTGAGAAGTGGATCGACGGCATTGACAAGCTGACCGTTTGTGTAACGGTCTGTACAGAACATTAGGTGTCAGTAAGCGGAGGAGTTCCCTGTTGCATGCAGTGTCCTGAAGTCTAACATCAATAAAATACTTGTTGAAAGCAGCTGGGCTTCAGATTTATTTTCTCAACCAGTTTTTTTTTCTCCCAGTGTTGCTGAAGGTTTCGGCAAAGATGAAGGTGCAGCTTCCAATGAGTTTTAATTAGGAACAGACTCAAAACAGGATTGAAGTGAATGGTTCTGGTGTTGTTATCAAGCACTTTCTCAGGAGTGACTCCAAAGAGCTGGCTCAGGGGAACCGTTTGTTTTAGTTGCAACATTTTTTTGTCAACATGAGTAAAAGGCCAATATAAACTGGGAGCCATCCAGTCTAACCCAACAGGAAGTCAGTCATATTTTTTTAAATATGTTTATGCTTGGATTTTTTTCATTTAAAAAATGAACAAGAAAAAGTGAAAAGACTATATATTGAAATTGGGCCTAGAAATTGTTTTTTCGTAATTAATTAGTAATTCCAATTGATTTATGACATTAGCGACCACTATACCTATTAAATACTTTTAGCATTTGTACCCTTCGCAGATAAATCAATCACCCCTAAGCCACGAATGGGCATAAAGACTGACTCAATTGTAAATAAAACGAAGAAGAAAATTAGATTTTCTTACATTTAGTGTTATACAAAACAAAGAAGTGTTTATTAATATTAAATGTATGAATAATCAAATCAACAGTACAAATAAATAGTGTAATCGTAGCACAGTCAATAACAGGGAAGACTAAAAAATCTAAAGATACTGTCACTGACACCAAGTTCTGTTGTTACATGTATCAAAAAGAAGAAAAAAAAAATCAAGAAAATGGTACTGGTACACCACCCTAAACACAATTAATAAAATCTTTTGGAACAACTAAGAGACGCAGCCCTTATGTTTGACTTCTATGTTTAACATCTGCGATTTTACGAACATGACCTCCGTCCTTACCTGACCATTTCAAACATAGAACTAAAATGAAACTGTTCACACATTTTTACGGGGTGTCAGAAGAACACAGCTGAGCTCTGAGGTGGGCCTCTGTGTATTTTGTACAGATTAAAACCCACAGTTTTCTCTCTTTTTTTTATGGCTCTCCTCACTGGCACATCTGTCTTTCTCTTGTCTCTCTGACCCTCAGGCTGTTCATATAGTGTTTCCACTAACACACTCAATGACTTTCAGCACATCCAGGATGTTTTCTCCTAAACAGAGAAACACAATCTGTTCCTAAAGACTCAGGTGGAGAATTAGAGCACGCCATCAGCTACTGCTGCGGACGAACTTTCACCCCTCACTTCTGTTTCAGTACAGCACTGCTTTTGTTTATTTAGTGAGCTATTTCTTTTTTAATACATACTCTGCTGCTAAGAATGTATCAAAGAAGATGGATGAATTATCAGATGCATTAATTTTATTTATTATTTTTTACAAGATGATGTTTTTCTACAAACCCCAGGTGCGTGGACCAGTACCAGTCCATAGGTCATTTGGGACCGGGCCGCAGTGGGACACAGTGAAAAAAATTGCTTATTCTCTTACTAATTTACTTCATTCAAAGAAAATCCAGAAAATCCAGTCTTATCAATTTACTTTCTTTCAACAAAACAGCTTGGCGGGCGGCATTTGGCCCCCAGGCCTTGAGTTTGACGTATGTTCTACATGGTTCTAACTTCTAACATAAGCACAACAGAAAATGAGGCGGGTATAGCTGCACCAGAGATATTTAATTTAAATTTAAATCAAATGTCAGTAATTTCAATGAAGTGAAAGACAAAAAAGGCATGGGATTTTTTTTGTATAGAAAAATATCAAATCGTGACACAAACAGAACTGACTGTGATTTCTATGTATTGTTGCACCTGTAATTTAAATGTAAATGTACTGAGTAAAAACTAATCTGGCATAATAAAGTGGCATCAATTGAACAAAAGTAAAAATTAGTTAAAAAAAGTCATAATTAATTTACATTATGGTATGAGGTAAAAACAATACAATAAATTCAGTCATAATTAGTCATTTTTGAGACTTGTCTAATGTACAGTGTATAGAGCCATTACTAGGTGCCACACGGTGAAAGAGTGGTTTGAGCTCTTGCCTACAGGAAGACAGTTTGACCCTTGGTGCCTGCTGGGACACAGTGGTCTTCCTGGAGTTTCAAGATTCTGTTTCTCCAAAACTGTGATTAGCTCCTGCTCCCCTGAAGTGCTAGCATAACATGGTACTTCATGATCAAGTGCCTTTTCTAGTCTGGACTTTTCCCATAAACACCATAACTTTGTTTATGAATTCCTTCTTTTTTCATTGACTTTATCACTCACTTTTGACTCTTGTATTTTCGCAGTAGTTTTCAACAACACTTTTTCCCCCTAGAAATGTAAATTTGTGAACATTTTTTATGCTCAGTTTTTTGCTTTATGTGTTTCTAATGTTGGCTTTGTTTTTGATGTTTCCATCCTAATGACTGCAAAAACGACTCTTTCCAATAACGGGAAATTGTTTCTTGCGCTTTACTCGTCTAATTCTTTCCCCATTTGTGATCGCTGTGTCCAAGAACAATGGATTTCACAACCTAAAAAGCTCTCATTTCTAACAGGTAATGATTACGTTCGGTGTTATATGGCTGAAATAAGAGGTTAGAAAGAACAACAAAGAGAAGGGAACATGTAGCAGCAGCCAGCAAATCTTAACTTTAATCAAAGCAGCCTTTGATTTTATTGCTTTCTGTTTTAGGAACAAAGTTGAAAGTCTTGAATGTTTGACTTTCAGAGAAAAGGAGCAAAAGGTCAAGATTTATAGATTTAGAGAAGAAATAAATAAATGGGAAAAGTCTTGAGGAGAAAGCTTTGAAAATAGATTGGCAGGAAAGACCAGTGGAGATATGAAAGATGTCAACTTTGGAATAAGATTTCAACAACGTTATTTGTCTTATGTTTTCCTTTAGTTATTGGGAGCTATACGGTTTCGACTGGTGGTCTAAACTGCCATCCTCAGGGTTTACTGTAGCCTTCATCTTCCACCAGGTCATTCTCTTGAATAGAGTATTTTAGCTACAGTACGGGGGCTCTCCACTTACAAAATAAACTAAAAGACATTATAACATAATTACACATACGAAGGTTTTGGCTTTAAAAATGTGGATTTTCCTTTTGAAATTGAGACAAGTGCATTTGCGAATGATCGCTAGTAGCTTTGTTTACCTGGACGAGATCATACACAGCATACTATTGGTTAATACAATGAGTACTCGGTGTCCTATTGGCTAATTGAGCATGGTCGTCTGTTCCTCACGCTGATTGGCTCAGCATCGTCCCTTGTCTGTCGGCCACTCTCTCGTTCACTGCTCTGCGTCGCCATTCTACAACTCTACTGTGCATATACTTGTGTGGACAGGCTAATACAGACTAGAGAGGGTTGATAACAGTGGGGGAGGTTTGTAAAGGGTAAATATGTACGTAAATAATATAATAACTATCTAGCCTCTACTTTGCATTTTTTTCGCGGTTACCAACTACCGCAATACAAGAGGGATCACTGTACATACTTCTTCAAATGTTACAAATGCTAATCTTTTCTAAATGACTTCTTCAGGTGTTTGTCCAAATCTCTTTCCTGGTTTATAGTTGTCCATGGTTTCAGAATGACTGACACTGATCAGGAGCAGTAAACACTGTAGTAAAAATAGAAAAATATTTTGATGCCAACTTCAAACTCAATTATTTAATTGTGGATCCGATGAAAACGGAGCCACTATAGCAGCTCAGACTTAAGTGCACTTTATTTTATTTTTTTGACGGAGATAATAAATTCTGGGATGTGCTGAACACCAGATTCATCTGTTGTTGCATCTGTAACACCCAAGAAAAACTTGGCTTCAACTGTAAAAGTCAGCTCCAGCAAACGTAGCCAGTTTGGGTTGTGGCTCATGTGATAAAACAGCAGGAAAAGAGCTGGATAAAGCCAACCTCTGAAGCCTTTATCTCCAAGTTCTGGACATTGTCCTGCTGCTATCTCAGACAATGACTCAGAAAATCTCCCACTTTGGCATAAGAGTGTTGACTACATTCTTGGGATATTTGCTAAAGTGAAAACAGCTCAAGGCTGCAGGAAAGCCTTTGAAAACAACAAATAAATCTTTTACTTCTGCCCTTTTTTCGCCAATAAACCAATGTTTTCACGTAAACGTAAACAGAGGTTGTCGGTTCATTGGCCTGACTCGTTCCGTACTCCAGAACAAACAACATAAAAATAAGAACGTTGTAAAATTATGGAACGAGCAGAACTGGAGCTACCACAAGAAAAAAGACTTTTAAGAGACTCCGCGGAGCAATGTTTGTTGTTTTCACCGACATCTAAACAGATGTCGGTGAAAACACACATGAGCAAAGATCTTTAATCCAACCGCAGGTTAGCACACGCATTTTCACACATGAACTCTCTCAGAGTACATCAGCTGGGCACGGGTAGTTAAAGTAGAAGCATGTTGCCACCCGTGGACAGGATGGGTCCCCCCCGTCCCCCGTCCCACCACAGATTCACTTTGAGGTACACGCCGTGTGTATTCTGACACTGTGGTTTAGGTGGACCTGACTCGTGTTTACATCACAGTGTCAATCAAAAGATGAATGGTCTTCAGATTGTGTTTCCCACACATGCCTGCAGGGGGGGGCATACTGAGTAATGCAGGCAGTTGAGGGTGGACGTCAAGCGTGCTGTCAAGGACTATTTACTGGTGTGTGTGTGTGTGTATCCTGAGTGTGTGTGAGAAAGGAAGTCACAGCTCCTATATCAAAAGGTTCCATGCATCAGCAGTTACGTGACAGCTCCACTGTGTGCGTTGAGCGGTGAAGTGCGTCGGCCCATCATCCTCTGGGCCAGAGATAGATGTCAGGAAGCGCATATGAAAACACATTTAGGGGTTTCCAACATCTGATAACAAATTTGTGAGCACTCAAGACGGAGGTCACTCTGTATCACAGGGCAGAGGTGTTTGTCTTTCAAATGGAAAAACGGGGGTGGACTGCCAGGCTGTGCTAGCTTACATGCTATTGTAGTGTGCAGTATTAGAG